GGGCCCAGCCGCCCCGCGGCATGTGGGATCTTCCTGGACCGGGGCACGAACCCGCGTCCCCTGCAACGGCAGGCAGACTTCCAACCACTGCGCCACCAGAGAAGCCCAAGATGTGCTTTTAAAATAAAAGTTAAGGGACTTCCCTGTGGTCCCTGGTGGGGTAAGACTCTGTGTTCCCAATGCAGGGGGCCCGGGTTCGATCTCTGATCGGGGAACTAGATCCCACATGCATGCTGCAACTAAGAGTTTGCAGGCCACAACTAAGGAGCCCGCCTGCCACAAGTAACACCCAGTGCAACAAAATAAATAAATAAAATAAAAGTTAAATAATTTTGACGAGTAACCATATACCTTACATTCGTTACTTATTGTTAAATATTCTGTGACTCTTTTAGTTGTGGGATCCAGCAAAGAATGAAAAATTACAACTTTTTCTGCAAGAAGTACGAATGGGAGAACTTTGGTTATCCAGAGGTAAGAATGTAAACATTCTTTTGTAAGCAGTTATTTATGATAATTTATATTTGAGAAATATTTATGGATTGGTATTTGTATGTCAGATAACTAACTAGACGTGTTAACCAACTTGCTTCAGTTTAAGAGAAACTGTCCCAGTATTTTCACTTTATTACAGTTACAGCTCCACGATGTTACAGTTAGTGTTAGTTTTGGTTGCAGTCTTGGAAGTGGGCAGATGGAGAAGCAAAGCCAAATACAAGAACACCTTATTTACTGTCAGATAAAATTCTAAGTAAATGGGTTTTCCAAATGACTAAATGTTGTATGAATCAAAACTTAAAAAATTTTTAACTGCTTAAGGATACTCCCTGGATATAGGGGCAATTAAAATACAAAGAACCTTTCAGCTTTAACATTTTTTGAGCTGGGATAGTATAAATATGGAGAGGAAAATTATGAGTTATAAATTAAAAGAAAAATAACAATTATTTTATTACATTTTATTTTTACTTACTTTATGTTTAAGAGCTATCATGTAATAGTTTAGATTTAGAGGTGGAATGTTACAAATATTGAGATGATAAAACAAAAATTGCAAATTTGAGTTTTTAAATTTTTCTCTCTCAAAGGTGATTAACATTATTTCTGAGCCCCTAAATTAATTAGCACTTTTAGGGTTATATACTTCTACTATATTTTACTTCTGAAATTCTCATCTTGGTTGCTTATTCTTTAAATCCCCCACCAAACCCAAAAGCAATTACATAAGAATCTCTGGGGTGGGACCCAGGCATCAGAATTTTTTTTTCTTTTTTCTTTTTTTTAATTGAAGTATAGTTGGTTTACAGTGTTGTGTTACTTTCAGGTGTACAGCAAAGTGATTCAGTTTTACATATATTTATCTATATCTGTTCTTTTTCAGATTCTTTTCCCTTATAGATTATACAAGATATTGATTATAGTTCCCTGTGCTATACCGTAGGTCCTTGTTGGTTATCTATTTTGTATTTAGTAGTGTGTATATGTTAATCCCAAACTCCTAATTTATCCATCCCCTTCTCCCCTTTGGTTACCATAAGTTTGTCTTCTCTGAGTCTATTTCTGTTTTGTAAATAAGTTCATTTCTGTCATTTTTTTAGATTCCATATATTAGTGATATCATATGATATTTGTCTTTCTCTGACTTAACTTCACTTAGTATGATAATTTCTAGGTCCATCCATGTTGCTGCAAATGGCATTATTTCATTCTTTTTTTTTTTTTTGCTGTACGCGGGTCTCTCACTGTTGTGGCCTCTCCCGTTGTGGAGCACAGGCTCTGGACGCGCAGGCTCAGCAGCCATGGCTCACGGGCCCAGCCGCTCCGCGGCATGTGGGATCTTCCCGGTCTGGGGCACGAACCCGTGTCCCCTGCATCGGCAGGCGGACTCTCAACCACTGCGCCATTCTTTTTTATGGCTGATAATATTCCAATGCATGTATGTACCACATCTTTTTTATCCATTCCTCTGTCGACGGACATTTAGGTTGCTTCCATGTCTTGGCTATTGTAAACATTGCTTCAGTGAACATTGGGGTGCATGTATCTTTTAGAATTATAGTTTTCTCCAGATATATAGGTGTCAGTATTCTTTAAACCTCCCTAGGTTATTACAGTACACTGGTTGAGAACCAGTGTTCTAATGCAATAATTTTTCACCCAGTTTTCTGTAATCTCAGTTTTCTCTACTCCCTTCTGCCACCACCCCATTTTTACTACTTTGCTGCCAGGTAGTTCTGTAGCCATCTCAGTTGTGTTTATGTCTATATAACCAGAGGGACCATAGAGCCAAAAGTTTTAAGAGAAATTTCTGATTAGCTGATTTGATTGGATTTATTGGTTGGTTGATCTAATTAACCAAACTGATTATTGTTTTTAGGTTACATTAGCTCCATCAACTTGAGAGGCACTATTATATCTTTTTCTTTCTTTAAAAGGTTTGATACAAAGTGTTTATTTCCTACTTAGTTATATTAAATATGTCAAAATGTCAACTTCTGTTATTACATAACACCTGAAGAGAGGCAGCACACTATAGTCTCAAGGTTCAGAAAATTAGGTTCTGTTACTAATTCTGGCATTAATTAGCTTTGAAACCTTAAGTTATTTCACTGATCTTTGCCTATTTCCTAAAACGAGGTAGTGAGACTAAGTGATTACATGTTTTAACTTAAAGAGAGACTCTATCATTAATTTCCACTATTCACAAATTTTCATTCTTAGTTACTTTACAGCCAATCATCCTAAAACTCATTTTAAAACCACCTAGAAATCAAAGTTCATAAATCTCTTCTCCTCCCCTGGATATGTAATTCATGTTACACTAAATCTTGTTTCAGCTCGTTGATAATACAATCTATGTTTTAAAAGTCTTATTTAGCTGGAACATCAAGATGTTTCACCTGTAATACTTCATCGATCACATACGTAGAGTTAAAGATAACTCATATCAGTAATGGCAAACCCCAGCCTTTTAAAAAAACTCAGTACCTCCCTCTTGCATACCCAAATAGCAGAATGTGAACATTTACAATTCAAGAGTGCACTTTTAAATAGTAATTTGGGTCAGAAAGTTATTTAATTGGCAGCTCAACATTTTCCCCTTTATACTCTTTACTCTTTTTGTGGCTTGTTCAGATAGTCTTTATTTATTTTTTAACATTTATTTGTTTGGTTGCATCGGGTCTTAGTTGCGGCATGTGGGATCTTTTGTTGCGGCATGCGGGATCTTTCGTTGTGGCATGGGGGCTCTTCATCGCGGCGGGTGGGCTTCTCTCTAGTTCTGGTGCACGGGCTCCAGAGCACGCGGGCTCAGTAGTTGCGGTGCGTGGGCTCCAGAGCACGTGGGTTTAGTTGCCCCACGGCATGTGAGATCTTAGTTCCCGGACCAGGGCCTGAACCCGCGTCCCCTGCATTAGAAGGAGGATTCTTAACCATTGGACCACGAGGGAAGTCCTCTAGTCTTTAGTTTGATGTGTTTTTTTAGTTTCAATGCTTGGTGCTTTCTTGGTAATTTGTAGAATGTATATTTTGAAGAACTTTAAAATTCTGCTCTAATCTTATAAATCTGTTTCAGGGGAGCATTGAATGGGGCTTGAACATCTCAGCAATGCCTTTTTGGTGTGTGGGCAACCACAGGAACTTCTGAAAGTTTTCAAACACACACTTCCTCCCAAGGTATTTGAGATGCTATTGTGCAAAATTCCCCTCATTTGCCAGGTAAGCACATACTTAATTATCTTTGTGAAATGAACACTGTAAATAACCATGTTGGGCTTAATTACGTAGAAACAGTGAAGTATTGATATGTGTGTGAATGGCCCAAAGTTTTAAATGAGTAAGATCTCTGAATTTTTGTTTGCTTTTCTTGTCTTCAGATGAAACAAGCTTATTCTTTCATGTTCCTTTGACCATAATGAATTGTATATTTTGTTGAGTATTATACATGTTTCAACATTTCAACTTTAAAGTTAACACTGTTAACACTGTTTATCTTTGTACTTTCAAAGACATCACAATTATTGACTGACTGCAATGTCAACAGAGGTCTGTAAGTTAAATGGTATTGTTAGTTAAATGACCTAATGGCTTAAAAATTAGATATAATACAGAAAACTGTAAATTATCAAAGCAGAATAATACTTCTACTTTCCAATAATATGACAAAACATAGAAATCACTTTGGTAAATTTAAACATATAGGCTAGTTAGTGTTCTCTTGAGTACAAGTTTATATTGGTAAATGTAAGCAGACTAATACCTATTAATAAATTGGCTCATGAATGGATATCATTTGATACCAAACTGCTGGGTGTACTTATGCATCAACTAGAGTTTCCTGCAGTGTTTGGATTTGTTTTAGGATTCATTTAGCTCTAAGACACTACTTTAACTTTGGTTTACTTTTTATTACATTGATCATATGCAGTAGCTGAGAGTACACTGTATATTGTTGGTCTGACTTGGAATCATTCATGTTGGCTTCTCAGCTTTTGAATAAAACACAAAGCAACATAGTCTCCACTAAAGCACAATAATCAATTCTTAAACATTTTGCAAGCTAGTCTCAGATGGGATCTTTCCTGAAGGTACATGAAAATGTCGCTAGGATAAGAATGTGTAGTGCCCACCCTGACACAAGAAGGGAGGCAAGAAAAGGATCGTGCATTAAATTGATTAGCAAGTAACTATTTTATGTATTTACCAGCAATTTGAGGCAGACATGAATGAACAGGAATACTTGGAGGATGATCCTGATTGAAAAACATTTCAATGTATCCACAATCCAGTCAGAATGCTATGGTGCTATATAGTATAAACTGCTCAGTGATATTTCCATTTATTTTCCTTTTAGTAATAAACTTTTTTTTCTATCTCATACATGGTTGAACACGTATTTTGCTTTAAAATTAACAGTCATAATTGAAGAAACCATGGTTTATTTCTCTAATCAAGTGACCAAGCTGCTGAATCTTAAGGCCTCAACAAGTGTTGCATCTTATTATTTTCATTGAACAATAAGACCTATTTTGATTATTCTGGTAAACAGCAATTTTGTTTCCCCAGTGGTTTCCGTTTGCCAAACAGTCATGACAGATGGTTTAACATGGTGGCTACTGCTTTCATGGGATTCTGTCAGGTGAATCCTCATTTCCAGTGCAACAGGTGTTGGCAATCTTTCATCAAAAGTCCATGCATTAGGACTTCTCTATCGTGGTTGGCCAAGGAGTCCTGCTTTGGCAGCCAGGGCTTCATTCTGCTGAATATGATATTCCTGAAATCTCATAGATATTCGTTGAGTCATTTTTAAATATTTCTGTAAGCAATGCTCTGAACAGGTGGTCTAGAAATAAAAAGATCCAAGAGTCAACACAAAAATATTAATTAAAAGAAATTGCATCTATTCTAAAAAAATAACCAGTGGGTACTTTTCTTTTCTTTGAATATATCTGAGAATTAAATGGTATTAATGAGTAGCAAGTGATCATAGCTTTCAATTGTTAATACTTTCATCCATTTACAAAAATTAATATATACTGAATGCTTACCAGTTTGGAGGTACTAAAAACAATGGTAAGTCAGTCCCTGCCTTCTGGACTAGATTTTCTGCAGGCGTGTTTCAATATTAACTGAAATCCCACATTCCCATCTCTTATTCTGATTGTTAAAATGTAGGCCCAGTATCAGGTTCGTTCTTTTTAATGAGAAACTCCATTCACAACATTCTTAATTTTCAACTTTTTACTTTTTAATAAGACTATTGTACTTAGCATCTCTCAAACTTCGTCATTTATTTAACAAACACTTATTGATTGCTGGTTATATGTTAAGTTCTTGGCATGAATATTTATCAGCATATTCCACTGGAGGAATTTTATGTCTCTTTTAGCCAATATATAAATGTTTTGAAGCGGATATTAAAAGTTAAGACTTCTAATAGGGTTAGGCAATATGAGCCACCAAATTCAAACTCTACTTTTTCCAAAATTAACCTGAGTTTTCAAGGTCAGATAGGAAAGCCATGTCAAGTTTCTCTAGCCTGGCCATCTTGACTGAAAGCTAATTATTAAGAATCTTTGCTTTGGAACAATGTATTCAGCAAGTCCCAGGCATCTTCTCTAAAAAAGTCTGCCGTAGTTCAGTGTGGCTGTGATATTAAATTTGGCATCCTTAAACTCAGTGCCACGAGTCTGGCTGCTTCAAGTTCCTCTGAGCAACGGAACATATAAAAGGTAGCCTAAATTCCTGTAATAACTAGGAACAAGCAAAATGCTTAGGGGGATCCCATTTATATTGTTTATGATGAACTTAGAGAATTTTTAGTGGGCAACACTTTTCATACCTCTTCAGGTTTTACTTCTCTTGTTGTGAAGTCTTTAACACAGTCCAAAAAGCAGGTTTCTGTAAGTTTATTGTAGGTTCCAAGAAATTCCTTAAACTACAAACAAATCAGAAGGTTCTTTAATATTTGGTTTTTAAAACAAAGATGTTTTAAATACTGATGTATTTAGGCAAAATACCCTGTAATACTTGAAATCAAAGGTTCTTTTGCTACCTTAAATGGGTATAATATGATCTACAAAATATAGTTAGATTTTCTAGTTGAGTATTTATTATTGCCTGGATTATCTTTCAAATTATCTGAAAAATGAATATGCTTCATATCATTTAACATCCATCTGTGGAAATGAAATATAAATAGTTATTTTGTGAGATCACTGACTGACATGGTTATATCCCGTAGTGCCTTAATTTTTTGCAAAATCCTTTTTCCTTAATTATAATACCTTACCTGTTTTATCTGATCAGATTCTGGTATTTGTGCAGCCATATTCTTTTGGTATGTTTATTAGTCACCTGATTTAAAAGTAAAAAGTTTGTCAGTTTGTATACAAATTATTTAGGCTAGTTGAACGTAATCAAAACAAGCACAGATTTTGAAATAGCACTGAAATGAGTCTACCTGAAATTACTGTTCATATTTTATAAATTTCTGATTATGTAATCATATGCCCCCCCACAATCTCCCAGGTCATTAATAAGAACCTTACAGTTTAGAACTCGATTTTCTTAATGCTAGCTATGAGAACCAAAGGCCCTATCTAAATCTCCATTTTTTAGACAGTTTGCTCTGTTACCTTGCAAAGCTACGTATTAAAGTCCCATGCGTAGTACGGTTTTATGGGAAAGAGCTCTCTGGTATCTTCCTATAAGTACTTAAGTTAACTATCCCCCGGTTCCTAATACAACTTAGATCTGTGCTACTAAAGATCCTTTTACTATCGCTATGTAAATGCAAAGGTTCTATTAATTAACAAACACCATCCACTTATTAATCAACAACACTCATGAAAGAGAGTTCTAAAAGACTCTAAGAGAAAGTTACAGGAGTTGTACATTCTACAGTTCAAAAAGGGTAATCACAGAGACTTACCAGAAACTTCTGAACATATGACACTTTTGATCTAACTTGGGGGCAACAGAGAAGTGAAGATAAGGAAGTCAAAGAGTGTTTCTGAATTACTGGGATTTTCACATATCCTAAATGGAGGACCCAGGATCAGTTAATTATGATGTAAGAATGTATCACGTTATTTACTTATTCTATCCTGGCTAGTTCTAAAACAGATGAAATCTCATAAACTGGATGTGTGTGTCATTCTTACTAGCTCATCAATTATTATTTAAAGTGGCTGTGAAAAGCACGAAATTTTCATGAAGCTCACATGGAGATTAAGTAGGAAATTCAAGCTTAGGGCAGAGTGTATGCTACTATCGTGAAAGAAAATTCTCATTTTGATTAACAAATACAATCAATGGTAATTCCACTCCAGCATTCCCAACCATGTATAAAACTTTACCCCTTTTGCATTTATTCTTCCCTCCTCTTTTGTCCTTATCCTGTATGTTCACAAGTACTACTGCCATTTTTAAAAAGTTATTTTTTCCACATGCAAGGGAAAGCACCAGTTCTTTTCTATTTGCTATCCTAGTCTCATTCCAAAATTCTGACTGTCTATACTTCAGGGAATCTCTGGTTTAGTACTAACAGTTATAAACTATCTTTTCTATTAAAATTCTTCGATATCTGCTACAAACAATGCAGTAGAGGTTTCAGATTAGCCCAACATGCAGGCAACTAGTGTTCCATAAACACCTAAAAAGTTACCAAGAACGCTCTTTATTCCTATTTTACTTCACAGCTTTATAAATAATATATATATTTTAACCACATAAACTACCTGAAAAATACCAGGAATTAACTGAAGGTCACAATTTTTCAGGTATTGCTGTGACTATCATCATTGATATGTCCCAGGTAAGATACTTCCATTATATTTACTCTTTGCTCACTTAAGTCATGAAACACTGATTCCACACCCTCCAACTACGGAACTGCATAGAAATACAAACCTAATTATTCCATTATTTTCTAATATCAGCTTCAAACTTATTTACAGTTTGAGATCTCAGCAGTTACTATTTTGCTAGATAGATATGGGTAGATATTCATTCAGTAAACATTTATTTAATGTACCAAGTACTGTGCTAGTTATGAAACTAGCCATGCTTCTGAGGTAAGATGCATCTTTATAGCTGCTATAAAATTTTATCACTAACCAGCCAAGAAACAGAGAATCCTGTAAGTATATCATACAGTGAATTTAGGATTTGTGCTTCTGGGAAGGTGGGGTAGATGTGCTTTTCCCTATTCTTCTCACTAAGTACAACTAAAACCCCTGGACATTACACATAAAACAAACATAAGACTAAAAAGTAGAGAGGAGAAAGTATATTAGCTAGGGCCCTTGGGACCCGAGAAGCATCACAGTAGTGAATTCTCTCCCTTGTCTGGGGTCTCATATATCACAAACTTGGAGCTGAAAAAGCTGGCAATCTGCAAATGCCAGTTGGAGTAGTCAAAAAGCCCCTCTGTACCCCCAGCCAAAAGTCTGCCTTCTCTAGCCAAAAGGCTAGGAAAGGGGAAGCCTGCCTATAAAACAGAAATCTTTTAAACAATAACTGCTGTACTCCAGGCCAACACAGAAAAAACTTTGGTTCTCATCCCCACCCACATCAGCATAAGCCAGATAGTCTTCCACCCTCACTAGGTTGTAACGAGACACTCCAACTCCCACACCAGAATAGTGTCAGAGAAGGGTGATTAGGCAGCAGGGACTTTAATTCTTGCTGGGCATTAATAAGGACCCCTCCCCCAAGTGTCAGTGGAAACTGCATGGGGAGCCTAGACTTCCACCTCTGTTGTCAGTGATGAAGTACCTTTCTCCCTTCCCTCTCGGGTGGTATCAAAGGAGGCCTAGTTGAGATTCAGGACCTACATACTGCCCCATGGTAATCAGGCCACATGCCCTCCTGTGGTGTCAGTGGAGGCCACGTGGGGAGTAGTAATGAGGCGCTCCAGTCCTCAGCCAGGGAGACACCAATGAAGGCCTAGTAGAGAGCCGTAACTCCTACGCTCACCCAGAAGAAATGAGGAACATCACCCCTACCCCCTGGCACACACACACACACCCCACCCACCCTCTCTAGTGACAGAGTGAGGAACTTGGACTTCTACCCTCATCTGGCAGTAATAAGGTGCCCCCCCCCATGAAGCAGTGTCAAAAGCAGTCAGCTAGAGGAGAAGGTTTAAACAAGATCTAGAGTCTCATAACACAAGATGCAAAATGTCTAGGTTACAAAAAAACAGAAACAAAACTCATTACAAGAACTAAGATCTTAAGAAAAAAAAGATGTCAAACACTGAGATGAGAGATGTTAGAATTATCTGACAAAGATCTTAAAATAGCTATTATAAAAAATGCTTCAATGAATAATTAAGAATGTCTGAAACAAATTTAAAAAATATAAAACTCAGCAAAGAAATATAAGATATCAAGAACCAAATGGAAATTTTAAGAAGTGAAAAATAGAAAAAAACAAAAGAAGCTCAACAGACAGAATCAACAGCAGATCGGAGGGGATAGAAAAAGGAATCTGTGAAGGAAGGAGGAAGATAGAAAATAGAATTATCCAATATGAATAACAGAAAAATAGAATTAAAAAAATGACGGGGTACCAGAAATCTGTGTGACTGTGACAAAAGAACTGACATTTGTTTTATTAGAGTCCTGGAAGAAGAGAAAGAGGGCAGGGCTGTTAAAGTACTAAAATAATGGCTGAAAACTTCCCAAATGTGGCAAAAGAAGAGAAGCTTACACATTCAAGAACTGAATTGCATTCCAAAAAGCGTAAACACAAAGAAATCCACATCAAGATACATCATAGTCAAACATTTAAAAACTAAAGACAAAAAATTTAGTCTTGCAAGATGTCGCTTGCAAGAGAAAAGCGACATCTTCTATAGGGGAAAAACAATTAGGATAATAGCAGATTTCTCATCAGCCAACCCAGAAACCTGTATCTAGCAAAAACATCCTTCAGGAATGAAGGTGAAATTAAGACACTCTCAAATGAAGGAAAACTAAGAATTTGGTGCCAGCAGACCTACCTGAAAAGGATTAAAGTTCTGAGCAGAAAAAAACTGATAAAAGGAGACTTGGAACATCAAGGAGGAACAACATAGTAATAAAAATAGGAAAACGTACAGTACCCTTTCCTTTTCTTCTTGAGTTTCCTAAATTATATTTGACAGTTGAAGCAAAAATTATAAAACTGTCTAACATGGTTCTAAATGTATATTTTAAATGGGGAGGGTAAAGGGAGGCAAGGCTTTCTCACTTCACTGAAACTGGTAATATACTGACACCATTAGACTGTGATAAGCTTTGTATATGTCATGTAATACCTAGAGCAACCACTAAAAAAGAACATAAGGAGATACACTCAAAAACATTATAGATTAATCAAAATAAATTACAAAAAATATTCAAATAATCCACAGGAAGGCAAGAAAAGAGAAACAAAACCAGAACAAACAGAAAATAAAAAATAAAATAGCACATTTAAGCCTTAATAAACAATTACATTAAATATAAGTAGTCTAAAGAATCAAAAGACAGATTGGGGGCTTCCCTGGTGGCACAGTGGTTGAGAGTCCGCCTGCCGATGCAGGGGACGCGGGTTTGTGGCCCGGTCCGGGAAGATCCCACATGCCGCGGAGCGGCTGGGCCCATGAGCCATGGCCGCTGAGCCTGCGCGTCCGGAGCCTGTGCTCCACAACGGGAGAGGCCACAACAGTGAGAGGCCCGCGTACCGGAAAAAAAAAAAAAAAAGACAGATTGGCAGAGTGCATTAAAGAAATGACCAAGTATATGTTGTCTATAAGAAACTAACTTCAAATACAGTGATACAGACAGAGTGAACACAAAAGGATGGAAAATGATTTATCATGCAAGCAATAATACAAAGAAAATAGTGGATATATTAACATCAGATTAAGTAGACTTCACAGCAAAGGAATTTAACAGACACAAAAGGACATTAAGGGTCAATCCACCAAGAAGACATAGTACTCCTAAATGTGTGTGCCCCAAGCAACAGAGCTGCAAAATATGTAGAGAGAACTGAAAGGAGAAAAAGACAAGTATAGTTTCAGACTTAAACATCCCTCTCCCAACAATTGATAGAACAACTCAACAGAAAATCCACGAGGATACAGAAAAACTCAACATCATTAACCAACAGGATACAATCTACATTTACAGAACATTTCACCCAATACCACAGAATACACTTTTTATTAAGTGCCCATGGAACACATACCAAGATAAACCATATCCGGGGCCACAAAGTAGCCTTAATAAATTTAAAAGATTTGAAATCATACAGAGTCTGTTTTTAGACCACAATGGAATCAAAATAGAAACCAGTAACAGATAACAGGAAAATCTCTTAACATCTGGAAAATAAATAACACTTCTAAATAATCCATGAATCAAAGAGGAAGTCTCAAGGAACTTTTTAAAAAAGTCACTGGACTGAATGAAACTGAAAATACAGCATATTAAAATTTGTGTGACACAGCTAAATCAAGTGCCAAGAGGAAAATTTTATAGTACTAAATGCATACATTAAAGAGGAAATGCCTCAAATCAACTATTTTTTTTCTTTTTACCTCAAGAACCTAGAAAAAGAGCAAAATAAACCCACAAAGCATGTAGAAGGAAGAAAATAATAACAGAAATCAACCAAAATGAAAACAGAAAAACAAAAGACAAAAATCAGTGAAATAAAGAGCTGGTTCTTTGAAAAGACTACAACAGACAAACCTCTAGCAAGACTAACAAAGAAAAAGAGTCACATATTATCATTATCAGGAATAAAACAAGGTATAGTACCATAGACCCTGCAGATATCAAAAGGATAACAGAACTATGAACAACTCTATATACATAAATCTAACAACTTGCTCATGAATTTACTATTATCCTGATATCAAAACCAGATAAAGAAGATACATACAAGAAAACTACAGAAAAATATCTTCGTAAAATAGACATAAAAATCCTTAACAAAATAATAGCAAATATAGTTCAGTAATATATTAAAAAAATACACACCTCTAATAAGTAGGGTTTATTCTAGAGATGCAAGGCTAATTCAATATTTAAAAATCAATAAATGTGATCCACCATATTAATAGATGAAAAAATAAGTCATGATCATATCAATTGATGCAGAAAAAGCATTTGACAAAGTCAGTACCCATTCATGTTAAAAACTGAAAATTAGGAAGACAGGGGAACTTCTTCAACTTGGTAATGTACACCTACAAAAACATCCTACACCCTGTACTACATAGTTAATGGTGAAAGACTGAACACTTTCCCATAAGACAGTGAGCAAAGCCAGATGTCTGCCCTTACTACTCTTACTGAATATACTGCTGGAAGTTCTACCCAGTGCAGTAACTCAAGAAAAAGAAATAAGACATATAAATTGTAAAGGAAGAAAATAAAACTGTCCCTCTTTGAAGATGACATGATTGTGAACACAGAAAATCCCAAAGAATGTACAAAGAAACCCGAGAACAAGATAGTTCAGCAAGTCAGCAAGATCACAGTATACAAGATAAACATGGCAAAAATCAGTTGTAAAAACTGTAATTTTCAGTGTTACTGAAATTAAAAATACAATACCATTTATAATCACTCAAAAAAAAAGATTTATGGGTAAATCTAACAAGGCATGTACAGGTAAATCTAACAAGGCATGCTGAAAACTACAAAATGCTGATGAAAGAAATCAAAGACTTAAATAAATGGAAAGACACATTGTGTTCATGGATTGTAAAACTCAGCATAGTAATGATGTAAATTTTCCCAAAATTGATATACAGGCTTAATGCAATTCCTATCAAGGTCCCAGTAACATTTATTATAAATATAGACAAGATTATTTTTAAATTTATATGGAAAGCAAATGGACTTGAACAAATTCAAAAAAAGACTAATAAAGTGGGAGGAATCAGTCTACCTGATTTCAAGACTTATTACATAGCTACAGTAATCAATATTGTGTGATTTTGGTGGAAAAGCCGACACATAGATCCATGAAACAGGATAGAGAACCCAGAAATAATAACAGAAATATGCCCAACTGATTTTTGGTAAAGATGCAAAACCAGTTAAGTGAAGGTAGCCTTTACAACAAGTGGTGCTGGTACAACTGTACATCCATAGGCAAAAAATTTAACCTCAAAGTAAGTCTTTCACTTTATACAAAAATTATCTCAAAATGGATCTGGGACTTAAATATAGAACATAAAACCCATTAAAAATTTTAGAAAAATAGGAGAAAACCTTCGGGCTTTAGGGCAAAGAATTCTTAGACTTCACGTGAAGTCTAAGTCTACATATGTGATAAAGAACTAATAACTAGACAACATAAAGAAGTCTGCAAACTCTATAGTAAAAACACAAATAATGCAATTAGAAAATGGGCAAAAGACACCTCACCAAAAAGATATAGATGGCGAATAGGCACATGAAAAGATACTCAACATTGTTAGCCGTTAGGGAAACAAATTAAAACCATGATATATAGCATTACACACCTGTCAGAATGGCTGAATTAAAAAAATATAGTGACACCACCAAATGCTGGTGAAAATGAGGAAAAACTGGATCACTCAGATATTCCCTAGTGGTAATGTGAAATCGTATAGCCACTGGGGTAAACAGTTTGGCACTATGTTAAAAACCTAAATGTACAACTATCGTGTCACGCAGCAATTGCATTCCTGGGCATTTTTCACAGAAAAATGAAAACTTATGTTCACACAAAAACCTGTACATGAATGTTTATATACACTTTATTCATAACAGTCAAAAACTGGAAGCAATCCAGATGTTCTTCAACAGGTGAATGATTAAACAAACAGGTACACCCACACCATAGAATACTACTCAGCAATAAAAAGGAATGAGGTACTGATACACACAACAGCCTGGATGAAACTCTAGAGGACTATGCTGAGTGAAAAGCCAATCCCACAAGGTTATATACTGTATGATTCCACTTATATCACATTCTTGTAATGACAAAGTTACAGAAATGGGGAACTTAGTAGTGGTTGCCAGGGGTCGAGGAGGGGGTAGGGGAGGAGGAAAGTAGGTGTTACTATAAAAAGGCAACATGAGACTTTTGAAATGGAAATGTCCTGTACTTTGACTGTAGTAACATCAATATCCTGGTTGTGATATTGTACTACAGTTTTGTAAGATGTTACCATTGTGGAAAGCTAGGTAAATGACACAAGGGAGCTCTATTTTTTCTTACAACTGCATGTGAATCTACAATAATCTCAAAAAGTTTGAGGTTGCCCAGCTTTCTAATCCCTGCCAAAGAACAAGGTACAGTGTGCATTGTGGTAAATGTTAGCAAATGTTCAGAACTAGAGTTCTTTTGGCTTCCTACTCAGAAAACAGCCTGAAAAGATCCAAGAACTGGTAAGATAACTTTTGTGGTTAGGTGTTAAAAAAAAACTTTGTGGGAAATTAAAAAAAAAAAAACAAGAGCAATAAAACAGGAATTAAAGGAACCTGGTTTACCAGCAGGCCTCTAGCTGAAAGCACAAAAGGTTATCCAAAGACCTGTTCATGTTTGCTAATTATAATGCCAAAATCAGCTTCTTTTTCCTGTTCCTATCCTAGTATTTCTTCAGGTTAAAATTCACATATAATATGACTTTTTCAAGCAGAGGTCAGAGAGGCAGAAAGTATGAAATCTTTAAATGTTGTGTAACACTGCTGACTCTACCTCACTTCCCTCTTGGTATACAACTCATAGTGACAAATGATGATTGTTATTGGGAAGTCTTTGAAGAGATATAGATGAGGAGCACCCGCAAATGTTGTTTGTATGAATTTTTTTGATATTGTCTTTTTTTTTTATACCTAAGTGAAGGCAGTTGTTCCTAGAAAATACTGGAGACGGTTGAGTGAATAGATGATTTTCAAATTTACTTGCTAGTTTGTGTCTTCTGAGTCTTCCAGCATTCTATCTTGCAGTTATTTAATCATTAGTTATGTTGACTGACAAAGTCCAACAGCCATACAAACCACCTGATAGTGAGAAGCGGTAGAAGCAATGTGGCTGCCCTTTTATTAGGTCCTAATTACCAGATATTACAAGCAAATGTTTGTTACTATAGAGGCAAATATCCAATCAGGGGATACCTTCTGGTTATATCCCTGAAACCTGAAGAGGGAGGGAAGGGATAGAGAGTTCTAGCATCTCTGGCTTGGGCCTTAGGAATGATCACAGCAATGCTAAGTAATTTTTGTGTCAAACAAAATGTATCATAAAACCAGGGAACTTAAGAGAATTGTTAGTCATCAAGCTCAAACCTTTTCTGATGCATGAGTTTCCTTTCTGTTCTGGAAAAGTAGTTGTCCAACCTTTGCTTGAATGTCTCCAGTGAGGCCTGATTTCTCACCTGAAAAATGAGGGGATTACAATATGACTGCTGAGGCCCCTTCAAGCTCTAAGTCTGTTTGATGAAATCTAAACTTCTGCTGGCTAAGTCATTTTTTGAAAAGCCTTTTCCTTTTCAATAAGTGAAATTAGTTTCCTCAATCTGTTCTGAGGTTACAGTTATTTAGCATATGTGTTATTATGTATTAAAAAATACTTAATATCCTGTTTTGCCATGTAATATGTATGTTCAGGTGAACACACAGGACAAACAATTCCCAGAAATTTCTGAGTATTAAAAAAAAATAATAAACTAATCAGGATGTGGTGGGAAGATACCCTCTATTTAGTCTTTAGAATCATATGCAGATTTCTACCAGGTCTGGAGCCAAATTTCTAATTCTGTTCAAACTTAGTTTACAATAAGTGATTCTTCTGATGTCCTTGGCCACTATCACTATAACTGATCCTGGCCGCAGCATGGCTGGTACTGGTAATTGGTAATCTTGTGATTCAGGCAAGGATCATGAATGGATGATAAAACTACTGGGTGATAGGTTGGGGAACAGGATATATGCATTGTATCAAAGCATCTCCACAAGTTACTTATCACAAAAAGAAAACTGTCCCTTTACATTGGGAAGATCTGCCAGTCACCACCTTAACCGGTGTGGTACCACCTATGTGCTATTCTGGCCAAAAATGTTTTATGTGATTGATTATGAGGGAATAATTAGGAACAGCCACAATTTGGGACTATGTGTAAGATGACTAGACTGGTCTTTTCTAAAAAAAGTCATAAAGAAAAGGAGTAGAAAGGGCTGTTCTAGCATATGACTAAAGAATTAAGATAACTAAACAGTTGTGAACTTTGGAACTCAAAACCATTTTTGAGTTTTAAAAATAAAGACTTTTGGGGATAATTGGAGAAATTTGAATATATTATCTTAGGTGTGATAGTCATATTGTGGCTATGTAATAGTATGTTCTTAAGGAGATACATGCTGAAGAAATAAGGGTTAAAGGTCATGATGTCTGCAACTTGTAAGTGGTTCAGCAAAAAAAACCTGTATATCTCTCTATATATGTATATATAGAGATATGAGAGTGGGAAAGAGAAAGCAAGTAAGTAAAAGTGTTAACAACAAAAAAGAAATGAAAGAACAATCCTGTGAGCCATGTTTTTTGTTCCTGGGCTATCTGTTCTTTATTTGATAGGTCAGATGTCTAAACTGATCTGAACTAACTTGCTAGACTGACATAAAATAGGACTCTACCACATGTCCCTTTACTTTAGATCATTTGCAGCAACTTTAGGAAATTGTGCCTGATTAACTGGCAACCCTAACTTAATCAGAGCAAAACATTCTTTTGAAAGATCACTGCATACTCCTTTTGGGTTTAAAGGATGGCTTCAAGGCCTTAAAGGATGAGCCTATGAGCACTGGACTAGATGGGGGCAAGATTACTTGGGTTTTAATCCCAGCTCTGATTAAAGGGTTGTAAGATCCAAAACAAGTCACATTTTTAATGAGTTTCTACACCTACAAGCACACCTTAGAGGGGAAAGGTCACTTTTTCTTTTACATCTAAGTTTCACCTAGAAAATAAGGGAGATAAATCATCTCAGAAGTCTCTTACAGCTCTGACACTGTCATTATATCTTTTAATTTACATAAATTATAAAACAAATTGTGAACAGATACTACCTAAAAGCCTGGTAATGAAGGAAATGTAACTGAAATACAGAAACTCATCAAGATTTAAAAGGTTCTCTAAAGCTGAGCCCTTAAGGTCTCTTTTAATTCTAGGATTTCTTCTATCAAAGTAGACAGCTGAGATGTAAAAATAAATAAAAATTTGTTATTTAACGTTTACATCAGATTACATTTTTTGCTTTGATTAATCTTTTAGTAATGCGTAAAGGGAAACGTTTAAGTAATGCATCCTCGAAAATCAGCAAATCAGATAAGGTGTGTTGGCCCTGGTCTTCTGTCTAGAGAGAATTTTTCAGTTAAAGGAGGGTTCAGCTCAAGGTCACAAGGTGGATGCCTTACAGTCTAACTCACTGTCCCAAAACAAGACCCCGACTCCCCAAACTTGGGTTGAAGGTGGCTCAGAGCCTCGTATTCGACCCTCGCCACAGTGATGACACGTTCCGAGGCAGGTCCCAAACCCGCTCTGGGGACGCGTTGCCCGGCTCCGCAGCCCCCCATAGCCCCAGGTAACCGCGGCGGCCTCCTTCAGAGACCCTGCCACCTTTCCCGAGCGTGGCTTGCAGCCCCCCGCCTGGAAACCCGGGATTCTGTGGACAGAGAAAAGAGACCATACTTAAGGATAGACTCTCGCATCCGACACCAGTAGGAGGCTGTGGGGCTCCGCTACCCGTCGAGTCTGGGGGCGGAGGATCTGGGTCAGGGCCGGCACTGCAGCCGCTGGATGAAGGAGAACACGTGGGAATGGCGATGTCAAATAGCTTTTATACCCTACTTCACCGATTCGTTATAACGCCGGAAACTCTAGAGGAAAAAGCCGATATCATAAACGAATTTTAAAATCCCCTGAAAATTGATTTTTTGATTGTCTGCTTAGACGAAGGTATTTCTGACTTTCTCTTCAATATCAACACGAATCTGTAGAAACTTTTCGTAAAACTAATTTACTTAATCTCGCGTCCCTAACGGTCTGCGGGAGCTACCCTGTAAACAGTCCCTAATAAACAAGATTGGTATTGTCATCTACGTTGGGAGCTTTTCAGGTCTTGGATGAAACTCCCGAGTGTTATTCAATGTTGTAAGTCTTGTGGGGCAATGTACTGCCTTTAATAAAACAAAAAATTCACACCCGTTTTAAGCCTTTTATGTTGGGAGTTTGTTTCCACCCGGAAAGGGATGGAAGAGCACCGGAGAGCGTTTAGCTTTTTGGTTGGACGATTTCATGGCGCGCATGCGTGTTGTGTCTGAAGGGCGGGTTTAAAGGGAAGTAGGTGTTGACCCGCGGCTAACTGAAGCTGTTGTCAGCTTAGACCCGTGACTCCGCTGTTGCCGAGGGTTCGGAAGACGCAGAGGGGTGAATTTAGGTGTCTGATGGTTGCTTCTGGAGGGGTTGCTTCTTTGGCTGAAGAAAGCTATTAAGCTTCTTGTGTGGGTGATTTTGAAAAAAATAGCATTTCGGTTTTACCTGCTTGACTCCCTCTTCTCAAATTTTAACTCCGCCTCCACATCTGGTTGGTTTTGCACTGCCATCTCTACGGTTGGGGAGTGCTCTGTTATTGTTATTATTGCTTATGCGGTCATTCTCTTGTCATCCTCACTTTCAGATTCATTGGCATGGTGCATTAATAGACTGAGTGGGATTAATGGGTAAATATGTTCTAGTCGTCTCTAATCCTGGATTAAATACCAAATTGAAATTTCTAGCTTTGTGCATAGTCTGTTTAGACGTTTTATTTAAAAGTTGATGACTGCATGTTTCAAAATCACTTGAAATTCACGTTTTCTTTATCATACTCCCACTTTATTTCTTCTCCCTTACCCCTGCCCCCCCGAAATCCTCAAAGCGGTGAAAATTTTGTTCTGAAGTTTTATGGACCCAGAAGAAAATTCTGTTCATAATTGTGGGACTAGTTTTGTTACCAGTAATATGAAAGGCTCTGAGTTTAGCCCGGAAAAGAAAAAAAAGGTTAAAATGCCAGCGAGGAGACTTCGTGAGGTAATTTCTCCAAATCAGGGAGATAATTTGCCTTTGCTGAAAGATGAGTTGTCCCGTGTTCCTCCAGCGTTGTCTGCAAATAAACGTCTTCCTGTTAGAACTGGGAAGAGCTTGAATGGAACGTTATGTGGTATGTGATTCCGAATAGTTTCAACCAGTTTTCACTTGTGTAAATCTTCAGTCTTTATTTTCATTTCGTTTTTTGTGTTTCAAAATTTAGAGGACTTTTGATGATTAAATTCCTAAATATATGTCTAGTTTGTACAGGCGTTTGAAAAGTGACCCCTTTTCCTGGGAAAATGGCCAGGCACCCACAGTCTACATCGAATAATACTGAATAGATAGAATGAATAAAACATTTTGTATTTTGTTTTTTCTTTGCGTGTTTTTGGCACACTGTTCTTGTCCACAACTGTGATGGACACACTCAACTAGTGTGATGTGCTTACTTTTCACCAGTAGTGCTGGCTTTTTACCTTCTGTTTGGATAGTAGAAAAGCACAATTTCTGCATTTTGATGGCTTCCATGTCCCAATTCACTTGTCTGGAGCTCCCTGAAAGTGAAGATAGCATACGTTTTACCCACTTCACTGGTAATCAAATTAATGAATATAAGCGCAAAAAACAAAAGAATAAATAAAGCAGCTTTTATAGTGCTGCTTTTGAGGGGTACAGCATAACATAGGCCTGCTGTTAAATCAGGCTTTTATATCATGCGCATGTTTTATTCCTGACAAATGATTGTACCCATAGTTTGTCCAAATCCAATAGTGTAATGATATATTTTATAACATTTTATACTTATCTCATTTGATTGTCATTTCTGAGCCCTTATTTTCCAAAATATCAGATGTAAAAACCTTCATCAGGATATATTTAAGTACATTTTAAGATTTTTGCATGAAGAGTGGCTTCCAATTTAATTAATTATTAATATGGAGTTTATAGTTCTTGAATTATGTTTGTACAGTTTCAAAAGGTAACATTCTGATTTAAAAATCACTAAAATTGATTCCTTTATTTTGTTAGGTTCATCAGACTTAACTTCTGCCAGAAATTATCAGCAGCCTCCATTAGAAAATCCCACTGTGTCAGAAAGTGTAAGCAAAAGAATTCTTAATTATGCTCATGTTAAAATTTTAAGTATTGGCAAATAATGCTTTTTAAAATTTTGTTTGATTAGCAACAGACCTTGTTTTTACTTAAATTTCATTTACCAAAGAAATGTTTTTACAAACTGTAAGGTAAAGGTAAAGCAGCCATAACAACATAATAAAAAAAAGTGAGGTGTGAATTATATATCATTCAAACTATGCTGAAGCCTTTTGTGTACTTTTTTTTTCTTTTTTTTTTTGCGGTACGCGGGCCTCTCACCGCCGCGGCCTCTTCCGCCGTGGAGCACAGGCTCCGGACGCGCAGGCTCAGCGGCCATGGCTCACGGGCCCAGCCGCTCCGCGGCATGTGGGATCTTCCCGGACCAGGGCACGAACCTGTGTCCCCTGCATCGGCAGGCGGACTCTCAACCACTGAGCCACCAGGGAAGCCCTTTCCTAGGAACTTTTAATAATGGGTTCACAGAATTTAAGTGTATGTATGTACCAAAGTTTATTTGTTCATATTCCTGTCATTTGACATTAAGGTTTTTTCCCCCTTGTTTCTTATAATATAAACAACCAGGTGATGAACAGTCTGGTATATATCCTAGCTCATTTCCTTGTATTAATTTCTAGGTGTAAAATTATTAGATAAAAGATTATGCATGTTTTTTTGCAATGTTTCTAAATTGCCTCCAGAAATACTGTATCAATATATATTCTCCAGCAAGGTCATGAGTAAGAGTTAGTGGAGTTATTTCCCCCCGTCTTTATTTATACGAAGCATTAAAATTAAACCAAAAAAACCCCTGCCATTTTGATAGGTGAAAAAGGCATCTCATTGTTTTATTTTCTATTTCTTTTATTATTAGTGGAGGGGAAATTTTTTTCATATATATTGCCACCTGTATTTACTCTTTTGTGAATTACATATTTATGTGCTGTGCTTTTTCTAACGGATTTGTGGGAGTTCTTTACATTAATTTCCCAGATACATTCTACTGTATTGTTAGCCTCATTGGCTATTTTTAGGAAATTAACACCTGTTATCAGCGGATAGCTTGGATCAGTTTTCTTTTATGATTTCCTCTTTTCCCTTTAATGATTTAGCAGGGAAAAAAATGTGTGTGTAAGGAAGATGAAGCAATGTTGACTGAACCTAGTACTTAAAAAGTCATGGTGTCTTAGCACTGAATAGAATCTTAGAAATGAAGTCTAGGGTTACACATGTGAGCAGAAAGCTATTTGCCAGTAGGTGTCACTTATATAGTGAAGTCTTCTGAGACCACATTATAGCTTAGTGACAAAGAATACTGTGATTAATTTGTGATATTGTGCCATGCGTTGACCATCCTTACGAACTTCATTTGACTCACAGTGAATCACATTTTCACATTTAACTATAGCCACTGAGATGTTACATAAGTTGCTCTGCTGAGAGTACCAAGTCAGGATTTGAATCTGAATTTCAAGGTCACAGTTGCTTGCTTGTTCACTTACCCATTCGTTCACTTGATGACAGCTCATTGCTCATTCAACAAATCTTTGAGTAGCTTCAAGGTACCTAAGCATTATGGTGGTGCTGGGAATTAAGCATAAAAAACACACAGTCCTGTCCTCCCAAGGCACAGTAGTCACATGGCTAGTAAGTGGTAATTGATAAATAATAAATCATAAAGTTTATTTAGCCTTTCATTTCTTCCTTTCATATCTTAAAGGATTTTTCTAAAGATGTTGCAGTGCAAGTGTTGCCTTTGGATAAAACAGAAGAGAACAACAGACAAAAAGGTAAAAGGATAGATTTGATTTTTTTTGGTAAAACATACATAACATAAAATTTACCATTTTTACCATTTTTAAGTGTACAGTTCTGTAGCATTAGGTATATTCATCTTGTGCAGCCATCACCACCGTCCATCTCCAGAACTTTTCATCTTCCCCAACTGAAACTCTGTACTCATCGAATACTAACTGTATTCCCCCTCCCACCATTCTACTTTCTGTCTCTATAAATTCCACTATACCTCATATATATGGAATCATACAGTTTTGTCCTTTGGTGACTGACTTATTTCACTTAGCATGTCTTCATGGTTCATTTATGTTGTAACATGTAAGAATTTCCTCGGTAAGGATAGAATTTTAGATTTTTAGACATTCATTGATTTTTCTTTTTAGATATTCACTAAACAGCCTTATAGTTTTTTCTTATTATTTTCATTTTTAATTAGTTTTTCCTTCCAAATTAAGCTACTAATGGAATCTCTAAAGTCCAGAAAAAGGTTTGTAATGGTAAGGTTACTTTTATTATTGCCAACATATTGCATAGGTTTGGTATTTGATACCTGTTTATACATGCTGAATTCAAGTTTTGTATAGTCTTTGGTAAGATAATAGATTAAAATATGCATTGAAAAAATTTATTTAATGACAGTTAAAAAGTAGTTGGTTTTATTTTCATCTAAGCAGTTTTGTTGAGTTTGAACAAATGTCTCTAATTTGGCCCCAGGTGTTTTTACACAATTTTTTTTCTACAGTCTAGGGTTATAACTATTATTACTCAGTCATTTAATTTGTTCCTTACCTTTTTAAATTGAAAGATCATATTGCTGAATCCCCAAACATTATTTTTAGTTAAAAAAGTTTTTCTTTGAGTAGCTTATCAAAATTTAATAAATTTTCAGGAATCTAAAGTATATTTTTGTGTTTTGATTTTGCAGCAAATGACATCTTTATTTCTCAGTACACTATGGGACAGAAAGATGCTCTAAGAGCAGTTTTAAAACAAAAGTAAGTTTCATTTACAGAAAATAGGTGGGCCATTTCTTGTGTTTCTATATGGTTCTCTAAAATCAGCTTTATTTATACTTTGCACCTAGGAAAAAGTATTTTTTTTTAAAGTGTGAAATATATATATGTGATAATATGTATAAAGCATTTTTCATGGTGCTGGGCATGTGAAAAATACTCAGTGGCTGTTAACAATTATTATTATTATTATTGAAGATTTATTGTTCTAAGCACTTTATGTGCATTAACTCATTGAATTCTCTCAAAATCCAATGAAATAGATTCCATTACTATCCCAATTTTACAGAATCCCCATTTTATAGATAAGGAAACTGAGGTAGAGAAGGATTGATTTTCCCAAAGTCATTTAGCAAGTATTCACTGGGCTGGGATTCAAACCCAGGTAGTCTGTCTTTAGAGTCCTCTCTTAGTCACCTCACTATACTGCTTATAGCAGTAGTCAAGTAGTTCCAAATATATAATACTTACTACTTACTATCAAAGGACATTTAGACTTTTTCTGGTTAAGATTTGAGAAAGGGACAAGCTTAGCATCTGGATGGAGTGAAGGGGAATGTGGCTACTACTCTATTCAAATGCTTCCTCCCAACTTTATCTTTAATGCCAGTGAAATACAGAACCAACCCTGACAACAGCACCATGCTAAACATGAAAGAATATAACACTGGAGGAATTTTTTTTTTTTTATCATTAGTGGCGGTGGAATGAGATACATATTCGTAGGCTAAATGTATTCTACTCCTAAACCAGAGCAGCCTGGGACGCCCCTTAGAAAATAGGAAAAATGTTTACTTACTTTTGAACTCTCATTTTATTCAAAAAGGAAATTTTAGATTACTTCTATAAGTGGAAAGTTGCTATTTCTAATAATACAATGAAAATAAGTATATAACTATTAAAATAAAGTTTATTCTTTTTCACCTATAGTTATCCATGGTATACATATTATACTCTGGGAAACACTAACGAAATAAATATTACCTCCAAACTACAAGGGTGTGATCTGAGCCAGCCAGAGTTTCACAACTGGTTGTTTTGCTTAATGGTGCTTTTCCTTTTTACATTTGATCAGCCTCCAGTTCCCAATATGTGATATGGTGGTTAGGAGGAGAATTTGGATGGTAAATTGCATTCTGGGATTTGTAAATATATAAGAAAAGGCAAAAGTAAGGGCATGAGGGAGTAGTGCAGTCTCCCAAATTCTATACTTGAACTAAAAATTGCAGACTACATCTGACTCATTTGGAGAGAAAGTGATTACCATTTCCATCCAGCTGACCCCAGGTGGAAGTGGCTGCTTGCAACCGTAATGGAGACTTTATCAACTTGCCTTCAAGTCAGAACTCTCAGATCTGAGAGGGATAAGTTGTTTATATACAAGTGGACAGTGAGAGGTAACTGTGAACACTACTCCTCTTATCTGTTCACAGTAGATCTCTCCCCATTTCAGGATGGATGAACAGAATTTTTTTTAAAAAGCAAAAAACAAAAAAACTAGAAAGGGCCTCTGAGAAGGTCATTGCAATGTAGAGAATAATAATTGAGTCAGAAGTATAAAATGACTCTCATACTGGGTTAAGAGAGATTTTGCTGTAGTCAGTGTCACTTGAATTTTTTTTCTTTTTTGAGAATGGTGGATGGAATTTGGCAAAGTGATTCTAAAATTTACTTGGAAGGACACACAAACTGAGAATATATACACATACTGTTAAGAATACATACATGTAGAATGCACACAGTTGAGAATAGCTAATTTTGGAGAAACAGAAATGGAATGATGGTAAATCTGCCCTACTTGATACTATAATATGCTGTAGAGCTGTGATAAAAGGTAATCAGCTGGAGCCCTTGAGGAATGAAGAGTCTGTCCAGAGTGTCTAGACCAAGGGTAGAATGTCCTTACATGTGGCTGGAGAGGTAAGCAAGGGGTGAGGTTATAAACTACTTTAAAGAAGTTTGGACTTAAAGAGAAACAGCAAATCATTTAAAAGTTTTAAAGTATGATATATTTTTCTTAAAAGGCTCACTCAGGTAGTTATGAAAAAATGGATTGGAAGAGGACTGGACTGGAGTCCAGGAAACCAGTTGACTATGAATTTTTCAGGAATCTTTTAAAGAGATGAATTAGATTGGTCCTGAGTACATTGGGGAGTGGTGGAGTGTGAGGGTGGGAATCATGCTGGGCTGTAGAGGAGCACACAGGTTTGGAAGATGATCTGGAGATAGAATTGACAGGAATTGCTGCTTAGATGTGAGAGTGAGGAAGGAGCTAAGGATGGATCCTAGATTTTTAGCTTGTATAAATGCATAGTCAGTAGTAGTATTCATTAAGAAATGGAAGCCTTGGGGGAATAAATTTCATTTTAGACGTAAGCAGGGGTTTGAGGTACCTATGAGACATCCAGGTGAAAAATGTCTGATAGGAAATTGAATATAAAGGTCAAATTTACAAAAGGGGTCTAAGCTAGAAATCCATAAGTCATCTGTATGTAGATAGTAGTCTAAGCTCTGGAAGTGATTGAAGTGACTCGGTGGGAGTGTGAGAGTGAAAAGAGATGGCATATGGTAGGGCTCTGAGAAAACCAAACCTTTAAGAGATGTGCAAAGAAAGCAATGTGGCTTCTAAATGTTACTCAGAAAGTTTATCCAGAGGTGTAAGAGAGTATGGTCTTAACAAAACCAAGGGAAATGAGGTTCTAAGTTTGATAGCTGCTCAGAGGTAAAGAAAGATAAGGACTGAAAAGTGTCCATTGAATTGAGCAAGACGAGGTATTAATGGCCTTGGTAAGAGCAGTTTCAGTGTAGCATTGGGATAGATGCCAGATTCAGAGGATTTAGGAATAAAGAAGAAAGTTCTAGAAAAAGACTAGAAGGAAACAGTTTCTTCTGAATGGGAGAGTTATGTGCATTTTTTCTAGTTCTTTACACTTAGAAGCTCATTTGCTGCATTGAGCATTTATTAATTTGATAATTGGAAAAAATAAAATTTTAAAGCCTATAAAGAAGTTGATGTCTAGCCTTATAATGTTATTTTTCTTGTTGGTCAATTTAATGTATTAAAGTAGAATGAAAGATCTTAAAGGGTAAATCACATTCAGACTTCAGACAGAAATTCTAAAAGATACAGATTATCTGAATTACATTTTCTTAGTACACCACTCAGTCAGCTAAATATATATTGAGCACCTACTGTGTGCTCTTTCTTAGTTGCTGTTCGGTATAAAAGAAGTCCCCGGCCCCCCACCCCAGGTTGCTTAGAGCTTGGCTGGGGAGAGAATTGGTAGATATATGGAGGAATGCATGATTAGAGCTGTGAGAGGAAACATTCAATACATTGTTAAACTGTTCTGTACAGACATTTAAACCATAGGATGGCTGACTGTCAAGCCTCAGTTGTGTGGTATAGGAAGTAAATGCAAAAGTAATTAATGAATGGAAAGATCAAGAGGAAATGTTATGAGAGCAGGCTTATTGAAAAAGGTAAGGCTTTTGTTGTATCTTTAGAAGGATAGAGTAAGTTAGGTGAAGAAAGTTGAGAGAGTGAGAAAAAGCATGGAGTCAGCTGTGGGAGTGGCATGGCGTAGTCAGTGAGAGCAGTGTGACTCAGGAAGAGGTGGTTGTGGGAGGAAAAGTGCAGTATGTATAGGGCAGGGCCAGAGGATGGAGTGTGTGGAAGGCCAAACAGGAAAGTAGCCTATTCAGTTGCCTATAAGGAATGATTTTAGATTTTTGAATGGTGGGAAAATGTGTGTGGAAAGTTTTTAAGCAATTAGAAATGGGAAGAATGAAAAAGTTGGCCAGAGATGATGGTTTGTACTAGAGCAGAAGTCTGAAGGGAGAAGTGCTGTTTGAGAGAGAAAGCTTGGTGTTATGGGACGATCTCTGGGAACTGGTCCTAACTCAGCTGTTTACTAGCTCTGTGACGTGATCAAGTAAATCCCGTTACCTCTATGGACCTCAGTTTCTTGATGTGAAAATTAGGAAAGATGGGCTACTGGGTTCCCCTTACCTCCATAATTCCATGACACTAGTCCTGCAATTGTGATGAAATAATTGACAAAACCTGATGACTCAGTTGGGCATGAGAAGGTAAACGAGGATAGAGAAGTTAACTTCAAAATTTTGAGAATGAGAGAAAGATGATGCTCTTAATAGAACTGAGGCAACATCAGTGAGGAGTAAGTTTAAGAGCTCTGTGGCCTTCTTCAAAAATCAAAGGATGGGGCTCTTCCCTGGTGGCGCAGTGGTTGGGGGTCTGCCTGCCGATGCGGGGGACACGGGTTCGTGCCCCGGTCCGTGAAGATCCCACATGCCGCGGAGCGGCTGGGCCCATGAGCCATGGCCGCTGAGCCTGCGCGTCCGGAGCCTGTGCTCCCCAACTGGAGAGGCCGCAACAGTGAGAGGCCCGCGTACTGCAAAAAAATAAAAAGAAAAATCAAAGGGTGGAAATTCAGCAGCTGGAGATGGAGCTCATTCCTGTTGATTTTACTTAGACTTACCTTAGGGAGCCTTCAGTTTTGTCAGTGTTTTCTTTCATTGATTTATTTTAGGCCAAATACAGCACAAAATTGACCAGTCTTTTTTTAAAAATTTTTTTTAGGTGTTTAGTTAAATGCCTTACTGTGAATATGTATCTATTTTCTGGACTCATTTTTAATCCAGACTGCTTAGTAGTGTGTTTTGTGCCCATTTTAATAAACTAGGTGACATTTATTAAATCTGAATGAGTTAGAATTTAAAAAATTATTTTCAGCAGTTTTAACGATCCCTCTTGGGTTGTCTTACTTTGGGAGCAAAACTTGAAACCTAAATTCTTAAAGCCTTTTCTGCATGTTTTAAATTTGTACTTCTTGACTATAAATCATTGTAATTGTGCCCATGTCTTTTCCACATGCATAAGTCATATTTTCTGAAATATCAGTGCCTTCAAGGAATTACCTTTTTATTTCTGTAGTGTGTAGTGACCTGAGCCTTAATAGATTTCATTAACCAAATGACTGATAAGATGCTGATAGTGAAAAATAGGGATTTAACTTAAAAAAATCAAGAAGACTCACCTGCAGCAGATTACCACTTGTAGGTATTTCTTCTAATGGTTCAGTAGAGGTTACTGAATAGATTTTATTCCTTTTTTATTTACAGAGCTCAGAGCATGCCTGTCTTTAAGGAGGTAAAGGTACAGCTTTTAGAAGATGCCAGCGCAGAAAAGGACCCTATTATTCAGGAGAGTAGAACTTCACCCAGTGGAATTGATTCAGCTGCAACTGTGGCCGCAGCAACTGCTGCCGCCATTGCAACAGCAGCTCCACTGATAAAAGTATATCTGTTTCTTCCCAGATAGTCATTACTACTTTGTAAAATGTAAAAATGTTTATTAGAAACTGATTCTGTAATTGTTGTGTCCAGCCATTGGCTAGGGATATTGCTGTCTGTAGTTGTGAATTATTTCTCAGAAGTTGTGAGATTTACCTCTCATCCCTGTGTTAGTTCTAGAAAATCCTGGACTTTCTTAGTTCTAGCACTGAAAAATCTCATCTTGGGAACCCCTCAGTCCTGGGTACCTGGGATGTTTGGTCATCCTTATTTTAGAGCTAGAAGGGACCATACAGACCATCTATGCCAAACCCCTCAGTTTGTAAATGGGAAAAATGAGAAACAGGTCAGAGTCAGCAATAAGGTCTTAGAGCCAATAGGGGGAGAGCCAAGACTGCTGACCTAACTCAGCCTCAGATTAGTGAAGTATCGAAAGCTACTTTGTTTTGCTATTTCCTTCTTTTTAATTTCCATTTAAGTATTTTTAATTTCCATTAAGTATTTAATTTCCACTTAAATAAAAATTGTATGTGGCAAATTTGTTATTTTTTATGAGAGAAAAGATCTACTTAAGGATAACTATCTTCTGCCTTTTATTTCTGTGATTCTAAAAATAAAGGCATAAAATCATCAGAAATTTAGAGGGCAAAAGCTCTGGTTTGATAATTTCTCAATACCAATCACTTTATATAATCTTTCTAGTAATTGAGAATATTTTTGATATCTTTGGATATTTTTACTGTTTTAGGTGCAGAGTGAGTTGGAATCAAAGGTCAATACTGTTACAGAATTACTCAATAAGTTACAGGAGACTGATAAACAGCTACAACGCGTTACAGAGCAGCAGACAACCATTCAGAATAAACATGAGAAACTACACTGCCGTGATCATGGAAAGCAAATGAATGTGTTTATGGAGCAGTACATTAGGCATCTTGAAAAACTGCAGCAACAACAAATAGATATTCAGGTAATAAAGGGATTACACATTCCATGACCTTTTATCACGTGGATCTCTAAGCTAATATTCATTGATTATTGCAATAGCTCAGGAGATTGTAACAGTTTTAGTTCTTAAATAATGATTTGCTTTTGTTCAGAATTCTTTTCCTCTATGGGGTAACTCTGCATGTTCTAGTTCAGACGTTTAGCTCTGTGAGACCTCTCCTTATAGTTGGCTTTTCCTTCTTTTGTGGTATTTCCGTTGACGGCGTTTTTAAAGGGCATTTATTGCGTTGCAGTTTTTTGTTTACATCAGTGGCTCTTAGCCTGGGAATGTGCATCAGACTCACTTGGAGAGCTTTATAAATATACACGTGCTTGTACCTCTCAGAAGGTCTGAGACAGCAGGTATCAGATGGGGTCTGGGAATCCTTGAAAGCTCTCTAATGATTCTGTTGCACACCCTTGGATGAGAACCACCTAGTATACTTATTTGCTTCTACATTTACTTAATTAAAAAGAATGAACATTCTTATGCCTTTTGAATATGAGGCACTGGGCTATTATAAAAAGAAGAATTATCCTCACAGAGAGCTGATAGTATAGTTTCTTATTTATTTTGGAATTTCTAAGTCCTGGGATACTACCCAGCACTCATGTACTCAGTATACTTTCTTTTTGAATGAGTGAATGACCAGCATCGTAAATGCATTGGTTTTTTTTTAAAATAAATTTATTTATTTTATTTATTTATTTTTGGCTGTGTTGGGTTTTCGTTGCTGGGCGCGGGCTTTCTCTAGTTGAGGCGAGCTGGGGCTACTCTCCGTTGCGGTACACGGGCTTCTCATTGCAGTGGCTTCTCTTGTTGCGGAGCACAGGCTCTAGGCACGCGGGCTTCAGTAGTTGTGGCACGTGGGCTCAGTAGTTGTGGCACGCGGGCTGTAGAGCTCAGACTCAGTAGTTGTGGCGCACGGGCTTAGTTGCTCCATGGCATGTGGGATCTTCCCAGACCAGGGCTCAAACCCGTGTCCCCTGCATTTGCAGGCGGATTCTTAACCACTATGCCACCAAGGAAGCCCTGCATTGGTTTTAATTTACTTTTTTTCCCTACTTAGTATGCAGTTTAAAAACTTTTAAAAATAAAATTAAAATATAACATTCAGAAGAATATATAAAAATAAGCTTATCATAGCTCAATATAAGATCACAGAGTGAACACTAATGTCCTATTATTTTCAAGACTTCCTAATAGAGCTTGTCTTGAAATTTTCATGGGATTAAGATATTATTTTTATTGGAAAGATTATGGGCATATAAAATAAAGTTTTAGTAAGTACTCCATACATTGCTAAAATTGAGTGTGCAGCATGTCATCTGGAGAGGCTAGGGGTGGGCCTATCAGAGTGCTGGTCCCCAGTCTACAGGTAACTTTGCTTCTCTGAGCCTTGATTTCTTTACCTAGAAAATATTTTTGGTTCAGGATAGAATGAGATGACACATTTGAAAAGCACATTGAGTTTTTTTAAGGTAGTTCTAGGTGCCTGCCATTCATTTATCCTTCCATAAATAAACGCATAATTTATTAACTTTCTGATTTTGGAAGAATGGAATCTTTGCTAATTCAGACATCTTATTTATAAAGCCTATAACTACAGAGAAAATTGAACTTTCAGTGAGTATTTTAGTAGTTCAGTTAAGGCTTAATGAAATGAAATTCTTTTTGAAGAGTGATCTCAACACACTTTTAAGAATTCTGTAAAACTATAAATCTTTTCGGTTTTTCTTTGCCTAGCATAAAACTCTTTTAAAATCAGTTTTATTAGTTAAGATACTTACACATTTCAGATGTTTTAATAGTGTTAAAACTGTGTTGTCACTATAGTTTCCATTTATACGTAAATGCATAAATTGCTGCTGCTATGTGCGGCTACTATTTTATTTGAGTGCTTTCTGTCAATGGTTATTAAACCTTTAATTAAAATAAAATCTTACCATCCAGGATATAAAAGATGAGATGTTTTGGTTTTAAATTCTCTGGTTTAAGTAGAGGTCTAGGGCTAGGGTCCCTTCTTCCTGGTCCTCTCCTACCCTGCTTCAGTGTCTCTTGAGCCATCTCTGAGGTGAAAAGGAAGAAACTGAGGTTTAGAATAAATTAAATGATCAGGGCCACACTGCAGAGCCAGACTTAACCCAAGTGCTATTATATGCTTCCAGTGGCGTTGCTGTTGCAGTAGATAGTTGCATGTAATGTATGTCTTTTCATTGTTTATTAAATCTAATAGATTGTTTTCAGGTCTTCTAATAAATTCAAGGTATTTTGTCCTCTAACTCTTTCAAATGATATTTGAAATTAACAAAGTAATTTTATGTTTTCTAGACTCACTTCATTAGTGCTGCACTCAAGACTAGTAGTTTTCAGCCTGTTACTGTGCCCCCTTCTAGAGCAGTGGAAAAGTATTCTGTAAAACCAGACCATTTGAATTTTGGTAGCAGTAATCTATCTTCACATAACACCTTTGCTTCCGAACAAGGTAAAAATATGTAGTTTTCTATGAATAAAAAATGCCAGCTATGAATGTTTTTTGCAGTATATAAGCTGAAAACTTACTTACAAGGTTGTGAGAGACTCTTTGTTTTATAAAATTAGGTTTTGGTTTTTTTTAGGTCAGGTAAGTTTTAGATTATTTTGAAACTTGTTCAGTCAGGTTATGGATCATGTTCTACTTAATGGTTTTAATTAATAACTTTCATAAATTGTCAGAAGCACTTCTATATAAATTTAGAAAAATTTTACTTACCTAGCATCAAAAATGCTTGTCATCAATTCACCAATTTTCTGACAAACTGGATATTTACTGTTTTCTTGATTCTGTCAGGGGAGAAACCATCTGAGTACAATTAGAAACTATTTCTAAATATTTTCAAAGAGTTAGTAATGCAAGTCTATTTTAATGGAATTTTAAAAATCTCTTTATAAAAACAAAGGAATACATAGCTTATTTGTGTTAATCCTTTGGAATTTAAACTATATCAATAAATGTATCTCCAAATTATTGATATTTGAATAATGAACTAATGAAAATCAAGGGCCTATCCCTTTAATGATATACAGATCCATGTAGTACAATATTCCCGACATTTTATTTGTTAGAACATTGTTGGATCACAGACATGTTAAAGGTTCCTTATACTTGCAAGGTGCTTTACGTTTCCCCCAAATGAGTGGGTCTTACAAAACTTTTGTGAAGTGATGTGAGTCAGTTTTTAAGTTGTAAAGGGAGGAAGATGAAGCCCAGAAAGGTTATGACTGCCTGCTCAAGGTCACCTGGCTTGAGAGTGAAAGTGTCAGGGCTACAGCCGGAAGTCAGGTTTCCACGCTCACCGTTTATCGTTGTCTAATGTATCTTGTACTTTAAAGTGGGATCTCTCTAGAACAAAGTATATAAAAATTTTAAGACTTGCTATACTTAGCACCAGATGGTCTTACCAGTTTTCATTGCCATGAGCAGTATCTGGCTATGCCATTTTTCACCACAACTTGAATAGCACTGAATATTGTCATATTTTTTTCTTATTTATTAGGTATAAGTATAAAGTGTTTATAGTTTGTATTCTTCTGATTCTAGTGAGGATGAACTTATTTCTATATATTTGTTAATAATTTGAGTATCCTATATAATTTTTGTTTTATTTTTAAAATATGGGGAAGAGTAATATTACAATTTAAACGTTTTTAAAAAGTAAGTTAAATTTATTATTTTCTTTATTTTCTATTGAAGCACCTTCAATAGAGGTTGAAGATACCAATTTTGATAAACAGAAATCTCCTTTGGAGACACCAGCACCTCGCAGATTTGCTCCTGTACCTGTTTCAAAGGATGATAAAATATCAAGGAGGGAAAATCCTATGGATAAAAAAGAAAATATGGAGATGTCACGTCATACAGGTAATAAAGCAATTATAATTAGCACCCACTACTTTTATTAGACCCATCTCAAATTAGGAACAGATTTCCACACTCATGATTTATAATTCTCTAATGTGCCTTGTAGTAACTGAAGTAGGATCTCTATTTTTAATATTTGTATTTAAATGATACTTTCTGGGCAAATCAAGCTTCTTTAGATTCTTTGTAGAAGGAGTTGGAGATATACCTTTATAATTATTCTGACTATCTTCAACATGTTATTACTTAAACCTTTAATGAAAAAAATTTGTTATTAATAAATAAAAAATAATGCTTTATAGAAGGTAAGGTTGATTATCATGTTTACTTATATTGTTTTTAAGTGTGAATTTAAATACTAAAACTCAGAGAAATTTAACATTTATTATTGTGTTCAATTGGAAAAAGTGCTAATAACCTTTATAAGTGACAGGAAATAATAATTTGTTATAGACACTTAAAATATAGCCTTTCTAGTAAAAGGAAGTAAAAATGTTAAATATAAGCTTTCATTTTTGGAGTCATTTAAATGCATTCCAGTCTTGTCTTGGACACATTTAAAGAATCTTAAGGAATTTAAAAGATAATAAAATCTTTAATTAATAAACTAACCTCACCAAAAAAAAAGTTTGTTATGTAGTCTCATTAAAGATGAGGCTAAAAAGAAGATTCAACCAATAGTTGTTGTGAAGAAATAGTTAAATCTCCCTTTTACTGTTTATAAAAATAGTTACAGGGCTTCCCTGGTGGCGCAGTGGTTGAGAGTCCACCTGCCGATGCAGGGGACACAGGTTCGTGCCCCGGTCCGGGAGGATCCCACATGCCGCAGAGCGGCTGGGCCCGTGGGTCATGGCCGCTGAGCCTGCGCGTCCGGAGTCTGTGCTCTGCAGCGGGAGGGGCCCCAGCAGTGAGAGGCCTGCGTACCGCAAAAAAAAAACAAACAAACAAACAAAAAAAAATAGTTACAGTTTACTGGGCTTTGTGATGATGTTACTTCTCATTCAAATTCCTTTTTTCTGTGATGGAAATAAATTCAGGCCTAAAATTTTACCGGTATAGTTTCCTTGAGTTATAAATATTTAGTTTTATTGATGAATGTATGTATAGTCTACGTTGTAAATTGAGTAGGTCATCACCACATGAAACTAATTTAGTACAAATATATGTCAGATAGTATATAAAAGAGAAATGAATTAGTACTTGAAAAATGATACTGTATCTCTTCTATTGTAGAAAATGTAGGACTCTTGGAACAAATTTTGAATAACTATGATTCTTTGACAAGAATAAGTGAATCTTCAGACAAAAACTTACTAACTAGATCAAAAATAGGATGGAATCCTGAGAGGAGAAACAGGTAAAAACAAGAGATTGGACTAAAAGCTACATTGAAAAGAGCTTTGTTTATATTTTTAAAATTTCTTTAGAAATTTTAGTGAATTTAAAACATTGCTTTTAAAAATTGTCTTAGATTTAGTTACTATTTTCTTCTGTTAATAGATCTTTCCTCTTTTCTATAATATAATTAGGAATACATCTAATTTTCTCAAACTGTGGATTATTTACTATTCATTTCTGATGAAATGATATCTGGGATTTGCTTCAATAACAATCCATTGCAGGGGCTTCCCTGGTGGCACAGTGGTTAAGAATCCACCTGCCAACACAGGGGACATGGGTTCGAGCCCTGGTCCGGGAAGGTTCCACATGCCGTGGAGCAACTAAGCCCGTGCACCACAACTACTGAGTCTGCGCTCTAGAACCTGCAAGTCACAACTACTGAAGCCTGAACACCTAGAGCTCGTGCTCTGCAACAAGAGAAGCCACCACAATGAGAAGCCGGTCCACCGCAACGAAGAGTAGCCCCTGCTCACCGCAACTAGAGAAAGCCCGCATACCGCAACGAAAACCCAACACAGCCAAAAATAAAAAAATAAAAATAAAATAAATTAATTTTAAAAAATCCATTGCAGGGTGGGGAAAACTGGGTTGGAAGTATAAATGAAATGAGAATAGCCATAAGTTAGTCATTTTTGTAGTTGAATAAAGGTATATAGAGGTCATTATATTATTCTTTCTACTTTTGTGTATGTTTGAAACTTTACATTATAAAGAGTTTTTAAAAAGTCAAGTAAATCTAAGCCACTATAATTTTTTTTGAATGTCATGAAAACTACAATAATAAAAACTAAACGTGTCACATTTTGCATAATCTCATAAGAAGACATTACAATTTTAGTCCATTACATTTAATGTAATTACTGATAAAGTAAGATTTATGTCTGTCATGTTGTTATATGTTTTTTTATATCTTAGGTCTTTTTTTATTCCACTATTCCTCCATAATGTCTTTTTTTTAATTAAATAGATATATTCTAGTATAAGATTTTCATTCCCTTGTTGCTTCTTTTACTATATTTTTTGAGTTATTTTCTCAGTGGTTGCCCTAGGAATTACAATTAACATCTTAATTTAAAATGATCTAGTTAGGATTAATACCAATTTAATTTCTATAGGATTCAAAAACTTTGCTCTGATATAGATTGATTCCCTCCCCCTTTCTTTCTGCTATTATTGTCATACAAATTATGTCTTCTTGCATGTCTATACAGCTTGATAATTATTGCTTTATGCAGTTGTCTTTTAAATCCGATAGAAGAAAAGAGTTATAAACAAAAATAATTTAATACTGTCTTTTATATTTACCTGTGTAGTTAACTTTTACCAGTACTCTTTGTTTATTCACATGGATTTGAGTTAGTTTGTGGTGTCCTTTTATTTCACTTTGAGGGACTCTTTTTAGGCTTTTGACAATTTGACTATGATGTAGCTAAGTGTGGATCTCTTTGAGTTTATCCTCCTTAGATTTTGTTGATCTTCTTGGATGAGTGGATCAATATTCATTAAATTGGGGAAGTTTTTGGCCATTATTTCTTTACACAGTTAAATAGTGCACATGACCTTTTTTTTCTCTCCTAGGGCTATGTTGTATGCTTGATGATGTTCCACAGGTCTCTGAGACTTTTAATTTTTTTCATTCTTTTTTTTCTTCTGTTCCTCAAACTGGATAATTTCAATTAATCTATCTTGAAATTTGCTGATTCTTTCTTTTGCCAATTTGAATATGCTGTTATCCCGTTTAGTGAATGTTATATTTCAGTTATTGTATTTTTCAACTCTCAGAATTTCTATTTTTTAAAAAATAATTTTTATCTTTATTGATATTCTTTGGTGAGACTTCATTCTTTTAGGTTTCTTTTTGGCTGTGTCGTGCAGCTTGCAGGATCTTAGTTCCCTGAGCAGGGGTTGAACCCAGGCCCTCGGCAGTGAAAGCGCTGAGTCCTAACCAGTGGACCACCAGGGAGTTCCTGAGACTTCATTCTTATACTTTCTTTTAATTGTAGTAGCTCATTTATGTTCTTTTTCTAGTAAGTCCAATATTTGGGGTTCCTCAAGGACAGTTTCTACTGACTATGCTTTTTCCTATGTCTGAGTTATACTTTCCTGTTTCTTTGTGTCTCACAACATTTTTGTTGAAAATTAGACATTTTAATGTGCCAGTTCTGGAAATCAGATTCTTCCAGCAACTCCCCCCCGCCGTCCAGCGTTTGTTGGTATTGCTGATTGTTGTTGTTGTTGTTCATGTTGTTGCTGTTTGTTAAGTGATTTTCCTGGACTAATTCTATAATTTTAATTCTTTATCATGTGTAGCAAGTCTCTATTTGGTTAGCTAAGTCTGCTAATGATTGGAAGGAGATTTCCTTATCTGCTTTGAATGAATAAGTCTCCCTGTCTTTGCAAGGGGCTGTGTGTGTGTGTGTGTGTATGTATCTACATGTTGGGGCGTACCTTCAGTGCTCCAGCAGTTTATAAGCCTGTCTTAACCTTAACTTCCTACTCGCACAGAGCCCACGGTCAGTCAGATGTGAAAGATTAGGCCCTTTTTAGGTCATTCTTTTGCATGCACATAGCCCTGTACATGCACATGACCTTCTAGATCCCCAGTAATGTGTTGGAGCTTTTCAGAACTCCACCATGGACATCTCATTCCCCAAATTTTTGGTTTATTGTTTACCCTCTTGTTTGCCTCAACTGGCATGACCCCCTCAGGCAGCTAAGATGTTGAACAATTGGCACTGTTTTCGAAGAGTGACCTGGGGATGGGATTTCTCACTGAGATAAATCTGAGTCAGGTCTAAGGAGAAACCCTGAGAAGGGACTTTTTGAGGGGCTCCAAACTTGTTCTGACTTTTTAGTGGTTATGAGGCTGTTGGTTTTCTTTTTTTAAAAAATGTTTTATTTATTTATTTATTTTGGCTTTGCTGGGTCTTAGTTGTGGCACGTGGGATCTTTCTTGCGGCCTTTTTAGTTACTGCATGCAGGCTTCTTAGTTGCAGCATGCAGACTTCTTAGCTGTGGCATACATGTGGGATCGAACCCGGGCCCCCTGCATTGGGAACATGGAGTCTTACCCACTGGACCACCAGGGAATTCCCGAGTCTGTTGATTTTCAAAGCTACCAGAGTTGGGGAAAGGGCTCTGGGAATAGGGCAAGTTAAAAATGCCATAGAGCTTGCTGTTCTTGTCAGCCATTTTCTTACTTAAATATTCCTTGGGTTGTTGCAAGCTTTTGTTTAATTTCCAGTGTTCTGCAAAAGCTGATTTGACCATTTTTGCTAGTGTTCTCTTTACTCTTAACAGGAGTAGATTTTTAGAGATTCTTACTCCACCATTCCAGAAGTGCTTTTGCACATTAGCTTTTTCCTGCTCTTTTTCTACTATTCCTAAACCAGTCTGGCCAGAGTAATCTTGTTTCTTGTAATTTTTGGTGTTTCGTATGTTTAATCACATAACTGATTAATTCTGTTGTACAATTTTAATAAGACTCATTTAGAATTCATATAACTAAGGATGTATCAAAGATTTATATAATCAACTGTTTACTAAATTTATGACAATTTAGAAAACTTTAATTTTAAATCTTTTACAGCATTGACCCTCTATCTACTCAGAAATTTCCTTCCTATGAAGAACTAGGAACAGCTAAAGTGACCGTGCAGAAGTCTGATGATATTCTTCATGATCTTGGCCAAAAGAGGAACGAAACAAATGGCATACTCCAGGTAAGGTGGGAGCAAGATACTAAAATTAATGATTAGTAAAGGTAAAAATTACGAAGAAATAAAGTTATTAAGACAGAAAGCAAGAGGAATGGTGAAGACAAAGCATGGAAAGACATGTCAGCCCAGCCTGTTCCCCTTACAAAACTTTTCCAAAAGCCCTCATCAAGTGATTTCTACTTACTGCTCCTTGGCTAAGACTGAGCCACATGGCAACCTGTAGCTCTCCAGCTTCTGTTGGAGAGGAAGGAAGGTGGAAGGGAACTGTGAATGGCCCTCGTTTATCCAGTTCACATTGTCTGCTCTGCCTACCTAGAGCCAACTTGCTCTTATTTTGTTTTAGCTTTCTTCACCAGATAGAGCTTTTGTTGGCCACCAAACTGCTGTGGGCTTCCCAGCCCCATTTCACTGAACATTCACATTAGTGCTTCTAAATGGAAAGAAACTTTAGTTGCCAAGTATTCTTTTATAGCTCTTCAATTTGACAAATTGATTCCTTAGACTATATTGGCATAGTATATGTCCCAAACTATAGTAGTAGCTCTTATTTGGATTAAAATATTAATATGAGTTTTACATATTAACATTCTTGCCTTTTTATCTTTTAAGCCAAAAGAATCTCAGATTGTGTCAGGGGTTGCTGATCTTCCACAGAATTCCATTAAGCTTCAAATAACCAATACGAGATCCATATTGAAAGATGCTGAGAAGATTTTGAGAGGAGTACAAAACAATAAAAAAGTACTTGAAGAAAACCTGGAAGCTATTATTCGTGCAAAGGATGGAGCTGCCATGTATTCATTTATCAATGCTCTATCTACCAACAGGTAGGACAGGATGTTGGCATCCCAAGGTTTTTTTATGAAACTGCCAGTTTACAGGCTCTCGTAATTTTTTTTCTAAGTGCTTCATTTTGTTTTAGTGTGTTTTAATGTTTAGAAAATGTTCTTCATTGCCTTTGACATGTGGACTTATTATAAAGTTGGAATTTGGGTATGTACATGTTGCTATTATTTTTCACAGATGTTAATTTTCCCTGTTTTTTTCTCTCCTTGGAACATTTCTTCTGGGATCTACATGTGCTTTTCAAACATTCGATGAAACTAATAACATTGGTTTTTCATTTTCAGATGAAGGATATTGGGCTACACAATAGATTCAAAACTAGGTAAGAGATCTATTCTTAGGACCTTTAATGTTAATTTAAGAAAATTCTTTTTTCTGTTTTGTAGAGAGGTGTCAGAGAAGATTCGGATCAGAAAGGCAGTAGATAACTGGATTAAAACTATTTCTGCAGAAATTCAAGTAGGTATTGGAAAAAAAAAGAATTAATTAATTCTTAGGAGATAACATTTATTACAATTTACAAGTATCATACATATTCTCAAAATATTACTTTTAAGTCCACTGATAATTCTTAATTTCACTCTGTCACCCTTTATACTTACTTAGTAATAAGTTTCATTTTACTTAACATGTGCTTTGTCTCATAAATTATATTATGGCTGTTAACTGGAAAATTGTGGATAATAACTAAAATATGAGTGATTTGAAAGAAAATTTAGCAAAAGCATTTAGAAAAGAAAGAAGTATACTTACAAAAAAAAGATCCTTTAAAAAAAAAGACAGCAGATTTAGAAGCATTGGCTTACCAAAGTAAAAACATCAAAGTTACTTAAAAGGAAAATACTCCACAAGATTTTTAAGGTTACTAAGTTTAGAGAAGTCAGTTCCAGCTGGAAAAACTGCCACTTTCTCACCTCCACAAAGCTCATGGTGTATCTTCAGACATTAGCATTGCAAAAATCCACGACAGTTGTTTTTATCAAGGGGTCAGTAATTTAAAGGAAATTCTTAAAATTCTATGTATTTGAAGAAGCAAAACTAGACAGGGTAACTCATTTTTACCTTGGTATGCAAAGTGTTTTTTCCTGACTGTAAGATGTGTGTATCTATGTACTCACAGTGGTAGAAGATGAAGTGTTAGTTTTTTTGGTTTGGGGGATTTATTTTTGTTTCTTTCTTGTTTTTTGTTTTTGGGGGGTTTTTTGGCCTCACTATGTAGCTTGTGGGATCGAACCTGGGCCCTCAGCAGTGAAAGCACAGAGTCTGAACCACTGGACTGCCAGGGGATTCCCTAATATACACTTTTAAACACTGTTGTTTTAAGAATATATGTCTTTAATGTGGTTATAAAGAATTTATATTAACTGCTATGTAATGCGCCAGAAAAAAAGTGAGCTAAGCGTCAGAAGACTTGGAGTTCATATCTGGTTCTGCAGACGACTAGCAATATATGTCACTCTATAACTGTGGATTTTATGCAAAATATGCTTGTTTAAACCTACAAGTAACTTTAATTTATAAATAAATCTCAGCATATTATTACAAAATTGTTTACTTTTTGGAAACTTACATTTTAATTTAATTTTTGGAACAGTTACTGTATTCATATGTTTTAAACATCAAGAAGTGTAAAAAGCTTTATAATGAAAAGTTGCCCTCTTATCCCTGAACATCATCTACTATTTCTCATTCCCTCTGCTCCATAAAACACCAGTCTTTTTAATTTTTTGTTTATTCTAAAAAGAATTTTTATTCATATGTAAACCAATATCATTTACTTATAAAGCCTTTAAAACTGCTAAATTATATTTCTATAGCAGCAGAAAATGAATTCTAGTACTTTTGATGTGAAAGCATTACTACTTGGATAGATTTTAAGTAATTTTAATTTTGGTTATGTTAAGGATGAACTGGCAAGAAAAGATTATGAACAAAAGAGATTTGATCAGAAGAACCAAAGGACCAAGAGAGTTCAGAACATGAGTAAAGATATTAAAACCAACACAAAAGACAAAACGGTAAACAACTCTGTAATTCCAAGAAAACATTCTCAAAAACAAAAAGAGGAGCAAATTAGAAATCCACCTACAAGGAGCATGCATGCTTCAAGCTTACAGAAAGAGAGAAAAGAGGTAAGATCCTAATCTGGTTTTGTGATGTAAATGTTGCATTATAATTGATCATTTTTTAAAGACATAAATAAGGAAATGACTATGAAAATGTTTTAAAAATATGAATGACTATACAAATGTAAACCATCTTTAAACTATTGATATTTAGAGTTTTGGATATCCATCATGTAGAAATCACTGCACAAAGTATACAGTTCCTTCCTTCTGACATCTCACACTTATAATCACAGTATTTCAGTTACAGCAGGTATACCTAGAGATCATCTAGTCCAAAAATTAGATCCTCTAGTTCATGGTATTCAAAATTGTATTTCATCTTTGTATGTTTTGTGTGTGTGTGTGTGTGTGTGTATAAATTTTAGTTTGTTTATTTTTCAGTTTAACAAATGTCTGTTTAGTGCCTGGTGATTGCGAGGCATGGTACTAGATCCTAGAGGGAATTTTTTGGCTGTTCTAACTAAGCTGTAACTTTGTTAATGCCAAACATGGATTGTTGGGCAGATTCATAAAGCATCTGATTAATTCAGTACTTAGTACTTAGAAGATGCTCAATAAATGCTACCTTTCTGTGGCATTTAGTTATGATTGAAGGTGAGATCAGGAATGTAGGAAATTATTTAAAGACTTGGTTTATGTTATTTTACTGTATTTGACAGTTATTACTTTCATATGTAAAATGTGTTTAAACTTACTTTTTGGTGCTGAAAGTATGCTTAGTAGTGTAAGAACCTTCATGTTTTTTGGGTGGAAGATTTTTGTATTTAATTTTCATGCTTTGGAAAACTTTATAACTGTAGTTTGAGAACTATCTCCAGAATTTAAGAGCCATTCAACATAGAGGACTTTCCTGACCTGATCATTCTTAGTATAGTACTTAAGTTGGCAAAAGGGGTTTTTAGAAAAAGGAGATAAGTGTTTGATGACTATTTTGCTGGTGAGTTGAATAACTTTGTATACTTAGGGGTTTTTGAAAGCAACCACAGTGGTACAAGACAAGGATTATATGTTACAAATCTATGGAAAACCAGTTTATCAGGGTCATCGCAGCACTCTTAAAAAAGGACCATATCTCAGATTTAATTCTCCATCTCCTAAGTCCAGACCACAGAGACCAAAAGTAATAGAGCAAGTTAAAGGTAAGGAACCTCATTTTTTGGTGATAAAACTCATTTTTTGTGGTATTGGTTTAATATGTAGAGTTTAATTTTTGCTTTTTATTACTTATAAATACTGTTCAAATTATGTAATGCTTAGGGATGGAAACATTTCCTTTTAGGAAAGTAGGGAAAAATAGACCAGATTCAAGATAGGATCAGTGGGGAAAAAATAGGGTTAGATGGTATCTTCAGATAAAGCATGATAAAATTTATGAGATGATGACTTTTAAGCCATTTAGATTATAATCTAGGGAACGTAGACATTTCCTTGCAAAGCTTACTCCATCATATTCTTTTTTTTTTGCAGTACGCGGACCTCTCACTGCTGTGGCCTCTCCCGTTGCGGAGCACAGGCTCCGGACGCGCAGGCTCAGCGGCCATGGCTCACGGGCCCAGCCGCTCTGCGGCATGTGGGATCTTCCCAGACCGGGGCACGAACCCACGTCCCCTGCATCGGCAGGCGGACTCTCAACCACTGTGCCACCAGGGAAGCCCCATCACATTCTTTATGAACGGAAAGATAAGCCACATGCTGTACATTATCATAAAAGTGCTTATGGGCACTTCTGCAGTTTGGTTTGTCCTCAAAGAGCCTTAGTTAGCAAAGGGGAAAAATTTTTTTGTTACTTTTGTACACAACTAAAAATATCTTTATCACTATATGTTTTGACTCACACCTACCATTTCACTAGTATATTTAAATATAACTCTTAGTTAAATATTGAGTCCGTTGACTTTGGTTACATTTTGAAGTTTCTCAACTTGTGCTTTAGCAGTCTGTGAGGCACTTTGACAACATGCCGTCACTCATGGATCCCAGCTCATTTACCTTTCTGATCCTTTCTGGAAGTTGAAGCTGTGGCAGTTGCTTTATTTTTCTTTCCTTTCCTTTCCAAAAGTTAGTTGATCATATAGGGTGTCAGTTTATCTACAAATCCTATAGATTTTATTTTACTAGGCTTGTGGATGATATTTACCCTAATGTTTCCTTGTTTCTTAGAGCTTGCTATTGACTTATATTTGGGGTTTGGTAAGCCTTTGCAAAAAATAAGTTAAGGTTTTAAAATACTTTTAAATCCAAAAATCACTTTATGAAGTAATCCTTTTAATGGTAGAAGTGATTGAGAACCTATGGACCCAGGCTCCTCCTTGGGCCTTGGTGCCTGTTATTCCCTCTGCCTGGAGGGCTTTTCTGTCAGACCCTTGCATGGCTCAGTCAGTTCTTTCAATCTCTGCTCTTAGCTGTTAGCTCCTCAGAGAGGTCTATGTTGACCATCCTATCCAAAATGTTATCATCTAACCCTCTCTATTCCTTTGCCTGTTGTTCCTCATAGCACTTTTCACCATCTGACATTATACTTTTATTTGTTTATCAATTTTTTTCCTTACTAGAGTGTAAGCTACATGAATACAGTTGGTTTATTCAGTACTTGTAGTCCCTGTGTCTGGAATGATGCCAAACACATTTTAAATGCTGAAAAAATATATTTTAAATAAACATTCAAGGGGCTTCCCTGGTGGTGCAGTGGTTAAGAATCCACCTGCCAGTGCAGGGGACATGGGTTCAAACCCTGGTCCGGGAAGATCCCACATGCCGCAGAGCAACTAAGCAACTAAGCCCGTGTACATCTCACTTTGATATTGTTTCTAAAAAATCTTTAAGTACATTTTTTAAATCTTTAAAAACATTAAAAGTGCTTACTATGATGTTGCTATTAGACACTATCTACATTCACTTCCCCCTCTGCCTTTAAGTTTCTGAGTGTTAGCAGTGAGAGAAGTTACTGCTAGGCACCTTTCAGATTCTATATAGCACCTACAGTACGAACATGGAAGCAGAGGTATCAGTACCACCGCAGAGGCCCCCTCCACTGAATAACCATTTGTTTGTAGCAAGTAAATTAAACGGCAGTCTTCTCTGAGGTGGTTGCCTGGAAGCCCAGAATTCAAACTAATCTATTGTATTATAGTAAGAAATAAGCAACATCATCCCTTTCAGACTAAACAAAACTGGGTGGAAACTAAGAAAAAGAAAAAGAAAACCTACCTTAGGTCTAGCTAGGGTTCAATTAAAAAGTTTTTTACAAATACCTTTTATGTGTCCATCATTATTATACTATGTATTGTGAAGGCCACGAAGAGTAAGACATTGTCTTAATCCTCTTAAACTGGAGGACTTCCCTGGTGGCACAGTGGTTAAGAATCCACCTGCCAACGCAGGGGGACATGAGTTCGATCCCCGGTCCAGGAAGATCCCACATGCCATGGAGCAACTAAGCCCATGCACCACAACTACTCAGCCCGTGTGCTGCAACCACTGAAGCCCGTGCACCTAGAGCCCATGCTCCGCAACAAGAGAAGCCACTGCAGTGAGAAGCCCATGCACCACGACGAAGAGTAGCCCCTGCTCGCCACAACTAGAGAAAGCCCGCACGCAGCAACAAAGACCCAACGCAGCCAAAAATAAATAAATAAATTTATCAAAAATAAATAAATAAACATTCAAGAAAAACATTCCTTCAATTGAATGAATGAATACTTGAGAACATGATGAAAAAAATATATAGATGTGGTACTAAAATTTTTCTTCCTTGGATCATAAAACTATATTTAAAAGTCTAGATTTATAAAACTACTCTTATATTAAAAGTAAAAATGTAGAAATGTCAGGTATTTATTTATCAATAGAAAAGATTTTAGTTTCTTTTCCTTTACACTTTTAGTTTTCTTCACTTTTCTCAGGTTCCACAGAAATTTATGTTCTTCTCCAGAGAGACAGATAATCAGAAAAATTTCTAATTATTTAAGAATTCAGGATTTAATATCTATATAGGTTTACTAAATAGTGATTAAAAATGTATAATGTTATTAACTTCTGCAAGGTTTTAATAAATATAGAATTTGATTATCTGTACATAATTTCAAAGGATAAAGCCTGGTTATACAGAATAATGAGAAGATGAAAACATTTTCAATTCCAAAAATGGTCATTAACTTTCTTATACTCATAGGAAAAAACGTAACGAGTTAAATAATACGTTTTGAATATTCCTTTGAATCTTTATTCAACATTTTATTCTAGTTATTGTATCTTTTCTATCATAGTAGTTGCACAAGTTGTTACATCTATTCAGAGGTTGAAAAACCATGACCTGCAGGTCAGCTGCCTGTTTTTATAAATAAAGCTCTATTGGAGCATAGCTATACTCATTCATTTAAGTATTGTCTATGAGTGCTTTCATGCTACAACAACAGAGTTGAGATGTTGCCACTGAGACCACACGGCCAATGAGGCTAAAATATTTACTATCTGACCAATTAAGAAAAAGTTTGCCAACCCCTGGTTTACTTATATTTTGGGGCCCTGTAACCTTATTATATAGAATGAGATCTTTCTGTGAGGAAGGGTTGCTATATTTGTAGATGACTGTATAGTAGATGTTCAAACAATATTTTAAAATATCTGCCATTGGTCATTATTATAGGCACTAAAGTAAAGTCAATAAGAACACAAACTGACTTTTATGCAACAAAACCTACAAAGACAGATTCTAAACTGCAACATACCATAACTACACTGTCTCCTGGTGAGCAGCAGTATTTGTTCAGCCCAAGCCAGGAAATGCCTACTTTTTCAGGTACACTGGAAGGTCATCTAATTCCTATGGCAGTTCTTTTAGGTAAGACGTAACAAAATATATGGAGTAAATTTTAGAATTCTAATCAGCAATACCAGAAATTACAAAGTGATACTGACATAGTAGTCACCTACCTTTTCCTTTATGTGTTGTTTGTATTTGTGAGTAGGGCCACAGAATGTGTCTTAACTTGTGTAGTAGCAGTCTCTGAAATGATGCTATATTTTCACTTACAGGAAACATTCTTTTGGTATTTTATAATATATTTCTGTAGATGAAATGAAATTAAAATAATGTTTAGACATGTCATAGACATTCGTAATAATTAAAGAACTTGAGGATTTTGATTGGTTTAATATCATCATATCTTAGGAGAAAGTACTTTGAATTACCTTCTATATACTTTTGCACTAGGCCGTGATAAGTAAAAATTATGTAGTTGTGTGTTCTAAGCTAATAGTTTGTTATTAACTTATTTGAGGCCTCTCAGATCCATCATTGTAAAAGTTGAGCGAATAATTTTTGTTCTCACACTAGCTCTTCAAATTTTGATAGCTATTTTTTTCTTTAAATATCACTGCGATTCTTAATTTTGGTGAATTATTTAAATGTGAATATTTTTCAACATAAGAGAATTTTTAATTTTGATATTATGGGTTAATGGCATGTCAACTTGGTAGCTGTCTGTTCAAACATGTCTTCTACTAAAATAATAGCTGATACTTATAAAGTCCTTACTGTGTGCCAGGGACAGATCTAAGCACTTTATATATATTAACTTATTTAATCCACTGTATAAAATGCATGGTAATGTACCAGTTTTATAAATGAAGAAACTGAGGCACAGAAGAGTTCAGTAATTTGTCAAAGGCCACATAGCTAGAGTGGAGCCAAGAGTCAAACCCAGGCCGTGTGACTTTAGAGTCTGTGTTTTTAATGAATGCACTGCACTGTCCCTCTTTACTTTGAAATTTAGGAAACAAGTGGAACTTTTGAAGTGAAAGGTAACAAAATTTTGACAGCTATGATAGTCAGCAGATAGTTGGCCTACGTGCTCGTTATTGGTAGTCAAACGCTAGTATTTTGTTGTCGGTTTTATTTCTGTCTGTTGCTGCCCTATGAAGATTTGAGAATAAAAATAATACAACACAACGCAATACACTTTAGTTTTGGCTTTGCCACTTACTGTCATAACCTTTGGCAAATTAAGTTATGTCTCTAAACCTCTGCTCCCTCAAATGTAAAATGTGGATAATATTAATACTCCATAGGCTTATTTAAATTAGATAGTGTATGTGAACTGTTTAGTACACATGAGCACCTAATGTTAGTCGCTGCTCAAAGGATGACATGGTGAGTATGATGGCAGTGGTGATGATAGAGGAAAAGGTGATTGCAGATAGTGCTTTCCTTTCCCATGAGAATTTAGGCATAAAGATCTAGGTTTTATATTAGAATTTCTCTTTACTTCTGAAATGGTTGACTTCTTTTCCCCCCCAATTTTTTAGGACAAACCCAAAGTAATAGTGATTCCATGCCACCTGCTGGAGTAATTGTAAACAAGCCACACCCTGTAACAGTGACTACTTCTATTCCACCATCATCTCGAAAAACAGAAACTGGAGTAAAGAAACCTAACATAGCAGTTGTAGGAATGAAGTCAGAAAAAAGGGATCCTCCTCAGCTTACTGTGCAGGTATTCAGTGTGCATGAACAGAAAAATTTAAGGAAAAAAATATTTGGCTTAACTTTAGTGCTTAAAATCTATTATATTGCTTCATGAAAACTGTGCTTTCATGATGGGTCTTTCCTTCTTTAAAACTATGATATTAATGTGATATTGCTATCCTTGTTCTGCATGATTTAAGCTACCTTTTCTAAGCTGATAACTCATATCCAGGTGACTTGATGATATCCCAAAAGGAACAATTCAATAGTATATAATAATTAATTTTAAAAAGGCTTAATGTGTTTGTCTTATATAATTAATACTTTAATCTTTATACAAACATATATAAGAGGACTTGAATGAATGGAGAGAGAACTTATAATGTGAAGCTTAAATATTCAAGATGACAATTCTTCCTAAGTTAATGTATAATTTAAGTGAAATTGTATTAAAAAAAATAAAAGCCATAATTTTTTTAAAACTTGAACTTTAGGATCATTTTGACATTTGAAAGAACAAAGGTTTAGAAAAGTTAAAGTGTTTTGATACTGGTCCTATTTCAGAAATAGCCTTGGTTATTTAAAAAGACTGTAATATGTGATAGATAGTTCATTAGTCAGTGGGAAATAAGATTATTTTAAATGAAATAATGTATGTTATAATTAGTTAGCAGTGTGGAAAGTAGATCGGTTTTAGACTCTAAACTTTTACTGTGTATCAAGCGAGTTCCAAATAGGCAATAGGCTAAAGTATAACTACAAGATATAAAAACATAGAAGAATTAGAAGATAATTGTGTGTAGTCCTTATCAAAAATGAAGTTAAGTCTGGATATAGAGGAAAAATCTTAGTTATGATAGAAAATAGATTTGAATCTATAAAATCTAAAACTTATATATGTAAAAGATTCCTAAAAGACAAGGAAAAACAAAATACAGTGAGAACATATGAAAGGAATATGATAGAAAGTTTTAATTTTTAAATATAAAAACCTCCATAAATTAATAAGAAAACATAAGAGCAAATCCAGAAATATTCAAAGAACATGTATAAGACTCTACAGAAGAGGAAGTTATAAGCAATCAAATTGAGTAATTTAAATCTTGCTAGTTACCAAGGTAATGCAAATTAAAATAACAATAATATACCTCCATTTAAAAACTGTTCTTGCTGAAGCACTTCTATTATCTAATTTGGGTGAAGGTTGGATAAAACAATTAATTATGTTTTTGATGATGGAAATAGAGCTCTTCATTGCATTTGGGCAGTAATTACCAAGAATCTTAAATATTTATGCTTTTTGGCTCAAGAAGTTAGCCTAATATCTGGCTATCTAGCATAATGAAATAATTCAAAGTTCAGGGAAAAAACCCCTATGTATATATGAAGTTTTTTGGAGTGATATCTATCTATCTATCTAATAGTGAATATCCTAAATGTTTACCAACAGGAAATGATTAAATAAGGCATGTATTTTCTTGAAATACTATGCAGTCATTTAAAATACTGTTATGAAGTCTATATGGAAGTATAGTAAGGTGTTTATGACCTAATTACAATGGAAAATCAGGAATGAAACTGTTTTAGATTTTAGCTATGCATAAGTGGATAGTAAAAACATAAAGGGAATAGTGAAAATGATGTTGTCTTAAGATAATAGGATTCTTTGTGTTTCCCTTTTATTTTCCAAATTTTGTAAAATACGCTTTCATAATTTGAATTTGTTATCCATTGACTTGGCAATAAAAAGTTAAATATGTTATTGATACATAGATTCACAAATATTTGAGTCAAAATGATGAACTGAAAGCTGGATGTTGTATTCTGTTTTAGGTATTACCCAATGTAGATATTGACAGCATTTCAAATGGTAGTGCTGATGTTGGTCTATCTCCATCTAGTCCCAAAGAAGCATCTCCTCCTCCTCCTCTGAAAACCTGGATACAGGTATGTTCAGAAATGTATTCTATATCTTTGAGCAATGTCTGACTATGGATTTTTAACTAATGTTATTCCGTGCAAAGGCTTCCGTTATAATCTATTTTAATAATTTTCGTTTTAAGGAAAAGATTCAAAACAAATGTGAAATTGCTTTTTTTTTTAATTAATCAATTTATTTTTGGTTGCGTGGGTCTTTGTTGCTGCGCGTGGGCTTTCTCTAGTTCCATCGAGTGGGGGCTACTCTTCATTGCAGTGCGTAGGCTTCTCATTGCAGTGGCTTCTCTTGTTGCAGAGCGCGGGCTCTAGGCTTCAATAGTTGTGGCACGTGGGCTCAGTAGTTGTGGCACGCAGGCTCTAGAGCGCAGGCTCAGTAGTTGTGGTGCATGGGCTTAGTTGCTACACAGCATGTGGGATCTTCCCTGACCAGGGATCAAACTGTTGTCTCCTGCACTGGCAGGCAGATTCTTAACCACTGCTCCACCAGGGAAGTCCCTGAAGTTGCTTATGAACTTGAAAAAGAAAGTTTGTTTAATATCCTTACATTTATAAATGTTCTGAAAATGATAATCCTTAGTGTAACTTTTTGGTAACTTAAGTTGTAAGACTCATATGTGAAGAAAGAATTTCTGTCTCTTTGGAGAAGAATCTTGATTTAAATGGGAATTAAATTATAATTTTCCTGAATGTGAATTTTATAGTGACAATTGGAGTTTATGTTTTGGGATGTTACTTTGGTGTCATACTATTGACACAATGCAAAAATATGCATTTCTTTCTAATATTTATTTGCTGCTTATGATTGAATGACAAAATTATGACTTTACTACACAGCAAAATAGCACTGTAACATTTCCCCAGGTTTCCTCTATTGTAAGCAAATTTGTTCATTGAGGATACAGTTTTAAGGAGAGGAAGAACATCACTTTTTCACAATCAGAAATAGTAAAATAGAACTGGCCCTGAATGGCTCTTGTGCCTAATTTTATTTTTCATCAATAACTTTTTTAACCAGAAGTTTATTAAAACATATATGATTACAAATAATTTTTTGGACTGTTCATCATTCTGCTCTCAGGAATTGTCTATTGTGGTTTTTGGTGACTAGATTATATATAGTGAGGCCTAGAGGCTAAATTTGTAAAATAATTATTTTGTTTGTCTTTCTAAATTATTTGATTCTGTATCTGTCTTTTTGTGAGTTTGTATATGTGTAAACTTATATATCTATACATACAAACACATTTCTTTATCTTAATTCTAGGAGAGAAATCACAATTATATCAACTTGATCAATTGACTTAAGTTGCATTGTTGGTGGAGTCCTTGATAGAAAAACTGATACCTAGTTTTTTATAGCTATTGAAATGATAACTTGGAGACTAGCTTGGATTTCATTTACTAGTTAAATCAAGCCTGAGCAGGATATCAAAATAAAAAATAGGGGCATGTAATTATAAGCTTATGCTATGGTATTATGATAAATTAGGTATAAATTAAAAAGACATTAAACACAACCAAAACTTTCTGAAAATGCTTTCTTAGACTCCAGAATTTATGAAGGCAGATGAAGAAGAGGTGAAGTTTCCAGGAACTAACTTCGATGAAGTAATCGATATCATACAGGTAACAAAGCTTATTAGCAATCACGTGAATTTATTTTTCTACTAGCATTTTTTTTACGTGATTTGATTATCTTTTCTTTTTAAAGACTTTATTATTTTTAGAGCAGTTTAGGTTCACAGCAAAATTGAGAGGAATGTACAGAAATTTTCTATATGTTCCCTACCCCCACACATGCATGATCTCCCCCATTATCAACATACCCCAACAATTTTGACTTGTTACAAACTGACACTTCATAATCACTCAAAGTCCGTGGATGACCTTAGGGTTCACTCTTTTTTTTTTTTTTGCGGTACGTGGGCCTATGAGTGCTGTGGCCTCTCCCATTGCGGAGCACAGGCTCTGGATGCGCAGGCTCAGCGGCCATGGCTCACGGGCCCAGCCGCTCCACGGCATGTGGGATCTTCCCGGACCAGGGCACGAACCCGTGTCCCCTGCATCGGCAGGCAGACTCTCAACCACTGCGCCACCAGAGAAGCCCGGGTTCACTCTTTATGTTGTACATTCTATGGATTTGGAAAATTGTGTTCATCATTATGCTATTATACAGAGTATTTTCTCTGCCCTAAAATCCTCTGTGTTCTGACTATTCATCTGTCCCCCCTACCCACCCCAGCCCCTGGCAACCACTGATCTTCTTACTGTCTTCATAGTTTTGTCTTTTCCAGAATGCAGTCTACTTGGAGTCATACAGTATGCAGCTTTCTCAGATTGGCTTCTTTCACTTAGTAAAATGCACTTAAGTTTCTTCCATATCTTTTCATGGCTTGATAGCTCATTTCTTTTTAGCATTGAATAATATTCCATTGTCTGGATGGACCACAGTTTATTTATCCATTCACCTACTAAATGACATTTTGTTTGTTTACAAGTTTTGGTAATTATGAATAAAGCTGCTATAAAAATCTGAGGGAATTCCCTGGTGGTCCAGTGGTTAGGATACCGTGCTTTCACTGCCAGGAGCCCGGGTTCAGTCCCTGGTCAGAGAAGTAAGATCCCGCAAGCCACGCTGTGCAGCCAAAAAAACCCAAACAAACGAAAACAAAACAAAACCAAACATCTGATTTTTTCTGTGGACATAAGTTTTTAACTCCTTTGAGTAAATATCAAGGAGCACAATTGCTGACTTATATGGTAAAAGTATTTTCAGATTTGTAAGAAACCGCTGAACTGTCTTCCAAAGTTGCTGTACCATTTTGCATTCTCACCAGCAATGCATGATAGTTCCTGCTGTTTCATATCCTTGCCAGCATTTGGTGTTGTCAGCATTCCAGATTTTGGCCATTCTAATAGGTGTGTAATGGTATCTTATTGTTTTAATCTACATTTCTCTACCTCAACATAATAAAGGCCATATATAAGCCCACAGCAAGCATCATTCTCAACAGTGAAGAACTGGAAGCATTTCCTCTAAGATCAGGAACAAGACAAAGATACCCACTCTCTCCAGTTTTATTCAACATAGTTTTGGAAGTCCTAGCCATGGCAGTCAGAGAAAAAAAAGAAGTAAAAGGATCCAAATTGGAAAAGGAGAAGTAAAACTGTTACTGTTTGCAGATGACATGATACTATCCATAAAAATCCTAAAGATGCTACCAGAAAACTACTAGAGGGACTTCCCTGGTGATGCAGTGGTTGAGAATCCGCTTGCCAACGCAGGGGACACGGGTTCAAGCCCTGGTTTGGGAAGATCCCACATGCCACGGAGCAATGAAGCCCATGCGCCACAACTACTGAGCCTGCACTCTAGAGCCCACGAGCCACAACTACTGAGCCCATGTGACACAACTACTGAAGCCCGCATGCCTAGAGCCTGTGCTCTGCAACAAGAGAAGCCACCGCAATGAGAAGCCCACACACTGCAACGAAGAGTAGCCCCCACTTGCTGCAACTAGAGAAAGCCTGCATGCAGCAACAAAGACCCAATGCAGCCAAAAATAAATAATAAATAAACTAATTAATTAAAGAAAAGAAAACTACTAGAGCTCATCAATGAATTTGGTAAAGTTGAAGGGTACAAAATTAATACACAGAAATCTCTTGCATTCCTATACACTAACAACGAAAGATCAGAAAGAGAAATTAAGGAAAAATCTCATTTACCAGTGCATCAGAAAGAATGAAATACCTAGGAATAAACCTACTTAGGAGGCAAAAGACCTGTACTCAGAAAGCTATAAGATGCTGATGAAAGAAATCAAAGACAAGACAAACAGATGGAGAGATATACCATGTTCTTGAATTGGAAGAATCAATATTGTTAAAATGACTATACTACCCAAAGTAATCTACAGATTCAGTGCAATCCCTATCAAATTACCAATAGCATTTTTCACAGAATTAGAACAAAAAATTTTACAGTTTGTATGGAAACACAAAAGACCCCAAATAGGCCAAGCAACCTTGAGAAAGAAAAACGGAGCTGGAGGAATCAGGCTTCCTGACTTCAGACTATACTATAAAGCTATAGTCATCAAAACAGTGTTGTACTGGCACAAAAACAGAAATATAGCTCAATGGAACAGGATAGAAAGTCCAGAGATAAACCCACACACCTGTGGTTACCTAATCTATGACAAAGGAGTCAAGAACATACAGTGGAGAAAAGACAGTCTCTTCAATAAGTGGTGCTGTGAAAACTGGACAGCTACATGTAAAAGAATGAAATTAGAACACTCCCTAACACCATACACAAAAATAAACTCAAAATGGGTCAAAGACCTAAATGTAAGACCAGGGACTATAAAAATCTTAGAGGAAAACACAGAATGCTCTCTGACATAAATCACAGCAAGATCGTTTTTGATCCCCCTCCTAGAGTAATGAAAATAAAAACAAAAATAAACAAATGGGACCTAATGAAACTTAAAAGCTTTTGCACAGCGAAGGAAACTATAAACAAGATGAAAAGACAACCCACAGAGTGGGAGAAAGTATTTGCAAATGAAGTGACTGACAAGGGATTAATCTCCAAAATGTACATATAACTCATGCAGCTCAATATCAAAAAAACAAACAATCAAAAAATGGGTGGAAGATCTAAATAGATATTTCTCCAAAGAAGACATACAGATGGCCAACAGGCACATGAAAAGATGCTCAATGTCACTAATTATTAGAGAAATGCAAATCAAAACTACAATGAGGTATCACCACACACTGGTCAGAATGGCCATCATCAAAAAATCTACAAACAATAAATGCTGGAGAGGTTGTGGAGAAAAGGGAGCCCTCCTACAGTGTTGGTGGGAATGTAAATTGGTACAGCTACTATGAAGAACATTATGGAGTTTCCTTAAAAAGCTGAAAATAGAGCTACCATGTGATCCAGTAATCTCACTCCTGGGCATATATCCGGAGAAAACCACAATTCAAAAAGATACATGTACCCCCGTGTTCACTGCAGCACTATTTACAATAGCCAGGACACGGAAGTAACCTAAATGTCCATCAATGGAGGAATGGATAAAGAAGATGTAGTACATATATACAATGGAATATTACTCAGCCATAAAAAAGAACAAAATAATGCCATTTGCAGCAACACAGGTGGACCTAGAGATTCTCATACTGAGTGGAATCAGACAAAGACAAATATCGTATGATATTGCTTATATGCGGAATCTAAAAAAATGATACAAATGAACCTATTTACAAAACAGAAATAGAGTCACAGAAACTTATGGTTACCAAGGGGGAAAAGAGGGGGGAGGAATAAATGGGGAGATTGGGATTAACATGTACACACTCTATATATAAAATAGATAAGTAATAAGAACCAACTGTATAGCACAGGGAACTCTACTCAATACTCTGTAATGACCTGTATGGAAATAGAATCTAAAAAAGAGTGGATATATGTATATGTATAACTGATTCACTTTGCTGTACAGCAGAAACTAGCACAACATTGTAAATCAACTATACTCGAATAAAAATTAATCAAAAAATTCACATTTTGCTGATAAATGATGTGGAGCATCTTTTCAAATGTTTGTTTGCCATCGTTATATCACCTTTGGTGAGGTGTCCATTAAGGTCTTTGGCCCATTTTGAAAATTGGGTTGTTTTCTTATTATTGAGTTTTAAGAGGGTTTTTTGGTATATTTTGGATAACAGTTTTTATCAGAATGTGTCTTTTGCAAATATTTTCTCCCAGTCTGTAGCTTATCTTCTAATTCTCTTGACATTTGTTTTCACAGAGCAAAAGTTTTTAATTTGAATGAAGTCCAGCTTATCAATTAGTTCTTTCATGGGTTGTCCCTTTGGTCTTAAATTTAAAAAGTCATTGCCATACCCACAGTCATCTATGTTTTCTCCTATGTTATCTCTAGGAGTTTTATAGTTTAGCATTTTACATTTAGATCTGTGATCCTTTTTTTTTTTTGGCATACATGGGCCTCTCACTGTTGTGGCCTCTCCCGTTGCGGAGCACAGGCTCCAGACGTGCAGGCTCAGTGGCCATGGCTCACGGGCCCAGCTGCTCCGCGGCATGTGGGATCTTCCTGGACCGGGGCACGAACCTGTGTCCCCGGCATCGGCAGGCGGACTCGCAACCACTGCGCCGCCAGAGAAGCCCTGTAATCCATTTTGAGTTAATTTTTGTGAAGGGTGTAATCTCTGTGTCTAAATTTTTTTTTTTGCCTGTGAATGTCCATTTGTTCCAGCACCATTTGTTGAAAAGATTATCTTTGCTCCATTGTATTGCCTTTGCTCCTTTGCCAAAGATCAGTTGACTATATTTATGTGGATCTATTTCTGGGTTCTTTGTTGTGTTCCATTGATTTATTTGTCTGTTCTTTCACCAGTACCACACTGTCTTGATTATTGTTAAGTCTTCAAGTTGGATAGTGTCAGTCCTCCAACTTTGTACTTCTCCTTCAATATCATATTAGCTATTCTGGGTCTTTTGCCTCTCCATATATCTTTTAGAGTAAGTTTGTTGATATCTCCACAATAACTTGTTGAGATTTTTATTGGAATTACATTGAATGTATAGATCAATTTGGGAATAACTGACATCTTAACGTTATTGAGTCTTCCTCTACATGAACGTGGAATATCTCTCCACTTATCTAGTTCTTGATTTCATTTATTAGAATTACGTAGTTGTCCTCATATAGATCTTGTACGTGTTTTATTAGATTTATACCTAAGTATTTCATTTGGGGGGGTGTGCTAATGTAAATGGCATTGTGTTTTTAATTTCAAATTCTGCTTGTTCATTGTTGGCATATAGGAAAGTGATGGACTTTTGTATGTGAACCTTGTATCCTACAAACTTGCCATAATTGCTAATTAATTCCAGGAGTCTTTTTGTTGATTTTTTCAGCTTTTCTACGTAGACGATCATGTCATGTGCAAAGATAGACAATCATGTCATGTGCAAAGATAGTTTTATTTCTTCCTTCTCAATCTGTATACCTTTAATTTTCTTTTCTTGTCTAATTATATTAGCAAGGACTTCTAGTACAATGTTGAAAAGGAGTGGTGAGAGGGAACATCCTTGCCTTGTTTCTGATGGTTGAATATCTTTTGACCATCAGTATTATGTAACAGAGCTTTGAGAAACTTCCTTTTACTTTGCAGTTAAATATATTTTTATTTTAAAATTGTAAGGTTGTTATTCTGTAGTACAGTATTATCTTCTATATCACCTAGCTACCTCCATGAAACTTAATGATTGTTAGCTGTTTCCCACCTGCATCTCCTCTCTCCTGCTTCCTACTTCCTTCTTCCTTTTTGTTTCCTTTGGTTTCCTTCTCTCCAGTCTGTCCTTTCTTCATTCTATTACACTTGTCTGTTTTCATTTCTGGATTATTGGCAAGCTCGCCAGTTAGTTCATATTGAGGAAAAAAGTTGTGAGGGGTCTAAAATCCAAGGGAAGAGCCCATATAGCAGGAAGAGATATAGAAATGATAGAAATGGTTAAATAGAAGGAGGGAAAAAGTAGCTGGAAGTAAAATATAAAGGATGGGAAAAAAGATCATAGAACATAGAGACTACTTGAATAATGATGTGTCAGTGAACTTTAAAGAAGACATTTGTTTATATTTCTTAGACTTTCAGAACCAAGACTAGTTTTGTCAATCATAAAATAAAATCCTATTTTAAACATTAAGAGATATGCACTACATTAATGTTACTTGCTCACCAGTGTGTCTTCTCATGTGAGCTCGACATGAATGTTTTGAAGGTAAGAATATAGCAAAGACATTAGACAACTGTTCAATATATAAGTGAAAGGAACATTGTAGAAATAGCAAAGAATTTGGACTTCAAAGACAAGTGTTTCTATCCTTGCTCTGCCACTTAATAGCTGTGGACTTCATTTTTCAATGAGACAATATTATTGAGTTATATTTTTTAAAGAGCCCTAACTTTTTTTGAGATACATATTGCATTATTTACAGATAAAATGATATGGTATCTGTGGTTTACTTCAAAATGGTGTGCAAAGGGGAAAGTGGATGGGGGAAGTATAGATACACAGAGTTCGTTATGAGTTGATAATTGTTAAAGCTGGGGAACAGGTAAGTGGGATTCATATTATTTATATGTAACAGATATAGTGCATGAGCACTATTTTGTTCACTTTTAAACATGTATATTTTTCATAATAAAAAGTTTAAAAATTCCGGAAGTAACTCTTTTGATCATGATGTGATGGTACAAATAATGTGTAAGATGACCTAACTGCATATTTAAGTGTAAATTATATGTTCTGTAAGGGTAAGCAGTAATATTTGGAAGTGTTAGTTTTACTACGATAATAAATTTATAGAGGGAAATGTTAATAATGTTTTATGTAGGAATAACCAAGTTTTCTAGCTTGTTTTATGATTGTTTAAAATGAATATATATATTTTAAAATATTTATTTATTTATTTGGCTGCACCAGGTCTTAGTTGTGGTACGTGGGACCTTCGTTGTGACGTGCCGGATCTTTTAGTTGTGGCATGCAGGATTTTTAGTTGCGGCATGTGGGATCTAGTTCCCTGACCAGGGTTGAAACCCAGGCCCCCTGCCCTGGGAGCGTGGAGTCTTAGCCGCTGGACCACCAGGGAAGTCCCTGAATATTGGGCTTTAAAAACACAATATAATTGTGTAATTAAGTTTCTTCGATGTGATTTATATGACAAGTGTGTATACTATAAATAATGTGATATCACCAGTTAGAAAATGCTATTGATTAATTTAGAAGTGTTGGTTAATTCACCTACCTAAGTTATCTCTACTTAGCACTCAGTAAGTGTTGAACAGTTACATGAATATAATAGTTTTGTTTTTATTATTACCAGGAAGAGGAAAAATGTGATGAAATTCTGGAATACTCTGAACCAATTCTGGAGTTTAACAGAAGTGTTAAAGTTGTTTCTACAAAATATAATGGCCCTCCGTTTCCACCAGTTGCTTCTACTTTTCAGCCCACTACTGATGTTCTGGATGAAGTAATTCAGAGAAAAGAAACATTGGAAAATAGCTTAATTCAATGGTGAGTTTACAGTGGTGTTGGGATGAACAGAATTATAGTAGCAAGTATAAATAGAACGTATGAAATTTTGGTTGAAAATCTTCCTTGTCTCCTTTTGTTTATTAAATTTTTCCTTTGCTGTAGTCACTGGACACTATCTGACATGAGGCTGAGGGTTTAACTAACTGTTGCAAGTATTGTTTCTGTCCTTGGATATTTGTACTGAGGCAGTCTATTATGACAAAAGAGGCTATTGCTGAGTAACAAAGCATTAAAAATGTACAAGTTCTTTAATCCAGTGGTTTATTAACAGAAATTTATCCTAAGGAAATAATCAGTTCTGCTACTAGGCCATAGAATACTTAGCACTTATAGTGCTTACTACAAACAAGGCACTGTTTTGTTTGTTACTTATATAAACTCATAAACTCTACTTTTATACCTATATTTACCTGAATATATTTAACTGAATATTCATACAGTTATTAAGATTGGGTTTAGAAAAATACTTAATGATGTAGAAAGATATTAATAACACTGGTGCATAAATGAAGCAGGATACTAATGACGCAACCACAGTTTAGAAGAGCTCACTCAAAAATAAACGTGCGTGGGAAAAATATTGAGAAATAATACCAAATTGTTAACTAACTTTGTTTATTCTTGAATCTGGGATTGTGAGTGAGCCTTATTTTTTTTTTAACTTTTATGTGTTCTCTGATTTTTACAATGAACATCTATTACTTGTATAATAATAATTAAGAAGCCTGTTAGCTTCTCTAAAGAAATGTACAAAAAAAGCAGTCTCTTATTCTGTTTCCCTTCCTTTTGCTCTCCTACTTCCCTTCCTAAAAATGACCTTGAAAGTAAATTTTCTTTCCCTTTATAGAGGAAAACTACCTGTGTTGCAGTCTATATATTTATTTCCTTGAAGAGAGGGCAGCTGGACTCCTTTTCTAGCTTTGATCTTGTGGGGTTTTATATGTGCTTTCAGAGTAGGGAACGCAACATTTTAGGTGCATGATATGCCAGGTAATCATTGACCTAAACCTTATTTTGAATTTACAAGGGCTGTTAAAGTTTTCATTAGACTGATCAGAAAGATTTTAATTTGATAAACTGTCTCCCACACAGAGATCCGTTTTGTTTTTCTAGGAGATATATTTGAAATTTTTCTTCTTTCCAGATTCAACTTTCAGAATGACTGCTTTCACATTTAAATGTTTGTGTCCATGGGTACCAGTTATTTTTTTTAATTTATTTTTTTATTTTTTTATTTTTGCGGTACGCGGGCCTCTCACTGTTGTGGCCTCTCCCGTTGCGGAGCACAGGCTCCGGACGCGCAGGCTCAGTGGCCATGGCTCACGGGCCCAGCCGCTCTGCGGCACGTGGGATCTTCCCAGACCGGGGCACGAACCTGTGTCCCCTGCATTGGCATGCGGACTCTCAACCACTGCGCCACCAGGGAAGCCCGGTACCAGTTATTTTTAAGGGTGTTACTTCTAACCATTTCAACTAAATTTAGGAATCCTTAACTTTTTTCCCCCAGGGTAGAACAAGAAATAATGTCAAGAATGATCTCTGGGCTTCTTCCAGTCCAACAGCAGGCCACAGCTGACATCAGTGTCTCAGTCAGTGAGGCCAGTGAGCCATTGACTTCTGACATTGGTAAGTGAGATGGAATCTTTTAGCTTTTTTTGTTATTATAAGACAAAACCTTCAGGTTGTTGTGGATTTATATATTCTACAGGTCACATAGTCCTTGGTTGACAAAAGATAAAAGTCCTCTTCTTTTCAATGTCACTTCCCAGTCTTCTGTAGTGGAAGTTATTTCTCCCTCACTCCCTTATTACATACTGCAGCATTCAGATTATGCTATCAGCGTCCATCCCTCCTACCCCCAGTCTCTCCATTCTTTCCCATAGCACTTTGTGTGTGTTTGTTTGTGTGCCTGTGTATCTTTTTTTTTTTTTTTTTTTTTTTTTTTGCGGTACACGGGGCCACTCACTGTTGTAGCCTCTCCCATTGCGGAGCACAGGCTCCGGACGTGCAGGCTTAGCGGCCATGGCTCACAGGCCCAGCTGCTCTGCGGCATGTGGGATGTTCCCGGACCGGGGCACGAACCCGTGTCCTCTGCATCAGCAGGCGGACTCTCAACCACTGCGCCACCAGGGAGGCCCCTGTGTCTGTGTATCTTTGTTATAGTAACCATCAAACTGTATTATGATTGGCTTGCATATCTGTCTCACTCACTAGACTATAAATTACTCACAAGTAAGCGTGATTCTCCTTTAGAGCCTAGCCCTTGACTGACACCTAAGAAGAGTTTAAGTATTCCCTGAATGGATAGAGCCTCTTTCTTTAGGGAGCCCACACCATTCACCTCTTCTTCCTCCTTCCTCTTCCTCTTCTCTCCCTCCTTCTTCCTCCTTTTCATCCTCCTCTCCTTCCCTCTTCTTCCCCCTCTTTCTCCATTAGCTTTTTGAGGCATAATTTACTTGCCGTAAAATTCACTAATTCTAAATGTACCGTTTGACAAGTTTTGTTAAACAAACACAGCCACATGTTAGCCACACAGTCATGTTATAGAAAAACATTTCCATCATCCCCAACAGTCCCCTCATGCCACTTTGCAGTCAATCCCTAACCCCCTCCCATGCCTACTACACCCTAACAACCACTGATCTACTTTCTATCATTGAATTTTGCCTTTTCTAGAATTTCATACTTATGTAATCATACAGTATTTAGTCTTTTGTGTCTGGTTTCTTTTATTTAGCATAATGCTTTGACAGTCATGTTGTTGCATATAGTAATAAATATTACACTCCATGTATGTACCATAATTTGTTAATCCAGTTACCAGTTGATGGACATTTGTAGTCTTAGTTTTTGGCTATTATAAATACAGCTGTGCTATGTATATTTGCAAACTAATCTTTTATATACATCTTTTAATTTCTCTTGGTCATATGGTAAGTAGATATCTAACTTTATAGGAAACCGCTAAATGTTTCCAAAGTGGCTGTTCTATTTTGCATTCCAACCAGCAGTGAATGAGAGTTCCAGCTGCTCCACATCCTTACTAATGCTTGTTGTCAATGTTTTTAATTATAGCCATTCACTAAGCATGTGGAGATATCTCATTGTGGGTTTTGTTTGCATTTCCCCAGTAACTAATGATGTTGTACAATTTTTCTTGTGCTTATTTGCCATTTGTATATTTACTTTGATGAAGTATCTTTAAAACTCTTTTGCTCAGTTTTTAACTGGGGTCTATGTCTTACTATTATTGAGTTCTTTATTCTGGATACAAGTCCTTTATTGCATATGTTTTGCAATGTGTTATCCTAGTTTTTTTCTTACCTTTTGCTTTCTCAGCATTGTCTTTTGAAGACCAGAGATTAATTTTGATGAAGTTTAATTTATCAATTTTTCTTTTATAGCTTGTGATCTTTGGGGTATACTGTTTAAGAAATCTTTGCCCAACATCATTAAGATTTTCTCCTGTGTTTTCTTATAGAAGCCTTATAGTTTTAGATTATAAATTTAGGTCTGTGGTATGTTTTGAGTTAATTTTTATATGTGAAGTGAAGTAAAGATCAAGATTTTTTTTGTGTGTATGGATATCCAATTTTTCTAGCGTTATTTGTTGAAAAGATTATCCTTTCTTCTGCTGAATTGCCTTGACACCTTTGTTGGAAATCATCTGGCTATTATATACTTTTGGATCTGTTTCTGGACTTGCTGTTTGGTCCCACTGATCTACAAGTCTGTCTTTACATCAACACCGTGCTTCTTGATTATTGTAATTTAAAAATAAGTCTTGAAATTGGATGGTATAAGTTCTCCAGCTTTCTAGCTCTTTTTTTTTTTTTAACATTCCTATATATCGTTACCTCTATTTTTTTTCCACTTCTTTCCAGTCCAGAATAGCCTCCTCTTCCTCCTTCTTAAACTACCCCTTAACTGCCTAAATCCTAGACATTAGAGTCTGTATTTACTGCTTTACTTTCTCATTTCTCACTTTCTCTTTAGTTTTTATGAGCTGGCTTTCTTCTTCCTTCTCGTTAATGAAATTCCTCTCTTACAGCATTTGGTTCTCAGAGATAACCTTTTTTCAAATCCTTATTCTCCTAGAAGGCTCTAGTATGGGCATTGTTGACTACCTCTAATTATTAAAACATTCTACTGGTTTTGGTTTCTTAGAATTCATTCTGTTGCTCTTCCCCTTATCTTTTTAATTTCTTTAGGACCTCATTTCCTCATCTTTTTTCTACTTGAATAAAAAATTTCCCCCAAGCTTTGTCCCCTGCCCTCTTTCTTTTCTGTTTTTCTAGTCTCTTCTTGGCGATAGTTATCCCGTGTCAGTTGATGACCCCTAAGCTACACATTTAGGCTGTAAACTTGCAGTTTTGCCTGTTGATGAATATTTTACTTGATGCTCCACTGGCATACCAAACTTGGTGTGTCCAGAATGCATCTCATTTTTCTAACCAACCTTATTCCTCCTTTGTTGCTCTTTCTGTTAATGATACCACTATTTTCCAAGTGCCCAGTTTCCAAAGCCTTGGAATATCACTTGTTCTACTTTGTTTTCTTTGGTCTTCCTCAGTCCACACCCAGCCACGTCCAATGTCCTGGCTCCATGCAATTTATTCTTATATTTGATTAATTCTTCCTATTTAGTATAACTCAAACGCCTCTTCCACTGCTACTATCCCAGGTTTTCTTTCATCTTCTTATTTTTTGAAGGAAGGAATAAAATGACCAACAAAGTTATGAGGAAATTTTTTTTACTTAAGATTAGTGCTTCTTTAATGATAAAATCATTTTGTCATGTTAGAAGATACTTTTTCAGAAGAAGGCATCTAGGAATACAAATCCAAAAGAAAACCAAAACGAGTTCATCCAAATAATTGCTCTGAGACTATTTCAAAATCTGTTGAAAAAGGAACAGATGGAAAATACCAAGTGAAACTGGAATAAAAAAGAACTGGAAGCTAAAGAGAAGACAAAGGACCATGAAATATGCCTTGGAGAAACAGATAGTCGGACTTCTGTAGCTTTTGGTCAAAATTCTGGTTGTAGAGATGGTATTCAGCAGTCCCAAGACAAGGAGACCAGTCCAGGAAAACAAACAAGTGCCTCCAAAGAGTTGTCCGGTTTATGATGGATACTGTGCAAACCGCCAGATGCTTTTTTCATTGCTAGGTCATACACCTCAATGGCGTATTTTGGAGTGCTTGGACTCTCCACCAGTCTCTCCTGCTAGTGCAAATCAGGGCTAGTGATAGTCCTCTTAGCAGTCCTTCACATGGGTCGGGTGGTGGTTTTCAGGCTTTGTAGCCTTAAGGAAACATGGTCTAATATAGAGGGTATTTAGATCCTGTTCCCTTTTCTTTAAAAGCATGTGTGTTTGCTTTTGTTTTGCCTATGTCTGGGTAGGGCTTTTGGGTTTTATAACAGAGATATTCTGATTTTTGGTCATGCCAAAACAATGAATTATGGGAACTAAAAATGGAGATGTGTTGATATATACTGTTGAATATAAATTTGGGATTGTGATAGTCTTTGCTATGGAGCTCCAGAGTAAATTGCTATTACTTATCTCTCAACAAGTGATCCCAAGACACCTGTACCTACCTTTTAGGGAATTCTCTGTAATGCCGCCATAGTTGTACTAATTAAGGAGTACTCTTTGGAGAGGTCATGTCTCCATCAAGTTGTATAGATCACTGTTTACATGTTTTCCACACAGAGCTTTAGAAATATAACCACTTTAAGCCTAATAAAGTCTGTTTAGGAAGTTTTACTGAATTTCATGTACATTCACACAAGTGAAAAGTACAACCCATTTGGAAAATTAATATACCTATAGAGCTGCTGACATCAAGCACCTAAACTACTCTAAAAGTTAGAGGAGGATTAGCCTGTAATGTTAGTAACTGAAGTATCTGAAACTAGACGGAAGTAAGATTTTGTCTTCATATTTATGAAGAAGCTGCCATTTCTCTAAAATCCCCCCACAGTCATTGTGTCCCTGTGTTTTGCCAAGATCTATCACAGTGTTTCCTGGTGCCCTACTCTTGGAAATGTGGATTCTTTTCAGATGAAAACATTTAATGTGAATACAAATCTTTTTTTTTTTTTGCGGGGGTGGGGCGTGCTGAGCGGCATGCAGGATCTTAGTTCCCTGACCAGGGATTAAACCCGTGCCCCCTGCAGTGGGAGCATGGAATCTTAACCACTGCACCACCAGGGAAGTCCCTGCAAATCCTTTTTATCGCTAAATGTTGTAGTGGTAGGGAAGAGGCCATATAAGTAAATTTTCATCTGGATGTTTTCCTCCCCTTTTTAGTTTGTTTAGAGAGGATGTTCATTATGTGAGTTACCATCTTATTCTCTGTCACAATAAGTAGATTTTGTATTTTCATTTTATTCCTTCTCACACCATCTCATACACATATGTTCACATCTCTAAAATTTTAAGAATTAAGGCTTAGAATGCAAGCATGTTTCCTGCATACTTACTCTGAAATTCTTTCATTTTTTTAGTGGAAGGAACAAGCAGTGGTGCCCTCCAGCTTTTTGTTGATGCCGGGGTTCCTGTGAATTCAGACATTATTAGGCATTTTGTGAATGAAGCTCTTGCTGAAACCATTGCCATCTTGCTGGGTGACAGAGAAGCAAAGAAGCCAGGTCCTGTTGTTACAAGTGTTTCTGGGGATGTTTCAATAAGCAAAACACACTTGCTGGTAAGTGTGACTTTCCTTCATGACTTGGAGTCCTGGGGAATTTTTGATACCTTTGTTAAAGAACAGTAAAATGGACAGATTTTAAATTGGGTCATAAGACCATAGTTTGTGGTGGAGATTGGTTTCTTGTGGCTTTGATTACAATAACAGTTCCTCCAGCATTTTATTTTAAAAACTTTAAAATCTATAGAAAGTTGAAAGTATGATACAATGAACATCTGTGTAAGCTTTACCTACATTTACCAGCTGATAACATTTCGACACATTTTCTTTATCTGTCTTTATATGTTGTTTATTATATATGCTTTAAAACTCATTTGAAAGTTGCAGATATCATGACACTTCTAAAACCATCAGTAGTATCTTCTAAGAACAAGATTGTTTATTACATAACCAAAATACCATTATTATGCTCTCCATATTTAACATGGATCTGTTAATACTATATAATATAGAGTCTATATTTGAACTTCCCCAGTTGTTCCAAGAATATCCTTATAGCTAATTCTTTTAAAATTCAAGATATAGCTAAAAATCACATGTACTGCTTTTGGTTCTTATGTAAAGTGATATTTTTAATCTTTAAAAGAAAGTATATTTCAGGCATTTTTGTTATTGTTTGTTTAATCAGCCTTTTTATGTTAAATAGAGTTTCTAATTTATTATAGCAACATGAAATTATACAAAACCACTACCAGTGGAGGGTGGGAGGAGCAATATAGGGGTGGGGCAGTGGAAAGTGCAAACTATTGGCTGTAAGATAGGCTCAAGGATGTACTGTACAACACAGGGAGTAGAGCCAATATTCTGTAATAACTGTAAATGGAATGTAACCTTTAAAAATTGTATGAAAATTTTAAAAAACTAAAAAGAAAAAGAAATTATACAAAACCACAATGTACTCTGTATTACCAACTGTTTAAAACTTCATGGTCAATTCTGATCCTGTCGATCATAAAAACATCACTTTATATAGGTGAAACATTTAAACTGAATCATCTGAGGTATAAACATAAAGTTACATATTTGAATTCTGTGGAGATTGGTGTAATGTAATTGGTGTAGTGTGATTAGTGTGCCAGAGATTTGGTACATACTTTTGTTCTGTGCTTTATTTATTAGCTCATTGGTAATGCATGCCAATATCAGAGTTGTGGTTATCTCTATGCTAATTAAATTTGGTTTGTCTTCTGCCCATATATTTCAGATATTTTCATAAGGGTGATTTAATGAGAAAATACAGAAAAATCAGTATAAATAGGAAATAAATGTAATTGTTGAGAGCATGGACTCTGGAGTTGGGAAGTTCTGAATATGAACCCTCAGCTCTGTTACTTTAGTCTTGTCTGTATACTAGAGATAAAATACTCAGAGTTTAAATGATGACGGCTTTACCAAAATCTGCTTTCCAAATATTAAGGAGGCCAAGTTCCCCTCCCCCATTGCCATATTGTTCCTTATCTTCAGAATTGCCATGGCTTTTTTTGGCCTTTTCATCTTCGATATATGTTTTAAAATTAATTTTCAAGTTCTGTAAAATATTTTGTTGGGATTTTGGGGGGAATTAATTCAATTTTGATTGGTTTAATTTGAGGAGAATTGACATCTTTATGATACTGTATCTTGTGAGCCATCATAGAAGATTTTGTGGAAGATTCAATAAGATGGTATATGAAAGAGCTTAATCTAGGGCCTGGAACTTGGTAAATACTCAGTAACTCATCGTTTATCATTATTACCCATTACCAAGACTAGTAGGATACCTTTAAATCCTCTCATGATGAGTCAGTAGCATTATTTTTGAAAACAGCAGTCTTAGGCTATAGGTTTATGCAGTCAAGAAGAATAAAACATAGTATATTTCTGTCACTTAAAAAACAAAGCTAAGAATATGCTGATAATTAAGCAATGCTATAGAATTTCTGATATGCTTCATAATTTTTAAATTGTGTATCTCTTTGCAACTCATAATACAGAATAAAGGCCAGTCACCCCACTATAAAAATATGTTTTAGAAAGAGAAAAAAAGGACAAATAGAAAAATGGGGAAAAGACATGTCCAGACAGTTCACACACAAAAAGGAAATACAAATGGCCCACATACATACAAAAAGATGGTCAGTCTCACTGATAGTGAGAAAAAAAAACCATTGAATCCATTTTTACTGATCAAATTGGTAACACTCTAAAAGTTTGATTAACACCATTGTTCAGCAAATCTTTGGGAATTGGGAATTCTCATACCTTCTGGTGTTATTGCATTGATAAAATAATATAACCGTGTAGAGGGAAATTTGGCAATATGTATTCAAATTAAGAATGCAATTAGCCCTTTAACCAAGCAGTCTCACTTCTGGGAATTTATTCTATAGAAAATCTATACACATATGAAATGACTTAAGTCTCAAAAAACTAAAAATGGAATTACCATGTGACCCAGCAATCCCACTGCTGGGTATATATCCAAAAAAACCAAAGACACTAATTTGAAAAGATACATGCACCCCAACGCTCATAGCAGCGTTACTTACAATTGCCAGGTTATAGGAGCAACCTAAGTGTCCATCAGCAGATGAATGGATAAAGAAGATGTGGTATACACACACACACACACACACACATACACACACACAATGGAACACTACTGAGCCATAAAAAAGAACGAAATTTTGCCATTTGCAGCAACATGGATGGACCTAGAGATTATCTAAGGCAGACAGAGAAAGACTAATATCATACAATAGCATTTATATGTGGATTCTAAAAAAATGATACAAATGAACTTATTTACCAAACAGAAAGACTCACAAACATAGAAAATAAACTTATGGTTACCTAGGAGAGGTAGGGAAGGGATAAATTAGGAGTTTGGGATTAACAAATTAGTAGTTTATATAAGCTACTATATATAAAATAGATAAACAACAAGGACCTACTGTATAGCACAGGGAACTATATTCAATATCTTGTGATAACCTATAGTGGAAAAGAATCTGAAAAAGAATATATATGTATGCATATATGTAACTGAATCACTTTGCTTTACACCTGAAACTAACACAACATTGTAAATCAACTATACTTCAATAAAAAAAATTTTAAAGTAGGAATATAGCCAATATTTTATAATAACTGTAAACCTAGTGTAACCTTTAAAAATTGTATAAAAAATTTTAAAAATAGAGTATTCTGGACATAAAAAAATGACTTAAGATTATATTTGATAATTCTGAGGAAAGGAACTAAGTAGATGGGACATGGGTAGGAAAGGAGACTTAATTTTCACCATCATCCTTTTGAAGTTTGAATCGTTTGAATTACCTGTTTAACAAATTGATTTTAAAATGTGTGCTTTTTTCTTCCCCAGGACTTTCCATCTTTACATTGTCTTCCTTTTATCCCCCCTACTTTTTCTTATCCTTCCATTGCTTTTTATAAGCTTTGTTCTTTTGTACTGAAAGGGGGTTTTTGATATCTTGTCAATTAGTTAAAATGCTCTCTTTCTGTTACATGGTTTACCCAGTTTGTGTTTGGGTTTGATCTTCAGCTGTCTGTTTAATCTTCCTCTCTATATTAGATAAGGGGACCTAGTTCAGAGGCAGAGCTGTTTCAGTTGCTGGAGGCTTTCTGTAGTCCGCTCTTGAAACTAATAGCTAGAAGTTCAAGAGCTAGGATACAGAGGACTCCATTTTTACCCCCCATCCATTTAAATTTTATGTAACTCTGAATGAGATCATTTTATTTTTCAAATTACCCTTATTTGGGGATTGTAAGCACCACTTATCTTGTTTTATTTATTTTAGGGAAGAGTGTGTACCCCAGTGGCTACCCCACAGCCAACTCCTCCTCTCTCACCTTCATCACCTCCTGAGGAGCGTGTGTTGGTAAAAACTCCAGATTCTTCTCCCTGTGTTTCAGATCATGATGTAGCTTTTCCCATGAAAGAAATATTTGCTGAAGAAGGTAGAAACCTTATTTCTATAACTCAGTTTTAATTTTAGCAACTATTAAATAAAATATCATGGTTTGTTTTATAAGAGTCATTATAGATTAGTATACACATACCTGTTGCTTACTAGGTTCTAGTAAGTCATTTTTTCTTACAAGGAAACTAAGGGGTTGGTTACCACTTTTTAAAGTATATAATCTAGTAGACATTTAGACTATTTTAAGTTCATGGTGATGTTGAAAGTGATGTCTTTTCAAGGTTATTTTTTGTACTTTACTAAATTAATTTGGAACTTTTCCCATTAATGGCCATCATTATTATTATTAATTCTTGTTGCCATTATTTGTATGCCAAAATGTTAAACAATATATCTTGCCTTCCTGTGGAATTCTTATTGACTTTTTTTTGCTTTTACAAAAAACCTTTAGGAAATAATATGCCTCCCATCACACTTGTTAATACTCCAACTGTTACCCCTGCAACTACACCTCCTCCCGCAGCAGCTGTTACCCCAACTTTGTCAGAGACTTCTATTGATAAATTGAAGATGTCAAGCCCAGAGCTTCCCAAGCCATGGAGTAATGGAGACCTGCCACTGGAAGAAGAGAATCCCAACTCTCTTCAAAAAGAACTTCACCCGAGAGCTATGTAAATGACAGTATATTCATTTTTAGTAACTATACATTTCATCTTATGTTGACTTAGGTGACCCATTGAAAACATCAGAAACGATAAATGAAGGTTGATAAACCACAAGCTAATCTATACTTTAGTAGGAAGAAGTTTCATAAATTTTATGTTTTTAAAATTTTTACCAGATTTATTTATACTTTCAGTTCTCTTCTTTTAAAACAAAATTTTGGGGGAAACAGATTAAAATAAAGATATCTATAATATTGTTAATAAAATAGAAGATTTTTCCCCAGTGTGAATCTTCATTTACTATGATCAGTTAACTTTTATATTACCATATATCCCTATGTAGATTTATTTTAGAGATGGTAGAACTTTCAAGATGGTCTGTGATTAAAGCATGAAGATGATTTTGGAAAAATAAATCTTGTTGGTTAATTATAGTAGTGCAGATTATAGAAATATATAGATATATCTATATATTGATATAGAAATGTCTAAAGGAGACATAGTACTTTTGAATCTTTTTTTTATATAAAAATTAATATAGGCCTTCACCGATGTAATACATTCAAACTATGTCTCTTTCTTCTTAGTGTAATGTCTGTGGCCACGGATGAAGAACCTGAGAGCATGGACTTCCCTGCTCAGCCTGCACCTCCAGAGCCAGTTCCCCTTATGCCGCTTCCTGCTGGCACCAAGGCCCCTTCCCCCATACAGATGCCAAGTTCAGATTCATCAACAATGGAGAGTACCTTGAGCGTTACTGCCACTGAAACTGAAACCTTAGATAGACCCATCTCTGAAGGAGAGATTTTATTTAATTGTGGTCAAAAAGTGGCTCGTAAGAGTAAGTTAATTTTGCATCAGTTGATTTCACTGGTTAGCTTATGATAATTCCTAAGTAATACTTTTCTGTTTAAAGTGTTTTTACTTAATTTTCAAGATGTAACAGGGTATAGTAGAAAGAACATGGACTCCGCAAGTTAACTTTTCTACACCTTAACCTCAGAATGTAAAATCTCCCTCATAAATCCCACCCTCCAGAAATAATATCACTGTTGAAAGTTTGGGGTATACCCTTCCAGTCTTTTTTTTTCTATGCATATATAGACACCTAAATACATTTGTATGTATATATTTTTTTACCTTTTAAGTAGGGTCATATTATACATATTGTTCTGAAATCTGAATTCTTTAACCTTAAATATGTTATAGACATTTTTCTATATTAATACATATAGCCCTACCTCTTTTTTTTAGTGGCTGGGTAGTCTGCTAAAACAGTGCCATAGTGGTGGGCATTTAGATTGTTTTCAGTATTTTCATACTATACATAACTCTCCACTGACCATCCTTGCACGTATATTTATTTATCTTTGTGAACTTCCATAACTGATAACTTCCTGAGAATACATGCCTAGAAGTGGAATTGCTGAGTCAGAGTATGCACCTTTAAAATAGCAATACATAGGGAATTCCCTGGCCGTCCAGTGGTTAGGGCTGCATGCGCTCACTGCCAGGGGCCTGGGTTCAGTCCCTGTTTGGGGAACTAAAAAATCCCACAAGCCACACAGCGTGGCCAAAAAAATAAAATTAAATAGCAATACATTGCCAACATGCTCTCCAGAAAGGTGAATCGGTTTTTAATTTTAATCAGTTATTAATTATATCAGTAGTATATAGGAGTGCCTCTTTTTAATTTCATGGTTACAGTTGATATTTAATAGCTCTTTTTAATTTCTGACAAGCTGGTAAGTGAAACAAAAATCTCATCTTTGTTATAAAATGTGCTTTTCTTTTTTTGTGGTACGCGGGCCTCTCACTGTTGTGGCCTCTCCCGTTGCGGAGCACAGGCTCCGGACGCGCAGGCTCAGCGGCCGTGGCTCACGGGCCCAGCTGCTCCGCGGCATGTAGGATCCTCCCGGACCGGGACACAAACCCGCGTCCCCTGCATCGGCAGGCGGACTCCCAACAACTGCGCCACCAGGGAAGCCCCTAAAATGTGCTTTTCAAAGAGCTAGTGAGATTGAATAGCTTGTGAACTATGATTTATGAACTTTGCCAGTATTTTTATTGTGTAAGTTTTAAGTGTAATATTCTATGGCTTTATGGTGAGATTATTTACTAAATTTATGTTTCTTCTTTTTTCCAAATTTTTGCATTTTAATTTCTAGTTTTAGGAGATGAAGGACTGTATCTGACAAACCTAAATGATAGCTTATCCAGTACTCTGCATGATGCCCTCGAAATGGTAAGAAGTGATTGACTCCACATTGAATTCTGAGATGAAGAATATCTTGATAAACTTGTTGCTACTGATCAGGGTTTTTTCTCAAATATTTGAGTTATAGTCATAAAATTTAATAAAATATCCATGAAGGAATTTAAAGTTTCTTACACATGTCATTTTCATATTTACACATTTCATTATCATAATTGTGAGAATGAATAGGAAATTGTTGTTAACCCCTGTGGCTCCAGTAGTTGAAATATGCAGTTAATGTAATTAGGTAATGAAAATCTAACTCAAGGCACATTGTCACCTGGATATGTTGCCTTTACAGTGTTTCAGGCAGGACCTTAGCTGTGGAAACCAACTCTCTTATAATACGTTTGTAATTTTTCCCTAATCGTGATTATAATTCTTTATGCTAAAAAATAATTGAATTTAGTGGCTTTAAAAAAAAATACTGGGAATTCCCTGGTGGTCCAGTGGGTAAGACTCCGTGGTCCCAATACAGGGGGCCCGGGTTTGATCCCTGGGGAACTGTGGGGTCAGGGAACTAGATCCCACATGCATGCTGCAACTAAGAGTCCGCATACTGCAACTAAGAAGTCCACATGCCGCAACTAAGAAGTCCACCTGCCACAACTAAGACCTGGCACAGCCAAAATAAATAAATAAGTAAAGATTTTAAAAAATAATAAAAAAAATACTGAAATAGGACCCAAGGGTACTAACTCTCCTAGTTATTATCTAGCTTTATGGAAGGAAAATTCACATTTAAACATATATATCTTAACATATATATCAACATGTATAATATATATAAAAATACCATACAGAAATGATAATAGGGATTTTCTTTTGAAAATTATTAATGAATAGAAATCTTTACTTTTTATGTTTTCAAACAACCTAAGCAAGTAAGGGTAGTTGTGCTCAACTTTCATCTACATTCATCCATAGCCTTTGCTAAGCATTGCTATTATTGTTGCTCTTTAAAAAAAAAACTTATTTGATAATTTTTGACATATGTATATATCTGTAAAGCCATTACCACAGTTAATGTAATGAACATATTCATCATCCATCACTCCCAAATCTCTCCTCAGGCCCTTTTGTAATCCCTCCTTCTCATCTCTCATCATTCCTCTCATTCTCTATACCTCTTCCAGTAACCACTGATCTACTTTCTGTAACTATAGATTAGTTTCCATTTCTAGATGTATATAAATGGAATCACGTGGCATGTATTCTTTTTTTTTGTCTGATTGTTTTAACTCAGCATAATTATTCTGAGATTTATCTGTGTTATACTTTGTATCATAGTTCATTCCTTGTTATTGCTGAGTAGTGCTCTATTGTATGGATGTGCCACAGTTTGCCTATTCACCTGTTGATGGACGTTTGGGTTCATTTCCAGTTGGGAGCTATTACACGTAAAGCTGCTATGAAGACTTGTGTACAAGTCTTTGTATTGACATATGCCTTCATTTCTCTCTGGCAAATATCTAGGGGTGGAATGGATGGATAATATGGTAGTTATATCTTAATCTTTGAGAAAAGCTGTTTAGGGCTTCCCTGGTGGCTCAGTGGTTAAGAATCCGCCCGCCAATGCAGGGGACACGGGTTTGAGCCCTGGTCCGGGAAGATCCCACATGCCGCGGAGCAACTAAGCCCATGTGCCACAATTACTGAGCCTGTGCTCTGGAGCCCGTGAGCCACAACTACTGAAGCCCGTGTGCCTAGAGCCCATGCTCTGCAACAAGAGAAGCCACCGCAACAAGAAGCCCATGCACCGCAACGAAGAGTAGCCCCCCCTCACTGCAACTAGAGAAAGCCTGTGCTCAGCAATGAAGACCCAATGCAGCCAAAAATAAATTAATTAAATTAAAAAAAGAAAAGCTGTTTAATTTGATCTGCCAAAATTTTGCATAGACTTTTTCCTTCTATGTTTTATATTACTATAAATATTTTGGAGCTTTGCTCAGGACATGGTTAAGTACTTAGAGACAGTTTTACCCTTTTGAGTCTTGCTTTTAAGATTTGTTAGGCAGTACCAGAACAGTACTCAATCTAGGGCTATTTATCCCCCGCTATGGAGAGAAGACACTTCTATGTACTCCACCCAGTGCCTCATTAATGAGGTTTTCCAGCCTGGCTAGTGGGAACAACCATCCAAGCCCTGTGTGAGCATCAGGCAGTGTTATATCCAGCCCCTTCTCAGGTGCTCATTCCTGCAGCCTCATGTAATTGTCTCCAAAGCATCTGCTGAGTAGTACTCAGCTTAATACTCAAAGGGGATCTTCTGTAGATTTCCAGAGTTTTCTCCCTCTGCAGCTTTCACTTTTCTAGCCGTCCGTCTTATGAACTCTAGCTGTCTTGGCCTCCCTGGAGTTTCAGCTCCATCTTCTTAGCTTAGGCTCTTGTGCCACAGCCTGGAAACTCAGATGGTAAGCTGGAGCAGTCATAGGGTTCTTCTGACTTGTTTTTCATTTCTCAGGGATCACTGTCTTTTGTTACCTGATGTTCCATGTCTTGAAATGCAGTTTTTCACATACTTTGTCCATTTTTTAGTTGTTTCAAGGGGGTGGGTGTACCTGGTCCTTATTACTCCACCTTGACTGGAAGTTTTAGAAGTCTAGTTGCATTTTTATCTTTCCATTTGTATCATTATATAGGATCATGATGAAAAAAGAGAGAGATTGGTGTACTTTTGAAACAACATGCCCTTCTATCCCCTTACAATCATAATGCTAGAAATTTCTTATTTTTTCTTTCTTTTTGGCCGTGCCACGCAGCTTGCGGGATCTCAGTTCCATGACCAGGGATTGAACCTGGGCCACAGCAATGAAAGCCCAGAATCCTAACCACTAGGCCACCAGGGAACTCCCTAGAAATTTCTTTAAAGCAGCCTATTCAAGTGATGTAAACTAGGATTGTATATTAAATTCACCAGTGGAGCTTTTAAAAATATGCATCCTGCCCCCACCCTCTGATATGTTGATTCGGTAGGTCATGAGTGTTATATGGTATACATGCATGTGTATGGGCGGTTAGAAGCCTAAACCTGTATATTTTTAAAAAGCATCCCAAAAGATGATGCTCATTCTTCGTTAAAAATAGTAACTACTCATTTTACTTTGCGTTGAATGAGGTTAAATCACTTGTTTGTGTCACATAGCTGTATAGTGATAGATCCACAACTCTTTTTATATGGATACATGATAATTTGCCTTTCATCTTAAGCTATCAACTTAAGCTAAAAACTGTAAATTTTGAGTTCTAATAGGAGCTATCTAATCCTAAAGCTTGAGTTGCAAGCAGCTGGGTGTGTGTGTCCGGTGTTTGTCAAGTCCAACAAACAAAAAGCAAAAGATGCCATGTAGCATCTCTACACTATTAAAGACACAGTAGGGTAAAGATGCCAAATCTGGAGATTCATACATTCAAGTAATAAAATGTGTTAAAACAATTTGCTTTACTATGTGTAGGAGTATGAAATAATTAATGAAGGAGAGTTTTGATAAGATTTTAATAGGGCAGTTACTTTTCTAACAGTAATTATTTATTACAAGTAATTGAGTCTGTTCTGAAGAGAGTGGAAATCACTTTTATAAAATAATATGGGGGGAAGCATAAAGGAGAAGTCTTTATTTTCAGAGGAGCATTACACTAACATTTGGCTTACTTAATATGTCATTAGGGCATTTTTATCCATTCTTAGAACTTTATCATGGTGCCAAAGCACATTTAAGTTTGTTTAAATAGCTGAACTGAACCAGGACTAAATTATAACATCTTTCTTTTTTTACATTTGAAACTAAACTTTAATTTTGATATCTTTACTAAGCCTAAATCAGATATGCTACAAATTCATGATAAAATCACATGCAGAAGTACAGTCTTGAAAAAGACTAACTTTGCAGTTATGTACCAGTAGGTATTTATCTGTGTACACCTGGGGGATAAAGACTTGTACTGCAGAGTTAAACTTTATTTCATTAAATGTAAGATACTTAAGTAAAAAAAAATACTATTAATGGAGTTTAAAATCATGCTAATCCTTGTATTTACAAGGGAATCCAGTTTTCTGACTCTGTGGCCCACACTGTCCTTCATTTTCGGGACTGGTCTGTTTTGAGGCACCAAGAAGTCTAAGCTGGGTCTTCCAACTAGGGCTTTCAGTACCTGCTCCCTAGCGAGTACTGGAGGTCAGCGCAAAGGCAAATGGACAATCAAAGGTCTATAGGTGCCTCAGCGTATTTCTGCAGTTTTTCATTTCTGCCTGTGGTCCAGATTGCACCACTGCTACAGTGCTTTGCCCCCATTGCCACACTGGGGGCGCAGCTTTGTGTGCTGCATCAACATGAAGCAGGAAACCGTGTGAGCCAAAAACTTGATGACACTGTGTAAAACGTTTATGAATCATTGTAACTCAATCACATGGGACAAAGGGTCCAACTTTCATATGATTTTATAGTAAATCTCTAGTTTAAATATAACCCAATTATTTTATACCGTTATTTACATTTGAGGCAAAAATAAAGAGTTTTTAGTATAGTCGAATGGAAGTGAGATCTAAATGATAATAAAGAGTCCATCTTCTTTCTGTAAAGTGCTAATATGACCATGTTCATGATGACTGTTAAGTTTTATTAATCATAAATTATGAAAAATGTAATTGATGCATTAATTTTTGTTTTTTTATTGTATTGTCTTTATATTTTACTTAGGAAGATGATCCTCCCAGCGAAGGACAAGTGATTAGGATGCCCCATAAAGAAATTCATGCTGATGCAATTCTTTCTCTTCTTGCTAAACAAAACCAGGAATTGTTAGTTTCACAGCAAATGGTCTATCATTCAGAGGTATTTTTTAACCTTAATTTTTTTTTCTGTTAGATCTAAGTACAGGAAAAAGATAACAAAAATATTCCTACGTTTAGTTAAAGCACTCTAATACTTCAGCTTACTCAGGGATCAGCCTTGCAGTAACTTTAACCTAGAACCGTAGTTACGAGTTTTACAGCTGAAAGGAATTTAGGCCATCTGTTCCAACTCTCTTATTCTACAGATGAAAAAAGCTGAAGCCCTTTCAAATGATTTGTGAGGATTGTTCATTCTTTCTTTCTTTCTGCAACCATTTACTGAGTATCTACTATATGCCAGACACAACCTCCGAAAAGGTACAAAGATGAATGAGGCAGGGTCCCTACCTTTAAGCAGCTTACAGTCCTGTAGGGAGAAAAGAGCTTAAACAGTTACTCTACCGTGCAGTAACTGATCAAATAGCTGGAGAAGTAGATTGAACAATATGATCGTAAAGAACCTTGTAGGCCATGGTAAGGCTTGGACACTATGGAGCCCCTTAAGATATTTTTGGGCAAGGGAGTCACAGGCTAAGATATTTAGGAAGACATATGGAGCCATGGACAAGTGAGGGAAAGATAGAGGTTTGTCAGAACACCACTGGAGTAGTCCAGAATGAGAACGTGAACAAAGGCAGTTAAGTAGAAATAGAAAGGAGAGAGATTTAAATATAAGAGTACTGATTGGCAGTAATTGGTCACTGGTTAAGGGAAGTTGTGGTTGTATAGCTGTTGGCTTAGAAAAGCAGAGAGAAGAGTGCTAAGTATTGTGGGGAAGGTAATGAATTTGATTTGAAACATTAAGTTTAAGGTGCTTAAGGAAATTCCAGGTGGAAATGTACAGTGTCGTTGCTCAGGCTGGTTAATGATAGAGGTGGGACGAGGATTCTTGATTCTATTTAGTATTCTTTCTATTGTATTTGGTTGTCTTTGCTTGAACAGGTGTGAAACTGGCTTTAGATGAGCTGAAGATCTGAAGACTATACAGAATCCAAGGAGATGACTGGCTTTATTTTCTATTAATTTTTATCTTAAAAATTTTAATTCTTAGGAAAGGTAGAAGAAAAAAGATATGGAACTTAGTAATGGAAAAAATGGAAATTTAACTTACTTCTTCTTATTGAAAAATGACTAAATTTTCTGCAACTTTGCTTAGCTATTGACCAAAAATTGATTTCACTGGAAAGATACTAGTTGTGATTGCTGTTGCTAAACTCAAGAAAGTACTCTCATAGCTGTAGAAACCATGCTGCTTAGTATAGAAACCAGTAGGCTGAGAGAGAAAAAGGAGAGAGAAAATGAGACAAACAAATGGCACAAAAAATAGTAGAAATGTCAGTGTAGTTTAAAAGTTCCATTAACTAATCCCTCTTTCCTTCATTTTGGAAATCAGTAATATTGGTTCATTTATTCATTTGATGCTCAGACTTTTCCATCTTTTTAATGCTGGGAAATTTCTCTCACTACTTTTTCAATTTTTTTCTTCCTCTCATTTTTCCCCCTCTGGCTAGAACTGTTATTTCCAAATATTAACACTTCTGCTTCTGCTTGTTTTATCTCTTAGACTTTCTATGTCTTCATTCTTTCCTACTCTCTTCTGGGAGAGTTCTTCAATCTGATCTGCCAACCACTAAGTTGTTCTTTAGCCTACTATTTATCTGATTTATTATATTTTTCATATCTGATAGTCTTACTTGGTTCTTTTTTTTTAATGATTTTTTGTTTCACATTGTTAATATCTTTCTTTATTCCTTGTGTGTATGTATGTATGATTAATGTTTTTCACTTTTTTTTTTAAACACTAATTGATTCCTCGAGTATCTGTTTCTTTTTTTAACATCTTTACTGGAGTATAATTGCTTTACAATGATGTGTTAGTTTGTGCTTTATAAGAGTATCTGTTTCTTTTGGTATATGAACTCATGTTCCGGGGCCGGGGTGGGTGGGGTGGTGGTGGTGGGAATAAGCTATTCTGTGAGAAATCCTATTGCGTAAGGACTAAAATCAGGCCATAGTCTGTTCCTGTGAATATAAGAAGAGAGGAGGAGATGAGCCCCAGGGATGGCGTCTCAGGCAGCACAGAACCACTATTGATCGTGGCCACTGCTGTTTGCTGGTACTCTACCGTTTAGTGTTTCTGATGGTTGTTGTGTCTTTAAAACCCTTAGGAAGAAGTTTCTTTGGGAAGTTTTGTATTCCTGTCCTGGGGTGAAGAAGGAAGAGAGTAAGGGAATGAATGGTCCTGGGTTCCTGGTCAGATGTCACCTATAACTTTTTGCCCCAGCTGGGCCTTCATGCTCCCTGATGTTACTCTGGGGTACTAGTATCTGCAGCCCAGATTGTTGCCAAGATCTTTATGGTTAAGGGACAAGCAGTGATGATCTCACGTTAATGAAGGAAAAAGGGAATGACAGCAGCACTTTGTACCAATCTTTCTTCTCACTAAACCTCCTCTAGCGACCCTCCTCCTCAGGATGCAGCCCCTTTCTCCCCACACACACAAAGTCAAGCTAGTCATCAGTCTTTCTTAGTAGTTTTTCACAACTTTTACTTAGTTCTCAGAATCCTGGTTTCTTCCCACTTATGTAGTTACTACAACATTGTTTTGGGGACAGGGAGCTGGCAGCCTTTGTTAGTGTGCCATCTTGGCTAGACCAGAAGCCCAGAAATTGGAAGTTTATCCTTTCCAGATCTTTTTCTAAGCATCTAAGCATTTGCATATGTGTGTTTGTGTGTGGTCATGTGTGGATAATTTTGAGGTATATGTATGTGTTTTTCTGCCATCTGATTCTTAAAATTTAACTATAAATCCTAAAGATCCACCATATCCTTTTTATCTACCATGTAGTATACCCTAGGTTAATTATTCTACTGTTGAAGGATTTTTAGATTGGTTCCAATTTTTTTTCTCTCCAAACTGTAATAAGAATAAAATCCTTTTTACATTATGAGGAATTGCCTTTCTATAGAAGATGAGGGGTGGAATTACTCAAAAGGCACAAGCATTTATAATTTAAATAGACACTAATAAATTGCTTTTCAACTATATGAGATTCCTTTCCAACACCACATATATATATATTTTTTTGCGGTACGCGGGCCTTTCACTGTTGTGGCCTCTCCCGTTGCGGAGCACAGGCTCCGGACGCACAGGCTCAGCGGCCATGGCTCACGGGCCCAGCCGCTCCGCGGCATGTGGGATCTTCCCGGACCGAGGCACGAACCCGTGTCCCCTGCATTGGCAGGTGGACTCTCAACCACTGCGCCACCAGGGAAGCCCACATATGATATTTTTAATCTTAAATTTTTGCCAGTCTGATTAACAGCGACATTTAGTGCGTTATCCTACATTTACAGAACTATCAAACATTTGTTTTGTTTGTAATAAGAACTAGTAGTAATGATACATTTGTAAGTTAAAATATTGCTTTGGTAAGAAAATAGTGACCATTCTTTGTGCTTAAACAACTCTTTGCCCAGAGGGAGCATCAGGTCAGTGAGAGTAGTCTGAAGACAAAACTGCAATTTGTACATTTATGTGGATGGGCCAGGTGTACTACTAGAGATCATAGGTAGCCTAACTTAGAATTGACATGAGTCTGAGCTTTGAGTATAATATTAAAATGATAACTGCTTATGAGTACGAGAGCATTTTGTGAATAGGGAAGCTAAATCTTCAGTAGGGTCATAGAGTATTAAGGTGTTAAGTAGTTCAGCAGTTACAAGTACCTTAAAAAATTGGTTCACAACAGAGAAGGTACTATATATTGCACAACATTTATATGGTAGTGGAGAGTAATACAGGCACTGTGAAATATTTCTAATTAATTTCTAGGGAAAATGTATCTGCTGTCATTCTAAACTTTGCCCAAGAATCTCCAAGGGTTTTATATTAATTGCAAAACAATCTTTTTTTTTTTAAAGGGTGTTGAGCAACTGATATTCTTAAAGAAAAGTCAGATTACAGGATAAGGGGAGCTACAAATCTGTAGAGGATAATTAGGGCAAATTGTAGAAAATCTTGAATGATGAGCTAAACAGTTAGATTTTATTTTGTAATCAACAGAGTCATCAAAGATGTTTCAGCAGTGATTTCTTCATATATTCTAGTAAAAAAACTCTACTTGGTTGAAATTAAACTCCTTTTAATAAAAAACATGAGAACTCTCATATACTGGAATTTTTATTCAGTTCTTGATTAGTAAACTCATTTATTAGAATATCTCCAAGTCACAAGATGCGCTAGTGATTAGGGCATATTATTTTTAATACCAAAAGAAAATAGAATTCATCATTTTTTTAGTTTTTATTTATTTCATATATTTGATAAACATATTCATACTTTTTGTACATTTTCATCAGTTTTATTATAAAGTTCACACTAACAACTTTAGCCAATTTTCATTCATAAAGAACAAGAGGTGAATTTTCTATTCTTCTAATTAAGCTGTATGAACAATGTATAATGTGTGACAGCATTTAGTGTTTTAAATAACATTTTTCCGGTGTGTTTTATTGTTGTCTAATTTGGAGGTTGAAGAAAACAGATAGTGGGTATTTAACTTCATAAGAAATAAGACATGGAGAACAAAGCCTGCACTTAGATATCTTATTAAACTAACTTTCCTGTAGCGTGTATGTGGCATAATAAGGACTTCCTAAAATAGCTTTCAAGCAGTCATGTGGTCTGCATCATGATACATTTGACAAATATTTCTTGTTTTGACTTGATTTTAATGTAATGTGTGTAACAATGGTTTCTACTTTTTACAGGACTTGGAAAACAGTGTAGGTGAACTTAGTGAAGGACAAAGGCCCAGGCTGACAGCAGCAGCAGAGAACATCTTAATAGGACATTCCGCCTATATGCAGCAGCCTGTAACTAACGCAGAGTCTTCAGATCAGAGATGTGCTCCTAAGCCATTATCTCAGCAGTGTGACACAGTTACAGGTATACACCAAAATATTGCTTCTTGATGTATTGTCTGTTAGAATATTCACTTCGAACCCCATCATACTTTTTTGGTACTGTTTCCATGTTGAATGCTGTATTCTGTTTTGTATTATAATCTACAGTAGTGTTCCTAATCTGAATTAAGAAAAGCATAACTATTTTCAGGTAGGGGCTTACAAAATTTCCTTATTAAAAGGGGTATTCATAATTGAAAAGTTTGATAATGACTTTTTCTATGGTATTTATAGCAGTATTTCCCCAAAGTGTTGGTACGTGAATCACTGGATGGGGCATGAGATAATTTTGGTAATATGCATGTGTCCACCTAAAAATTTTTAATAGTGATGTATTTATTTTAATATATACTGGAAAAATATAACCAGCACATCAAAACTGTGACATAACAGATCTTGCGTAGGACAATGTTAAATTAGGTAGTACTGTAGAAGTTCAGTCTTCTGACTCAGTGCTCAGTGTACTCGGGACTGTTTTGGAATTTTATTATCTAAACTTTCTGCTGTAACACTTTGGGAATAAGAGTAGAATAGAGAATACCAGTTTCTAGCATATGTAGTTGATTTTCATTATCTATAGTACTTATGTCCTATAGAGTCACCAGAAACATTGAATTAGCAAATACTGAGCCACTGCTTCTAGGGGAAATACAAGGTTAGGTTCCTGTGAGCCTCTGATTATAACATTTTTGACAGTTGATCCATACATAACTTTGTTTTATGTGTGTTTCTATTTAAGGACACTTATTTAATGTATATTGTTGATTCATTAACATTGAATCTCACGGCCAACAGCACTTAACTCATTCCTGAATGAAACTTATCTAACACATATATTTTTTCTCTAAGGCTCATCGCAGCCTTCTTGCACTTAGGTACACTAGAGAGCACTTCTGCACTATGTTTGGGGGCCATTTTAAACACCCACAAAATCAACAAAGCGTTCAAAAATGTGTCACTAAATAGACAGCGAAAAAGAACACTTGTTCACGGTGTAAGAGCTGGTAAGAAAGCAGAGCAGCACCGTGTTCAACCTCATCTGCTGAAGTGTGTGTAGGGTGATTCAGGTTTCTGCTGCTCTACACATGTCCACAAATGACTGCGAACGTGCTGTGAGTATTGATTTCAGGGTTACAAATAAATTTTATCAGATAGGTGAATTTGCAGAAATGGAATCTTCAGATTAATGAGGATCAATTATATTCTCATTTATTGATTTTCTCATGCCCATTGCTGCATTTTCTTAAATGGAAAGAACTTCTGGAGGTATGCAGATTTGCCAGAAGTTAGAAGAGGAGATGCTGGAAGTTAGAAAAACATTGGCACAGAGTATGAGTAAACACCTTATCATTCAGAACTGAGAGACATTCAAGACTGAATTTTCTATGGGAATGAATGTAAATTAATATTTGAATTATTTATTTTATGCACATAGTAAGAGTATTAATTTTTTTACATTTTTAAAAATTAGTATTCAAAGTGGCATTAAAATATGACTTCTATATTTGTATCCAGCTAACCGTGCAGAGTGCAATTAAATAGAATTGACACTAGATGGCTCTCGCAGATCACTTGAGAGCTACTTGGTATTTGGCGAACAAAGAGGTACTTGTTAAATTGTTACAGAAAATAAAAATAAATAAATAATAAATGTTATAGAATAAAATCCATGAGGATATATCCTGTTTAGCCCCTCCTTATACCCTGGTATCACCTAGCAGATTACCTATAGTACAGTTCATTTTTAATTGTAGGCACACTATAGATATTTATTTAATTTAATTGGAAAAAATAATAAGTGATGTGGCGTAAGATTGAGCATATAGATGGGTCAGTATGACAGAGTGGCTAAGAGCTTGAGCTTTTGGAGTTTCAGAAATCAGTTTGAATTCCAGCTCTGTATTTTTGGGCAAGTAACAATCTTTCTGAGCCCAAGTTTCTTCATCTATCAAGTGGGGATAATATTAATGTATTAGTTACCTATTGCTATGTAACAAATTACCCCAAAATTTAGCAGATGAAGACAGCAAACATTTATTAGCTCACACATTTCTGAAAGTTATGAATCTGGGAGTAGCTTAGCTGCATGGTTCTCAGGATCTCTCATGAAGGTGTAGTCAAGCTGTTGGCTAGAGCTGCAGTCATATGAGGGCTTCAGCTAGGGTTGGAGGATCTATTTTCCAAGCTCACTCACATGGCTGCTGGCAAGATGCCTCAGTTCCTCATTACTGGAACCTTTCTATAGAGCTGTCATGACATGGCAGCTGGCTTTTCCCAGAGTGGATGATCTGAGAGAAAGTGAACAACCAAGATGGAAACCACGATGTCTTTTATAACCTAGTCTCAGAAGTGACATGCCATTACTTCTGCCACATTCTGTTGATAACACAGACCAATCCTGAAATAATATTGTAGGGGACTACAGAAAGGTGTGAATACCAGGACCCAGATGTTAGGGGACCGTCGTGGAGGCTGCTTACCAGAAACAATATCTACCTCCTAAGGTTATTAGGGGTGGGTAGTAGGTGACAATGCACATAAAGTAGTTAGCACTGTGCTTGGCACATGGTAACTGTTACTATCTTCAATAATGCTTGGAGAATGTAAAAATATCAGTACCTTCTCAAATGTATTTAATGGAACCAGAAACTATCCACAGTTGCTTAAAAGGAAGGTGCCTATAGAGAGCTAGTTTGTTCCTCTTGCTTTAAGTATTTTGTTACATTATGTTTACTGCAGAAGAATGAGTCCCAGTGTATCACTATTTCTGCTACTGGCTAATCTCATGCCTTTCATGTTGATTTTTAGTAACTTTGTTTACAGAGGCTCAGCTCTTCTTACCTTGCCTGTCCCCACCCCTGCTCATTTTCAGAAAGCATCCTATTTGCAACCTATAGTCCCCTATCAGTGTTTCTAATTCTGAGGCTTTCACGTTGCGTTGAGTAACAAAAAGCTGCTAAATAAGGTTTAAAGAATTGTCTCGAGAGCCCTAAAGTGTAAACTGGTATTTTGAACAAACTGTGAGGACTCTGGGACTTACTACCAATTATAGCTCTTCATTTACTCAGAAAACTTGTATTGAGTACCTACTGTGTACTCGGTACCAATATATTAGTACAATATTAGGGTCTTGAGATGCAGAGGTAATAGACATCTGCTCTCAAGGAAGTTTACAAACTCGTGTAGAAGAATATGAGACAGCAGTTTTAATATTGTGTGATTAATGCACAACACAGACTGCTTTGGGAGCGCAGAGGAGGAACAGCCCACACATGAGAGCTCAGAGAAGGTTTCCCACAAGAGCCAATGTGAAACTGAATCTTAGAGGAATCAGCCAGATGAAGTGTGATAAGCACGTTCCAGTTTATTCATTTACTTATTCAGAAAATATTTTTTTGAGTGCTTGCTCTGCTCTAAGCACAGTCTAGGTGGTAGGAATATAAAACCTGGTAAGGCCTTATCCATAATGAATATTTTCTCTAGTAGAAGTAGTAGAGAGAAGGCAAAAACATGCAATAAATTACTGTAGTTATTGTGAAGCAGTCCGTATGGGATGGGAGTACAGGTCAGTTGTAACTGGGGAGGGCAATCAAGAAAGACTTCATGGGGCTTCCCTGGTGGCGCAGTGGTTGAGAGTCCGCCTGCCAATGCAGGGGACGCGGGTTCGTGCCCCGGTCCAGGAGGATCCCACATGCCACGGAGCGGCTGGGCCCGTGAGCCATGGCCTCTGAGCCGGCACGTCCGGAGCCTGTGCTCCGCAGCGGGAGAGGCCACAATAGTGAGAGGCCCGCGTACCGCAAAAAAAAAAAAAGGAAGACTTCATGTGTGAGGAGCTAACTTGAAATGAGTTCTCAATGATGAATAGATGTTTGCTGTGTAGTAAGTGTAAGAGAAACCTCCAAGGCAGAATATGCAATGAGACAAGGGGATATAATATCAAGTGGTTTTTCAATTTACTCTAAGACAGTAGAGATTCGTTTGTGTGCAAAACGGAAAGTAATTCCAATCTTACTTTATATTTATGCCCATGGAAAATTCAGTCTTGAATTTCTGTCAATTCTGAATGTTTTGTGATATTCACAGATCCATTAAAGATTGTATGTAAATGAGTGACATGATCATATTTGCCTTTTATTTAGCAAGATCATGTGAGGTGCAGTGTGATGGATAGATTGCAGAGGATTAAGACTGGAGGCAAGGAGCCTCTGGCTTAGACAGTTATTAAAGTAAACCTGGTGAGACATTATTCAGCAGTGAAGAAATATGAAAAGGGAGACTTGAGAGACATTTGAGGAGGAGAGTGGACAAGACTTAGTTGAATATGAGAGGTGCAAAAGAAGGGAGGGTCTAAGATGACTCCAGGTTTTTGGCTAGAATGATTGGATAGATGGTATTTCCATTCACTGAGGGAGGGAGGGATTCTAGAGGAAAGACAGAATTAGGAGGAAATAAGAATGAGTGGGGTTTCATCTATGTGGAATTTGAGGTACCTTTGGGTTTCATACAAATGGAATAATTTATTAGACAGGCAAGAACCAAAGCTGCTGCTGGCACTGGCAATTCAAGCAGACTTAGTCTTCTCTGAAAGTCTACCATGGTTGCTTTTTCAAAGCAGTAAGATTCTAGAAGAGTAAAATTAGGGATTTTAAATTATGGTTAATTAAATTTGTCTTGAATGGAATACTACTTTAAGTGTCTCTCTTACAAAGGGCTAACTAACGTACATTACACTCAATGAGCATACTTTTTAGAAGTGACAGAGCAAGTTCAAACATTGTTGTGATTGCTGTCATGGAATCCTTTCCTGATCCCTTACCACTGGGTTAGGTACCGTCAAATATGCTCTCTGTGTAGTCCTCTAATGTCGCCTGCCTAATGTTGCTCTTATCACACTGATTTGTAATCTCACTTGAAAATGGAGACTTTATCTTGTCCACTGTCATAGCCCTGTCATCTAGCAGAGTATGTAGCGTAGTCAGTAAATATAGGTTAAGTGATAGGGTGTCATATGAGCTGAAAGCTATTATGCACTTTTAATGCTTTTGGGAGATGTTTGATTATACACTTTCTTTGTTTCTATATTTAATTTTTTTCTTCTTTTATCACAATCTACCTTGTGTCCTTTTTTTTTTTTTTGGCGGTACGCGGGCCTCTCACTGTTGTGGCCTCTCCCGTTGCGGAGCACAGGCTCCGGACGCACAGGCTCAGCGGCCATGGCTCATGGGTCCAGCCGCTCCGTGGCATGTGGGCTCTTCCCGGACCGGGGCACAAACCCATATCCCCTGCATCGGCAGGCGGACTCTCAACCACTGCGCCACCAGGGAAGCCCACTTGTGTCCTTTTCAGTTAACTTTTTTCTTTACACCCATACATCAGCCACATATCATTTTACATAAAAATAAAATACGGTTATGTCATATATTACTTTAAGTTATAGACTTTTTTTGAGTGCTCTTCATCTACCCCTCCTCCTCACATTTTCTCCTGTCCCACTTTATGCCTTAACTCGTGTTAAGATTCTGGTATGTAACCTTCATGGTTTTTTTCCCTTATGCATATATAATAATTATATACACACACACATACAGTATACATGATAGGTACATACGATGTGTGTGTATTTGTTGTTATTTTACAGGTTGAGATTGTGTCATGCACACTCGCCTGCATTTTGTTTTCACCCAGTAAACCCTGCAGAAATTACTCGAGGTCAAGTAGTAGTGCTTAAATTCATCTTTTTTATTGACTTTTTATCCACTTTTAGTATGGATTTCCGATAATGTATTCAGTCATTGCTCTGTTGATGAATATTTACTTTATTATCATTTCACCCCTACTATAAACAGTGCTAAAGTAAATATTCACACATGTGTATCCTAATATATTGCTGCATTTTATATTTAGGGAATAGTTTCCCAGAAGTAGTTACTGGGCCCAAGGGAAAATATATTTAAAAATTTAAAATAGATATACCAAGTTGCTGTCTTAAAATTTTAAACTAATTTATTTTTATTAGTAATATATTACAACCTTCCCTCTATATCCCTTCCAGAAATTGTGTTTACTACTATTTTTATTTTTGTCAGTTAAAGTATAAAGATATGGCTGACTACTGCTGAGTTTATGTTTGTTGGCTATTTGTATTTGCTCTTCTGTGAATTACCTACTTAAGTTCTCCCCCCGTCTGTTAGGTTCTAAGTTTTTCTTGTAACTTTGTAAGAACTATTTCTGTATTTTAGATATTTTCTATCATCTGTATTGCAAATGTCTTTTCCCAAATTTGTACTTTGTTCATTGACATTATTTATATTCTTTTCCATATAATTTAAAAAATTTTATAGAATTATTTACATCGCTTATACTTCCTGTGTTTTCATCACATGGTTAGGTTTCCCCCAATACAAGCTTATATCTGTAGTCTCAGATTCTTTTTGCAAGTTCATTATTTAGTATATATTTATATTTAAGTCTATCTGGAATTTATTTTTACAAGTGGTGTAAGGTAGAAGTTCAATTTGATTTTCTTCCAGGTAAGTAGTCCGTTGTGCCAATTATTATGTATCTTTTTCCTACTGAATTAAAATATCAACCAATTTGTATATTAAATTCTCATAGCCGTAGGAATTTTTTTTTCTCGATTCTTTTTTCTAAGTATTCTAGATTCCTTAGGATCTAAAACACATTGGATTACTGTGTCTTTATGGTACATTCTGTTATCTGATAGGGCAAGTTTACTTTTTAAAATAAATTTTCCTGGGGCTTCCCTGGTGGCGCAGTGGTTGAGGGTACGCCTGCCGATGCAGGGGACACGGGTTCGTGCCCCGGTCCGGGAGGATCCCACATGCCGCAGAGCGGCTGGGCCCGTGAGCCATGGCCGCTGAGCCTGCGCATCCGGAGCCTGTGCTCCGCAACGGGAGAGGCCACAACAGTGAGAGAGGCCCGCGTACCGCAAAAAAAAAAAAATTCCTGCTTTTCTTGACAATTCTCAGGCATTTATCCTTCCATATAAACTCTAAAATTATGTTTTTCAATTAAAAATCACCCTGATTGGAATTGTGCTAATTTATGTATTAATATTGGAAGAATTGACATTTTTATATGTATGTATAAAAATACATTTAATGTGTTTTACTATTTGTCCAGATCTTGTTTTGTGCTCTTCAATAAGATTTCATAATTTTCTTCATTTTCTTCTTCTATACCTTTCTTAATTATTTTACAGTTCTGGTCACTATAGTAAAAGATTATTTTTTCTATTTCTAAGTGCATATTGCATAATATAGAGAGAAACCAATGACTTGTATATTTTTTTAGTATCCAGTCGTAGTACCAAATTGTCTTATTACTTCTAATAAAATTATTTTTCCTCACTAGGGACTCTAGGGCTTTCTAGGTATATAATCATATAATCAGTACAAAAAGTTTTTATGTATGTATGAATTCTTTTATCTTAATTCATTTGCCAGTCTTAAGAAAATGTAGGAAAATTGACATAGGAATAGAAAAAGCCATATCAGAATATAAAAAGGCCAATATGAGGCTTGGAACAATGGTTGCTCTAAATGATGCATGTTATTACAATTATTTAAATTAATCTTATAAATAAAATGAGAATAAAACAAGTAATAATTTTGAGAAATTGTTTTGTGTAGATCAAATTCTGGAAAGGTAAAACTTAAAAGTCAGTGTATGTAAAACCCACCTAAAAATATAGATTAACATAAAAAAACTAGAGAATACTAGGTTTATTTGCTAAACCTAAGAAATTGTCAACATACTGCCTTTAAATGGAAAATACCTGTGGGGTCTTTAAAATATCACTTCATTTAAAACAATTTATGTATAGTGCTTCAGGTCTATTTCTACTGATTAAAATGAGACTGCATTGTGCTACATTTAAAAGGTGACCATTAATTAGGAAAAACAATTTTCTTAGAAATAATTTAGCAAGAATGTGAAATAAGGAACAGTGACTAGGAGTTGAAAGATGAGGATTTTAGTTCCTTTTCACCTCTTAGCTCTGATATTTTGACAGTTAACTTCCCTGAGCCTTACAGTGAAAGACAGTTGTAAAACTATCGTATCCTCCTGCCTTACAGAATGATTGTGAGATTCAAGTTAAACGAGATAATATATGTGAAAGTGCTTGGAGTATAAAATGTAATGTAAATGTACAGTGATATTATTAGATAAATATTTATCTCTGCTCTTATTGTCTTCTTTTTATTGATTTCATTGAGATGCCATTGGTTGAGGAAAAGAGGAGCTTGATCTTTTGAAGAAAAATGCCAGAACAGAAATAAGCAATACCAACATTTTCTAGTCAGGAAATTGCCCCTTGATTTAAGATTACATTTTAGATGGAAAGTATTCTATTGACTCTTATTGATAGAAAAAGTAATCTGGAGTGTTGGGAGTTGGTGTGTAGGAGTGAGTGTTGGGTGTGGACTGCGTGAACAGCTTGCTGATTGGAACCTTAGAATTTCAGTCCATAGATTTGTTTGAACATAGGTACTTTTTGCATTCTCTGTGAGCTTTGGTTTTAATTGCAGTGAAGGCTTGGTGACATGTATTTTCTGTTGAAGTACTTCTAATTCAGCAGGTAAGAAATACTGGTAATTTTAGCCAATTTTTCTTTTTCTAAGAAATAATTTATTTTAACTTTTTGTTTACATACTTGATAACAGATGATATTTATGAAGATTTATGTGCTAGTCATGGTCCAATGAGTTTGGGAGAATTGGAGTTGCAGCCAGATCCTCACCTTGCCCTTCCCACAAAACTTCTGACAACACAAGAAGATGATGTTAAATTGTCAGTAGCAGCTGAAGATTTTCCTCAGGTACCCAATTAATAGCACTTGTACTTTACTTAAATCAGAATGGTAACAATATTGCCTTAGCATAGAACACTGTCAAGAGCACAGTCTTTGGAGTCAGACAGCCTCAAATCATGCCTCCTTTTTTCACTAACTCAAGCCTGGCTATAGATCTTAGCTCATCCAATCTCTAGCTGTGACCTTGAATACATACTTAGCCTTTTTCTAAGCCTTAATTTCCTCATCTTTAAATTAAAGATTAAAATAATGTATGTAAAAATGCCTATTACCAAGTTAGATAGCTATTATCATTTACACCTCTATATTCCCCTGCAATATCTAGTTTAGTAGTTTGTGCATAATAGGTACTCAATAAATATTTATTCTATTAAAATTTGTGAAGTGTGTTACCATGAAAGCATCAGATATTTCATACTGAGTTAAGCCAATGGCCCATGCAATCTTGTGTACTGAAAAAATAGGATAATTACTCTCCAAGGTGTAAAAAAAAATGCTCATGTTAAATTAAATACAGTTTTTTAATCTGTGTAATCTCACTGTAGATTTATTCAATAAATAGTCATCATGGTATGGTATTGTGTTGCATTGCATGGTGTTGAGGGTGAAAGCCAAAAGTATATAAAATAAAGATTGCTTATGGAACACACTATTATGTAGGGTTCAGTATTAATAACCTGTGACCAAGCAAAGATCAGGAAAAAAACTAGTAATGAATAAATATCTGTTAATTAATTCTGTAATAAAAGAAAAATTGTTTGTGACCTTGGGTTAGGCAAAAATGACACCAAAAACACTATCCATGAAAGAAAAAAAATTAATAAACTGGTCTTATCAAAAATAAGAACATCTGCTCTTCAAAACACACTGTTAAGAGAATGAAAAGACAAGCTACAGATTGGGAGAAGATATTTGCAAAATCACTTATCTGGTAAAAGGCTTATATGCAGGATATATAAGGAACTCACAGAGTACAATATTAAGAAAACAAACAATCCAATTAAAAAATGGATAAAATCTTTGGACAGATACCTTACCCAAAGAAGATATACTGATGGCAAGTGAGCACATAAAAAGATTCTCAACATTGGTAATCGTTAGGAAAATGCTAATTAAAACCACAATGAAATACTACTACACAGGCATTAGAACATCTCAAATTAAAAAGACTAACATGCCAAGTTTTGGCAAGGGTGTGGAGCCCTTAAACTCTCATATGCTGCTGGCTGGGAATGTAAAATGATTCAACCACTTTGGAAAACAGTTTGGCAATTTCTTGAAAAAGTATTGATAAAATGTACACCTACCATATGACCCAGACATTTCACTCCTAGGTATTTATTTACCCAAGAGAAACTACCACATATGTCTAAGCAAAGGCTTGCACATGAATGTTCATAGCAACTTTATTGGTAGTAGCCCCAAACTGGAAACAACATAAATATTCATCAATTGCTGAATGTACAAGTTGTGGCATATCTATAAGATGGAATACTACTTAGCAATAAAAAGCCATGGACGGACTTCCCTGGTGGCACAGTGGTTAAGAATCTGCCTGCCAATGCAGGCGTCACAGGTTTGAGCCCTGGCTCGGGAAGATACCACATGCCATGGAGCAACTAAGCCCGTGCACCACAACTACTGAGCCTGCGCTCTAGAGCCCACGAGCCACAACTACTGAGCCCGTGCACCACAACTACTGAAGCCCGCGCGCCTAAAGCCAGTGCTCTGCAACAAGAGAAGCCACTGCAATGAGAAGCCCATGCACCGCAACGAAGAGTAGCCCCTGCTCGATGCAACTAGAGAAAGCCCACGCACAGCGGCAAAGACCCAATGCAGCCAAAAATAAATAAATAACTTTATTTTTAAAAAAAAAAGCCATGGGCTACTGATACGTACAGTGACATGGATGATTCTCACAAAAGTTGTGTTGAGGGGAAAAAGCCAGAACCCCCACCCCCCCAAAAAATTGTGCATACCTTACGATTCCACTTACATGGAATTCTAGAAAATGCAAACTAATCTGCAGTTATAGGAGGGAATTCAGGTTATTTTGAGCTTGGTGGATATGTTCATCATATTATCTTGACTGTGATGATGGCTTCATGGGTATATACATTTGTCAAAACTTAACAAGTTATACACTTTAAATACATGCAGATTATTGTCTATCAGTTATACCTCAATAAAGATATTCTAAACAATAAAAGAAAGATTGCTCTCCTTTAATTATTGGCCTGTTTTAAAATAAAACTGCAAAGTGTCACCAGAAGAATGGCTTCAAAAAAATTCATATGTTAGATTTCCTTTACTAACAGAGAAGTATGGCTAGTACTAATACTAGCACACACTGTTTATAGTGCTTACTCTGCCAGAGGCTGTTCTAAGTTCATTATGTATTAACTAATTTAATCCTTTTAACAGCCTACTGAGGTAGTTATTATTATTATCATCCCCATTTGATGAATGAGAAAATTGAGGTATTGGGGGGTTAAGTAACTTACCCAAGGTCAAAGCTACATAATGACTTAGCCAAATTTGAACACAAGCAGTTTAGCTCCACAATACTCAGCTCTTAATCCCTGTGGTTGAGGAAGGGAGCCAGTAGGAAGGTTCTAAATTGAAGCAGCACAGAAGAGTCATAGTACCCATCTTAGAAATACACACCAAAATAATATTTCCTTTAGGGAAGAAACCTATATGACTAATGGCTCTCAACTTAGAAGACCAGAGGTGAGGCTAGTTGTTATTATTGCAGTCTAAAGCTACTCATTTTTACCTGTAGATAGATAAGTACCTGCCAGAACTGGGGTGGTTACATTTGAGTCCATGTGGACAGGTGTTTCAGATTCTCCTCTGCTTGTATCTGTTGTTAAGAGTTCAGAGATACCTTTTTAGGTTCCTGTCAAATTATATCTGACAGTTGTTTTGAGAGACTCATTCATAATTAGGCTCATAAAACAGGAAAGGGAAGAAAGAAAATGGCTAAAGTCATCACAATTTGTAATGTGTGATTGTGAAGGAATTTGTGACTACTGTAAATTTCAAATTTCGTTAGGTGGTAGTAAGGAAGAGAGATGATGGGGCTTATGGTAGAGTGTACTTTTCTTGAATGGCAAAGGAGGGTAACAATACCTACTCAACACTTGTGAGAATTCAGTGATGTTATTATATATAAAAGCTCTTTGAAAATTGCAGTACATTATGCAGATTTTCATTTTATGCAAAAATGGTTATATGGAAGTGCTTACAGTCAAATTAAGTTTTTATCCTGTCTAAATCCATCATGTATGTATCTAGAATAGTTGGTTTATAAGTAGCTCTGAATTCTCTAGGAAAAATAGAAATGATTTGAATATCTGAAATCTGTGTATATTACCCAAATCTTTTGAAAGATTTTATTTGCAATATCTTTTCTTTAGTAATATGTACTCCATCGCCCATTTGGTAGTTAGAAAACATGCATGATATTCAAATTTTATATAATAAACACCTAAATAATTTAATTGCTCAGATCTTTTTAAAGTAACTTAAAAAATAATATTATGACTTCATGTCTTAAATTCTTCAGTACCAACAAAAACAAGACCAAGATGTTAAGCAAGTTGAACACAAGCCAGTTCAAAGTCGTTTAATACGTGTAAGAAATAAATGTGATATTTCACTTTCACAGCAACAAGGTAAGATTTGTTTCCTTGTAATAATATAAGAGTTTGATACATGTTGTGAATTGAACACATATATAATGAGAATTCTTTTATATAAGTTTTATTCTTATTCTCTAGGGGTTTTTTTTGTTTTCTTTGATTTAGCCCTTTGGGATAAAGAATCTGGTATTGTATTTGAGTGTATATTTGTTAGTTCTTTTTACCAATAAACACTATTTCTGATGGACTTTAAAAACTCTTAGGTAGTATTTTTATTTTAATCTTACCTTTTGGTTCTTGTACAATTGAATGTCAGTGTCTTTTTATCTATGTATAAGTCTGTATCTGTATCATAGTTGTCTGTTTTAAATTATAATATAAAGGCAATGGTTATGGTTGTTAAGGAGCTTTGTAAAGGCTGTTTATGTTGTGTGGCGATTTGATCAACAGGTACAACTTAAAGAACAAAGAACTCATGTTAGATGCTATCATATGAATGAACTTTTCTGTACTGCTTGATTACCAAAATTGTGTGGCTAAATGATCCTGCAGTCAGCATCCCGGCATTTGATATTGTCTTTGTGTTTCTGCAAAGCTGTTGGCCTTGTGCTTAGTTTGCCTTCTTGCTTCTTTGTCATTTAAATTTTATATAACCTAAATTCTGAAATTTGGCAGTAGAAATTAAGATGTCTTCTGTTTAAAAACTTTCTGTCTACAGTCCAGGTAGAAGTATTAGGAGTATTTTGAGCAGTAGAATGTTTTTCTTCACTTTTGTAATTGTGTTTTTTTATCTCATATATTGAATGCCAATATAATTACAAATGTAACTGTTTGGCAGTTTGGGGAGGACCTAAATGAGGAAGTGCTTAAGATTATGTTATATGAGGTTTAGGTTTTTACTTTTCTGCTTGTTTTCTGTTCCTTTCTTGCTCCAACTTTTCAGAACTTTCCCCTCCTGACCACTTTTTAAAACCTAACAGTGGTACAGTAGTGTTAGTATTATATCTTAGAATCCTATGGAAAATTACCTGTAACACTTTCCTCATTGTGTTTAAAAATTAATCATGACAGTATATAGATATGAGCAAATGAATATTTCTAAGATAATATCAGGACTGACTTGATGTCCTTCTACTGAATTCTGTTACTATTCATGGTCAATGACTGTATATTTAATTTAGTTTTTTAAAAAATTTATAATTTCTTAAAATTATAAATGAATTTTGTCTTCTTGGAGAATGTTGTATATAATAAAATGATCATTTTTCTCACCTGATAGGAAAATATCTTTGGTAAGATTTTAAGGGTAAATACCTCTCTTTAGGAAAGTGACATTGTTTTCAGTTTCACATATATGAATGTCTGACCACAAGATGGCAATATTTAAATTTTTGTTGACTTACAACGTCATTAAATAATAGTGTGCAGTTAACATTTAATGTCAGTAAAAATCATAAGAAAAATAAAAGAAACCAATGTGTTAGCTAGTAGGAGGAAGTTTTATTTAGAAAGAATCTAGAACAGTTGGATTTAATATGTGTAAAAATTATTTTCATTTAATTTTACATGCAATACAGAAGTTAGGAGAGCCGCAGGCCTATGTCAGTTTTAACCAAGATAAATAAATACCCAGTGGGCTATAGATAAAACATTTTAAATAGGAGCCAAGTGTTTCACTCTATAATTGATACATATCTCCATACTAAATATTTTTTGAATGAATACAATTCTCTTGGCAAATATAGTCAGTTATGACTTTTTCCCCTATAAATTTTGTGGATTTAATTTTTTTCTCTGATGAAGCTCTGATACACTGCCAAATGTTTCAAAGAATAAGAGAGTCAGAGTGCCAAAATAATCCTCTAGGGCTTTCACAACTTTGAGTGACCTTGAAGGAATTCAATCCTATCATATACAAAGGGCTTGAAGATAATGAAGGAAATTCACCTTATCACAAGGGAATCAAAACCACATCTTTTCTGGAAGATAAATGCTTCTAAGAATACTTGAAGCCCAAATTATGACTGTTTCAGGAAGAAGTATTATGTATTTCACTTTGAAATGCATAGTAGTTTAATATATGTATATAAAGAAATCAAGCCGTTTACTAGCAGTAGCAGTAGTTTAGTGATCATCCATTAAAAATTGACTGAAGATATGGTAGGACATAGGTTCTAGCAGTATGCTTCTGGGAGATCTGTAAAGTACTTGTCTCCTTCCTCTCTGCTTGATTATTACTTTGAGATTTTAATACAAAAGAGAGAAATTGAATTGAATTCTGAAAGATAATATCTGTTTCTTTTGGTATTTAATTCATTGGGTATATTTTTGAGCACATGATACCACTTATCTGATTCTAAGTCCTGATTAATGTGTCTAACAGTTTTATAGTGAAAGCAACTTTTTAAGTAATTTAGTAAGTCATTAAAATTTTTTTCCCTTTCACTGTGCAGTTAACTTTCTTCAGTACAAATGAGAGACTAGTTTTCAATCCATTTATTTGTTATGAACCCAGGAACAATTAAATTCTATAAAATGATGTATTAAAATAGTTCACTTTTAAAAATATTTTTCTTCTTTAGTTTTTCTCTTAAAATGTTAAGAACCGCATAATAAAGAATAATTAGAAAGTCAAATAGGCTATACTATAATCAATGGGGGAAAATTAGAACATATGTTGTATGGTTAAATGCTAGGACAGATTAGTTGTAAAAGTTGTTTGAAAACCACAGCATTCTTCAGTTTTCTTATTTGTAGATGAAATATGTTGCTCAGAAAATATATATCAAAGTGCTAAAAGTAATTACTAATGTAATTGCACTAATTTATCAAAAGCAGGTTACGTTTTTGTGGGAGATCACAATAGGCTTTTTTTGACATTATGTCCTGGGTTTAATTCCTAGCCATCGTAGCACCTTTTATACCTTAACATACAGTGATTGTGACTTTAGATATGTGAGAATTAGGAAATTCAAGGCTTATATATATTTAGAAGCCATTTCTAACCATATGTGCAAATGAAAACTTTTGCCTTTGTATTTGAAATATAACTAAATTATAATAGCTCAAAATTACAATTGATTTTAGTAATTTTAAAATCACAGTTAAAAGTTTTTTAAATTGATTTTTTTTCTCATAAAGTATGACAGTGATTTAAAAGCCGTGTGTGTAGATCTCTGATAGGGAAGGAATGGGGTACAGAGTAATAAATCTGCCCAAAGTCCATGAATCCAAAGCTGTAATCTGAATAAATGTGTCTTTCACAAATCCATGCTATTATTGATTAATAAAATAGAAATTCACTTTAAAATGTTGCTGAATGTGGGAGTTCTGTTTCCACCTAGGAGGAGGAAAGTGGAGAGTGTCTCTTCTCCTAACTGTAATAAAATGTCAGATAAACTCTAAAATCATAACATTTCTTGAACCCATCAGAGGACTTATGATGTACAGCAACTAAGTAGCCTGAAGTCCACGGAAAGACAGACTCCTCCCGAGATATGAGACACAAGAACCCCGTCACTGTGCCAGAGCACAGTTACAGGAAGAGATACCAGGCACCATACAAGCAGATAAGATGTATTTGACTAGACTTTTCTTTAATGAATTGCTAAAGGCCAAGCATAGAGCCATTGGTAGCTACTGATACAAAAGTGGTTCACTCTCACTTGCAGTCCCTTCTCCACAGACCTCTAGAAACAGAAAGATTAGGAGACTGGAGAGATTCTTCTTCACTGGTGCAGGCCTGGAAGAGGAGAGTGGCCGCCACTGCCAGAAGGACTGAATTCTTTCCAGCATAACCCTGATACCAAAACCAGGCAAAGACATTACAGGAAAGGAAGATTATAAACCAGTATCTCTCATGAACATAGACAGAAAATTCCTCTACAAAATATTACCAAATTGAATTGAAACTTCTTATTCTTCAACATTCAGCTGCATTTTCCTGAGTCCTTACTGAACCTCCAATTGAAAATGGCTTATTCATCCTTAACCCCACCCTCCAGATCTTTGGTGCCCAGAACATAATCATAATCTTAACAATAGTTTCCATTTACTGAAGCCTTGCTAGGCACTTTATGCTATCTCATTTATTCCTCATAATACCGTGCCACGCAGGTAGTGTGGCATTTATACGAGAAAGGGTAAGATTCATGAAGATTAACTAATTTTCCCAGCGCACACAGTTTAGCAAATGAAGGTGTGGAATTCAAGCCCATATCTACTTGAGGGCAAAGCAGATGCTCTTTTCCTTGTTTTATACCATTTTATTGAGTAAGCACTTAATAAATATTTGTGTGACTTAACAGTTTGTGGCAAGAGCTGCCTTTACCATCGCTGTATTCTCCAGAATGATTATTTAAAGTTTCAGAGAAAGTGATATATGGGATAGTTTTGTGGCTTATTTATTAAGGTAGGTTTTCCTATTTATTTAATAGACCTTGTTTCCCAACATAGCACTGTGCTTAAATACAGTGCTTACATACAGTCAATGTTTCATTGAATTGAATTTGATAATTCATTCCATCATTTGCTTTTGACACCAAACAACGTTTAATGCTGTTATTTAGTAAAAAGGTACAAGGAAGAAGAAAAGGTGAAAAATGAGAATAGTTCCTTATAATCATTTTTCAGTTGAAACTTTTGAATGTAGCCATGGTACAGACAGCCACGGTGGAATAATGTAAAGTCATTTTTACTTTTCTAAAAGATTTTGTGATTTCTTTTGTAGTATAAAAATTGTTTGTTCTTTGAGGACATATTAGTTAAGCAAGGGGAAGGAGCAACCAAGCATATGCTCAAGGGTAGAGAAAGTTAAATCGGGTTACATGTTAGTCAGTGGGCAGTGTTTTTTAGCTCTAAATGAAAGAGAAATAGTGTGAGCATTCATTTACTCATTCTTATTTTTTTTAATTGAGATATCGTAAAATTTTCCCTTTTATAGTGTACAGTTCAGTGATTTTTAAAAAGTTATGGAAATTCCAGAAAGTTTTCTTTGCCCTAAAAAGAAATCGCATATTCATTAGTATTCATTC